GCCAATCCTTGCATGAAAGAGAGTGAGGAAAGGCTTGTGCATCGCTGTGCATTTTGAACCTGCCATCGGAGGAGAGTTTGCCCCTCGGCGGAGGCTGTCGGCATTTTATATAGCGCGTTCCGGCTTCACCTCCTACACGCTTCTGAAATGGCAGCTAGCTGGAGGTTTAAAAGTCTCTTGCAAAGTGGTTCTGGAGCGCTGGGAATATGATCTCAGTGTCTACCAGACAGCTCCAGCAAAAAATTATTTACACAGCGGCTCGAGGAGCTGCGGGCTCCTCGGGAGGCAGCTTAGAATGTCAGCTGCCTCCTCCTTTTCTATTTCTGTATTTATTTTCTTGCCAGGATGCTCAGGAAAAGGATGCTAGGGTTGGGGGGGGGCAGGAGGGATAAAACCCGATTCCATAGAAAAGGAAGCAAGCAATTTCAGTTTCAAGAAAATGGGGTTGCTTTGCCAAACGGCTCTGCTACCCGTCTCATCCTGCTGCCTCCATTGAGGGGCCTCCATTGCATCCGTAGCAGTGACCAGAGGGAGGAGCGCGGAGAAGTGAAAAGTCGTGGTGCATCTGCAGGAGCACAACCGATCGCCTTTGCCCCAGCTGCAACAAAACATGTCTCTCCTGTATCGTTTTCTACAACCACAGCAGGCGCTGCGAGTTCCAACTGTTTGGCTTCACCCCCAAAGGCACACTCCTCTGTTGTCTCCCGAGACAGAACGATGCCAACCAAGCAGCAGCCGAGGAAGCAGCTCAGGTGCCTGGGGTGGCGCGCCCAGGGGCGGGGCAAGCTGCCCATAGGGGTGTGGCGTACTGCAAGGCCTTCAGAGCATAGCTGTCAACCGTCCCTTATTTGGCGGGAAACACTCTTATCCCAGCGCCGTGTTCCACTGCTGCCCCTTATTGATGATGTCCCTTAAATTTCCCGGGTTTCAAAGGAAGCAGCTCCTCTCCCTCCCTCCCTGCCGGCCAGGGAGGAGGGAGGCTCCAACTGTGTTGCTTGGCTGCGTTGCTCACCCAATAAGGAGTCTAAGAACGACTGGGGGGTGGAGCTTGCATGCCTTGTGCCGATCAAATCGGCCGTGTTGCCTGGGGACTCGCCTTTGCTCAGCGCTTCCCAGCGGAGAGGTGACGGTGGTTTTCCTTACTGCATCCCCTTTTTCCGGGTTGCTGTGCTGTGGGAACCACCGCTTGAGGCTTCGTTTGGCTGCTGGCTGGGCTTTCTGCCTTTGGCTCGGAGGGGCTCAGAAGTTGAACATACCTGTGCTTGGAAAATCCCTTCTTTTGGCTGCTGATCCCTTATTTTCGAGGCTGCTGGTCCCTTATTTTCAAATCTGTAAATTGACAGCTATGCTCCGGAGTCTGCCTGCCTCCTCCCATTCAGCCGCCCTACAGCTGGGGGGAGGCAGCGGGCCGACCGTTTGGGGAGCGTGGAGCCTGCACGCACCCCAGCCACTGCGTCTCTCCCAGGAGAGAAATGTGGCTTGGGCGTGCTGCAGGCCCTGCGGTGAGTGCCGCCCACCATTTTGTCACCCCCCTCAGTGGTGACACCCGGGGCGGCCCACACTCACTGCACCCCCCTTCCTCCGCCCCTGCAAACATCCTTGCCCTGAGACAGAGTACTGCTCCTCCTGGCTCAGTATATTGTCTACCCCAGCGGTTCCCAACCCTTTTTAGGCCACTGCCTTCTTGGTTCCACAAATTCGCTCCCGGTGGTGCCCCCTACCCTATGAAAAGCAATATTCAGAATAGCAGGTAGCATGTCCCGCTAAGGGAGATAGCAACGCGGCGAAATTCAAAACGCTTAATTGCACGTTGGCTCAAAATCCAGTTGAAACTTTTTAGTTCAATTAAATCAAGAGAATGGGGCTGATCACGCCAAGGTCACGGGTTCGATCCCCATATGGGTGCATGTTCCTGCATTGCAGGGAGCTGGACTAGATGATTGATGGGATCTCTTCAATTCTAACAATGTGTTGTTGTTGTTTAGTCGTCTAGTCGTGTCCGACTCTTCGTGACCCCCTGGACCAGAGCACGCCAGGCACTCCTTTCTTCCACTGCCTCCCACAATTTGGTCAAACTCATGCTGGTAGCTTCGAGAACACTGTCCAACCATCTTGTCCTCTGTTGCCCCCTTCTCCTTGTGCCCTCCATCTTTCCCAACATCAGGGTCTTTTCCAGGGAGTCTTCTCTTCTCATGAGGTGGCCAAAGTCTTGGAGCCGCAGCTTCAGGATCTGTCCTTCCAGTGAGCACTCAGGGCTGATTTCCTTCAGAATGGAGAGGTTTGATCTTCTTGCAGTCCATGGGACTCTCAAGAGTCTCCTCCAACACCATAATTCAAAAGCATCAATTCTTCGGCGATCAGCCTTCTTTATGGTCCAGCTCTCACTTCCATACATCACTACTGGGAAAACCATACTTTAACTATACGGACCTTTGTTGGCAAGGTGATGTCTCTGCTTTCTAACATTGTAGCCATCCCATAATGTGCCACACTCTGCCAGTTCCCTCCTTTGTCTCCGTGTTGCCCTCCACAAGGAAGAGGAAGATGGAGACGAATCAGTTGGCTCCAGGACCTGTCAATTTCTCTGACTCCTCCTATCATTGGCTCTGGTGCCACCGCTTCTTGACCACCCCGCCTTCCACCCTGCCTGTCCAAATGGGTGCCCCGCCTGCCTTTTTGACTGGCCAGTCACGGGTGGGGTCGTGCTTTCCCTGGGCCAATAGCGATCCTCCTTCAACTTCCTGCATGGCGGTCCTCGTTCCTGCTCTTCGGATGATGCCACTACCAAGAATTGAGAGAGAGAAAGCAGGAGGTCCGTGTTACACACACAAAATGGTACCAGGCTGGAAAAAAATCTGCTTCTGATCCTACAACCCAGGAAATTTTGCTTTGTGTTCCTCTTTCCTCGTTTCCCATATAGCACTTCTCTGGCCTGACCATTTCGGCGCAGTGAATATTATAGGATGGCAAATCTTGCAAGCACAGAAGTGGTTATCCTGGAAATTTTTCCCACAAAATTAAAAAAAAATCACTATTTTTGCCTCTGAGGATTTTTTTTTAAAAAGAAATAATGAGGACTGTATCATACACTTCAGAAAGAATCTTTTTTTGTTGTTGTTGTTCCTGATGGTTCCTCTGGAGATACCAGCTGTAGAATAGTCAAGTGTGTGTTCTGAGAGTGTTATGTAATCTGTTGCCGAGATGAAAAACTGAAAACAAAAACCCATCTTGCCCGTATTACTTCACCTGCTTTGTCAACACGAAATCTTGCTTCTGGTGCCTTTCTTTTTATGAAGATTCTCCATTTGCAGAGTGGCTTCTTTTGAAGTCATGGATGATCTCGCCCAGGAATAGTGACTAAGAGCGGCTGGATTTTGGCCGTTAGGAAAGAGGTTGTGATATACCATGGAGAACCCGGGGGTGGACCTTTCCAAATCGGACAAAGGATATATATTCAGAGGTGACGCTGCAATCTATTTGGGATCCAGCACAATGCCCGGTAACATTTTCTTAAACCCAAAGATCTGCTGCCAGTCTCTGTAGGCCAGGGATTGCCAACCCAATGCCCGTGGGCTCCTGTAAGCCGTCCAGCATCTCCTGTGATGCCCATGACAGATCTCAGCAAATAATCCCCGAGCGATGCGCAAGAGACCGTTCGCTCTTCCTGCTCAGTTCTGTTTCCACTGGTGCAGCTTCTCCTATATTGAACATGGTCCCTTGAGCATGCTCAACTTCTGCTAGGTGCCAGGACTGCCTACCCAACCTGCCATCCCTTCTGAGCAGAGCAGAGGTGCAAAGAGCCTCTCTCTTTGAGTGCCAGGAGCCAGAGTCAGGGGCAAGTCAGCAATAAAACACTCACTGCCAGTGAAGTTAACTCTTTGGTTTTTTTGTTTGTTTGTTTGTTTCTTTATTTATTAATGTTGCAATACATATATGAAATCTTTACATAATGATACATATACATTATATTCGTAAATTCACATTTTCACATTTCATTATGTACCAACATTTATCCATTTCTTACTTCTTGCCCTGTGTCTTCCCTCCACCCGTACGCGACTTCCTTGTTATTATTTTGTAACTTTATTATTGAGATTGTAATTTTGTATCTTATTAATTAAACATTCAATCTTATATATCTGCTTAGCTTAACTTTGTGAAATCAGTCTATACATATCAATAAATTCTTGTTGGAGCATCTTTTGGTCATGTATTCTTCTGCACATTTCCATTCCTGTTTGAGATTTTTATTAGATTGCATTCTAATTGTTGCCGTCATTTTTGCTAATTCAGTTATTTCAAAAAAATTGTTGCCAATCTTTCAATGTTGGTACTTCTTCTGACTTCCAATTTTTTTGCAAGCAATAACCTTGCAGCGGCTGTTGCATATAAAAAGATTCTTTTTATGAAGTTAACTCTTTGTTCAAAGAAACCAAAACAGCGCAGGCCTAGCGATCACAGCAACACTTCCCAGTGGGTCTTGCCCCAATGAAGCAGTTGCAAGGACTGAAGTTCCTCCTCCTTCCTACCTCTCTCTAAAACTTTTCCTCCGGGTACTTCCCCAGCATCACAAGGCTTGTCTCTTTGCTACAACCTCTTCATTCCTCTCCATGTTCTGGAAATCTGGGGGGAGAGGAGCTTGCCACAGCAGGAGGGGGAGACCCCCTGGCTTCTTCAGCAGCTTACTTGATCTCTGCCTCTTGGCCCCCCTCCTCTCCAGCCTCTGCTTCTGCCTCTGGGTCTGATCTTCTATCTGCCACAGACTCTTCCTGCTCACTCAAGCCTGTTGCCTCTTCCGCTACTGACACCTGTTCTTCCCAGTCTGCTCCCTCTTCTCTCTCTGACCACTCATTGTTGTCCCACCACCAGTCCCCTGACTCTGAGCCTTCTGCCCTTGGCGGCCCCCACAGCTGCTGCCTCTGCAGCCAGCCAGTCCATGACACTGACGGAGCAAACACAGTGGTGGCTGGCAGGCAGTGCCTTTTTTGTGTGTTTAGCAGGCACTTGGCACAATGGGTCAGTGCACCTGGCTGCGATCCTGAAGGTTGGTGGTTTGAACCCACCCAGGAACGGCTGTACACAGGAATCCTGCACTTTTGATGCAATGTCGTCTATTTATTACTATTAGATGTCAAACAGAACAACAACTACCAGACTTTTAGAAGACATCTGAAGGCAGCCCTGTTTAGGGAAGCTTTTAATGTTTGATGCATTACTGTATTTTATTTTTTGTTGTGGCTGGGGAGGTTCAGCCAGATGGGCGGGGTATAAATAATAAATTATTATTATTGTTGTTGTTGTTGTTATTACCTTCCTGGAAGCAAATTGGAATGGACGTTCAATAAACAGATTGTTTAGAAGTGTTCAGAGTCCGGGATCAACCAGAAATAAATGGTTTTCCCCATTACTTGCTACCTATGATCGCTCATTGCTTCTGGTGTCTCTTTGAGCTCTTGTGTTCTTCCTTATCTTCTGGAGATGGCTTTGTGACACTGATGCGTGCGCGCTCTCTCTGTCTCTCATATCATGCGTTTTGCAATACTGGCCATATTTCCATTGCCCTTAATCCATCTCAGCCAGGTCAAGGAATAGCAAGGCATTCCCTGCCTCTCTGCTCGTGTCCCTGTTGGCTCCATTGGCGAACTCAGCATGCAAAATCCAACATGGTGCGCACCCGGTTCCGAGAGTCGTGCAACAGTGCCGGAAATCTTGCATGCAGAGCATCCAGCAGGAAGGAAACGTCCGATGTGATGATATCGGGGGCTTTCTGTGCGTTTGGTTCCGCCCTGGTTCTTACCCACCCCTCATTTCTTTGCAAGGTTGGGAGACCATTGAAATTATGATTGTGGGAAAATATGGAAGTTATACACAGGTGGGAAGAGGAGAATGTGAGTCTTCAACTTGTTTTAGGTCCCTCAGACCAGAGTCTGGAGGGTAATCTGAATGGACCTTTCCTTGTTATGTTAACAAGCAGGCTATGATAGGGTTAGGTTCCCGGGGACAGTCCCCGGATTTGCAAATATGTCCCCTGACAAATTCCGTCCCCGAAATGTCCCTGGACTTTATTAAATGTCCCAGGAAATGTGGCAGCAGCAGTCTCAGCAGCCTGGAGCCAGGCTTCATTGAAAAAAATCTGGTAACCACAGACGAACTGGATGCAGGAGAGGGGAGTTTAAGGGGGGGAAGAAAGGAAGGCAGAAGTTCTTGCCCCCCCAAGCCAGCTGCCCCTCTCCCTCCCACGTGCACGTTTTCTGGCTGCCTGCGCGTCCCTGGCACGCTTCCCTGGACGCAGCAGCAGCACCGGAGCACAGAGAGGAGGAGGCGGCTGCTATCGGCTGCGCTCCTAGCCGCCGGAAACTGAGCCGGGTGGGCTGGAGCTTGCGCGTAGTCCAGCTAGGAAGGAATTAACAGGAAGGACACCATCCTTTCCCCTCTGCTTGCCGTGAGGGCTGGAGATTTCCTTGCTCTTTATTACGTTTGTCTGCCACCAGTCCGCTTGCTCGGCGCGTCTGCTTGCTGCGAGGTGACGCTGCCGCAGCCGGCGCTGAGCAACGGAAGGGGAAAGGATCGTGTCCGCCTACTAATTCCTTCCCAGGCGCGTCACCTTGCAGCAAGCAGCCACACCGAGCAAGGAGACTGGTGGCAGAGAAACGCAACAAGCAGCAGGGTAATCCGCTCTGCTTAGCGGGTGTGCGTCTTGTTTTGTTGGCGCTCGGTTGTGGGTACGTGTTGTGTGCCTGTGCTTCGCTGAAGGGAAGGGGAGAGCTCCGTTCATGTTATTGCCCATTGTTCTGTGGTGGCTTTTCAGCCGATTCCCCACACCTCGTTTTCAATGTGTCCTGCTCTGTGTGTTTGCACCAGAGCTTCTAGATAGGAGCAGCGCGCTGCGCTTGGCATCCCAAGGCTCATGCTCATCCCTTCCCCTTTATGCCCCTTTCCTCTTTGGGGCATGTCAGCTGCACTTGGATTCTTTCGAACGTGCCTGCGCGTTTCTTCTGCTGGATTTAATACATTGCATGGTGATGTATGGAAGCGAGAGCTGGACCATAAAGAAGGCTGATCCCCAAGGATGGATGCTTCTGATTTCAGGTGCTGGAGGAGACTCTGGAGAGTCCCATGGACTGCAAGAAGATCAAACCTATCCATTCTGAAGGAAATCAGCCCTGAGTGCTCACTGGCAGGACAGATCCTGAAGCTGAGGCTCCAAGACTTTGGCCACCTCATGAGAAGAGAAGACTCCCTGGAAAAGACCCTGATGTTGGGAAAGATGGAGGGCACAAGGAGAAGGGGACGACAGAGGACGAGATGGTTGGACCAGCATGAGTTTGACCAAACTGCGGGAGGCTGTGGAAGACAGGAGTGCCTGGCGTGCTCTGGTCCATGGGGTCACGAAGAGTTGGCAACGACTAAACAACAACAACAACAACAACAACAACATGGTGGGGGGGCTTTTTTGTTTTTAAATTAACCAAAACTCAGTTTTAAAGCAAACTTTGATCTGTGGTGTTGACTTTTTTTCTTAATTTTTTAAAATAACTTTTGTTCTCTTTTTTTAAAAAATCTATTTTATTTATTTATTTTCTTTAAAAAGTGTCCCCGGATTTATTGAAAAAAATCTGGTAACTGTGGTGTTTTGTGGAGTGTCTTTGTGCATTATTTTATGTTGGTAGTAACAGCAAAACTTCTACGTTTTAAATGCCTCCCCCCTCCTAGTGAGTCACTGACGACTTCTTTTTTTAAGCAGAAGAAAAGCACAAAGCATACAAGGAGATAAATCCAGTTGCTCCGCAGCTTGTGAACTTGTAGTGTTGAGTGTACGGTGTCTGCAGAATTTTAAATTTTAAAATGAAAATTGCTCAATTGAAAGAGCAAAGAAGTTTGGGCAGCTCCAAGGTGTTTTTTCTACGTTCGCTCCCCTGACTTCAGGTTGCAGGATGTTTTGGAAGTCGACCGGGTCGTTTGGAAGTCTGGTCATACAAGCCCCCCATTCTTATATGAAACTTCTTTTATACAATGGGTTCCTTCTAGGCTTGTCGCTGTTTTCCAGAACTGCTGTGCAAATTTCAGAGAAGTGCGAATTTTGAAGGACTAAGTTTCTCTGTGTGTGTTGTTTCTGGGATTGCAAAGACAGCCAGATCTCCTGCTCATCCCTACCCTTAGATGACCGTAATCGACTCTGCCCTACATTGGCACCCTGCAAGGGAAAATCAGCAGGAGAGGACAAGTGCTCTCGCAAGGAAGCTTATCTGCGGATACTGATCATCTCACCAGGGAGCTGCAAGCTTCTTAGGGATGCCGGAGTTTTTCTGGACACCTTTGGAGAGCCGTCAGTGTACATGCGTTCCATCCCTTGTGCAAAAACGAAGGCGCAAAGCCCAGAATAGGGCTGCAACGTTGAATGTGCTAATGGTTAGATCAGGGGTTGTCAACCTGGTCCCTACCACCCACTAGTGGGCATTTCAGGATTCTAGGGGGGCGGTCGAGGGTTCTATGGCACAAGTTGAATCCTCCTTCCGTTGAGCACTGGTGGACGGTAAGGAAATTTTACCATGAAGAAAGATGCATTAGTGGGCGGTAGGTATAAAAAGGTTGACTACCCTGGGTTAGATTGACGCCAGGGCTGGGTGACTCTGTCAGTTTTGGTTTCTCTGTATCGCAATTTTCTAGTCTTAAATTTAGTTCTCCACATTTCCACATCACTGTGGATTTTTATTTTTATTTTTAAAAAAGACATTCACCAGCAAATTTCTCCCAATATACACGTTGCCGTGCAACTTTTCTTCAGACCTCCGGAACGAATTAAGTACTTAACCCGAGGTACCACTGTATATTTATTAAGCAATATATAAAGGACAAAGCAACCAAGGCATTCTCTCACATCTCCAAGAGAGAGAGAGAGAATACAAAAGTACAGTACAGCGGAAGAGATAAGACTGACTTCCGTTCTCAGACTTTCGAAGCCTAGAAAGTACAGTGGTACCTCGGGTTAAGAACTTAATTCGTTCTGGAGGTCTGTTCTTAACCTGAAACTGTTCTTAACCTGAAGCACCACTTTAGCTAATGGGGCCTCCTGCTGCTGCTGCGCCGCTGGAGCATGATTTCTGTTCTCATCCTGAAGCAAAGTTCTTAACCTGAAGCACTATTTCTGGGTGAGTGGAGTCTGTAACCTGAAGCGTCTGTAACCTGAAGTGTGTGTAACCCAAAGTACCACTGTAAACACAGACATGTGATGTAACAATCACACATCCAGCAACAGAGGAGTGAAATGCTAACAGAGACCCCCTGGCTTCTTCAGCAGCCTGGCTCATCTCTGCCTCTTGGGCCCCTTCCTCTCCTGCCTCTGCTTCTGCACTGCTCTCTGCTACAGACTCTCCCCGCTCACTAAGCCCTGTTGCCTCTTCAGCTTCCGACATCTCCTCCTCCCAGTCTACTCCCTCTTCTCCCTCTGACCGCTCGTTGTCACCCCACCACCAATCCCTGGGCTCTGAGCCTTCTTCCCTTGGGGGTTCCTCAGCTGGTGCCTCCCAGCACTGTGTGATCGATGGCTGATAGTGGATGCCTTTATTTCTGTATTTTTAGCAGACATTTGGCACCATGGGTCCGTGCATCTGGCTGTTACCCAGAAGGTGGTTCGAACCCATCCAGGGATGGCTGTGGGCAGGATTCCTGCATTGCAAGGGGTTGGACTTGATGGCCCTCAGGGTTCCCTTCCAACTCTACAAATCTATGATTCTACTATTTCCTGGACTGTCGGAGTTCAGAGTTTCTTGCGTTTGCAAGACAATTTGAAAGCAGGCTGTTTTGGTTCCCACCTCCCTCTGCAAATGCCTGCAATTTCACATGGTCTGCAGCCAGCAGCTTCAAATTATTCACAGCCTAGGGATCTGTATTCGAAAAGCGCACCTGTGCGTGTTGACTGCTGCAGGCTTTCCTAACAGTTGCACACTTGCCGAAAACTTATGCGGTGTGTAAAAGGGCACAAGGTGTTCTGTTTCCAAACTGCGGGAAAATGGGCTTGTGGCGGAACACCCGTCCTGTGGGGAGTCTTAAAATGAGCATCCGGACTCTGGCGCTCTGGTACGAAATTAAGCCTCGAGACTCAAGTTCTCCAGCGGGTACCTTTTGGTTAACTGCGGGCTGCCGGTGGATGCCGACATTGACCTAGTTTCCGCGGGTGATCAAAAGATTGCCTCCTGCCCAAGTTTAATAGGTCATCTGGTCTCCCCGGTGCAGGGAAGCCCTTTCCAAAAGAAGAAAGCCCATTGCTTCTTGCATCGAGTGCTGTGTGCCCAAGTTTTGTTGTTGTTGTTTAGTCGTTTAGTCGTGTTCAATTCTTTGTGACCCCCTGGACCAGAGCACGCCAGGCACTCCTGTCTTCCACTGCCTCCTGCAGTTTGGTCAAACTCGTGCTGGTAGCTTCGAGAACACTGTCCAACCATCTCGTCCTCTGTCGTCCCCTTCTCCTTGTGCCCTCCATCTTTCCCAACATCAAGGTCTTTTCCAGGAGGCTTCTCTTCTCATGAGGTGGCCAAAGTACTTGGAGCCTCAACTTCAGGATCTGTCCTTCCAGTGAGCACTCAGGGCTGATTTCCTTCAGAATGGATCGGTTTGATCTTCTTGCAGTCCATGGGACTCTCAAGAGTCTCCTCCAGCACCAGAATTCAAAAGCATCAATTCTTCGGCGATCAGCCTTCTTTATGGTCCAGCTCTCACTTCCATACATCACTACTGGGAAAACCATAGCTTTAACTATACGGACCTTTGTTGGCAAGGTGATGTCTCTGCTTTTTAAGATGCTGTCTAGGTTTGACATTGCTTTTCTTTGTGTCTTAGAGCTGAGAACAAAAAACAAAATGTGTTTATTGGGGTCATCTAGTCCAACACCCCGCAATGCAGAATTTTTCACCCAGCTCGTGGCTTGAACCCACGACCCTGGAAAATGAAGAGTCTCGTGCTCTACCAGTCGAGCTATCCCAGCCAAAAGAAAGAAAGAAAAATAAATTCCAGGAGGTTTGCCTCTGTTCTCACCGACCTCAGTTTAAGCAGTTTTCATTTCATTTCACTTTTAATTTGTATAACTCCTTTCTATATTATTATACACAAGGTGGTTTGCAAGCTGAAGAAATAAAAAAAATGGACAGCAAAGATCACACAATCTGATCCAGTACAAAAAGTCATAATAAAAACAATTTATATCAAATAAAGCAATATTCAGTAATTGATTAGAGTCTAATAGTAAGCAGCAAAGTTAAATATCAGCAAATAATAATTAAACCGTTTACACTTAATCATTACAATAAAGAATTACTGAACGATAATCAATAAAAATAATGGAAAGTCATGCATAAAATACCACCAAACGTACAAAACCACATCAAAGGATCAAACTGAAAAACAAGGACACACAATAATTATACAATTATTTTTTAAAAAAAATATCCCTGAACGCCTCTTCTTTCTTCCCAGCTGCTTTTGCTGTTCTCAAAGTTGGTAGAGCCTGCGACTCTTAATCTCAGAGTTGTGGGTTCAAGAACCAACGAGGGGTTGGACTAGATGACCCTCGTGGACCCTCGCAGCTCCATAATTCTACGATTCTGTTCCTAAAGTTTACTAAGGCAGGTCAGGGCAAGTTGCCGTCTCGCCTGGGAAGAGTTAATGGAACTTGGCAGGCGAGCGCTTCCTGGTATCGGCCAATTGGAGGGAACAAAGGTTGGCAACAGGTGATGGGTTTGTTTGCGGCAGGTATTAATTTTAGTTTTTTCTCCAGAAGTCCCTGCAGGCGAGGAAGCAGCTTAGAGCCCAGCGAGGGCCAGATCCGCAGGGAGCATGGGAGCCAGCCTCTCCTGGAGCGTGGAGGTAAATGACCTGAGGAATTCCTGGTTTTTAAAAAGACTCCTTTAAAAAAAAGAAAAGAAGGAAACTTTGCTTCCCGCCCACCTCCCTTTGCAGGGTAACCTGAAACTCCCCCCTTTTGAATAAGGCAGGACCTTCCTAGGCTGGGCAGACAAGCTGAGAAGCCAGCTCTGTCCTTGCTGGCTGAGGAAGGAGGCTTCAGACAGGTGGGTTTCTGTCCGCAGGTGCAGAGCAGATATTCTGTTGCTGCTGAATTAGAATTTGAGCCGGAATCTCTGACCCTTTCCCTTCCTTTTCCCACTGGAATTGCGTTTTTGCGGTTTGTTTCCAAGCCCCTCCACCGATAGGTTTGGAGCGTGGAGGGGAAAATCTCAGACCCAGTGGCCCTCGAGATATCTCCGTCTGGCCCCCGGGGACTCTCCCCAGGTCATACGCCCCCTCCTGAGCAGCAGCCCTTTTACCAACTATGCTTTGCACCCTCCTCGATTCATGGAATCAGAAGGGGCCACGAGGGTCGTCTAGTCCAACCCCTGCAATGCAGGAATCTTTTGCCCAACGTGGGGCTTGAACCCATGAACCTGAAATTAAGAGTCTCAGGCTCTGCCGACTGAGTTTTTGCATGTCTGGAATATGGCAATGCCTTTTGCTTGCTTGGATAGAGGACAGAGGGCTGGGGGTGAGTGAAGGTGTAGCAACAAACCTCGTGTACAGTGGCGAAATTCGCACCCGCTACTTGCCCGCATTTTTTCTCTGGCAGCTCCCACTGCTGGAATGTGGCCCCCAGAAAGTTGCTAAGAATGGGAAGTGGCCCTTGAGCTGGAAAAGTGTTCCTGTCCCAGTTTTAGAAAACCGGGATCATGTTGCTTTGACATCTGTAAGCTGCTTCCAGCAGCCCTTTCGTGGGGGGGGGGGATACTTTTAAAAAATGTAATAATAAATACAAGTCGTCGCCAGGGCTGTCTGCCCTGATCTGCTGCTTTTCCTGCAGAAAATCTCACCCGCCTCCTTTTTGCACCCAGAGGTGCTGTTTGCAGCAAATGTGTTTGGGGAGTTTGCACCTCCTCTTGAGTAAGTGGCTTTGCACGATGTCTCCTCGCTCATCTAACACTCTGCTTTTCATTCCTTTGCTCAGAGCAGATTGCAGGGCTGGACTTTGCCCGCTCGGCATCTAATAAGGCCGGGTTCGAGTTCTGGCAGGGGTGATATAGCCTCTGCCTTGTGAGTAGGGCTGCCGGGTTTGTTCTTCCGCAGAACTCCCAGGTCTTTGAAAACTGCATGGCAGGTTTGGACTGAGCGAGCGAAGCGGTTGCTGTCATGCTGTGCCTGTTGTCCCGCCTAACCTCTGCTTGTTGTGGAGCAGTTAAAGGCATGGGAGCTCTGCTTCCCCTGAGAAGCTGGCAACCCAACCCTCCCATTTGTGAGAATTGGGGTCTGAGAATCAGGGCCCCCCCCCTTAAACTTTGCCTGCATGTTGGCACAAGCAAATTGTCGAGAGCTGCCACTGGCACAGTTGTTGGCAGATTCACACATACACACTTCACCAGTGTTAGTTCCAACGCTTGAGACTGCGCCTTAGTTGCGGGGGCAGTGCTCTTTAGATTGTGGGATGTGTTTGGCCCAAGCTGCACACCTGTTAAGTTTGGGCCTGGATTCCCTTAAAAGCTGCTGGAAAGATCTGTTTCGATTTCCGAAGGCAGCAAAATTTTTAAAGGGACTTGATGGGGCTCTGTGTTCAAGAGACTGCCTTTGAAAAGTGTTCAGAAACATTAGCTAGTCCAGAGCATGGTGGCAACTGGAATTGGCTGCATCCGTTTTTCAAAGGGTTATACTGGCTTCAATTTAGCTTTCAAGATTCGGTATTTAAATCCCAGTACAGCCTGGGACCAGGATACCTATACAGGGAAGTTTCTAATGTTTGATGTTTTACTCTGTTTGGTGTTTTAATTTGTTGGAAGCCGCCCAGAGTGGCTGTGGTAACCCAGTCAGATTCATCAGGGTTCAACTTATATCCTTGCGTTCCTATTTTAGGAGACTGGTTTATTTTGATTTTTAAGGACCCTTAGACAACCCTTTGCAGATCAACCTGCAGTTTTTGAGGAGGGGGAGTGTATTTGCAGTTCTGTATGGTTACGTCGTGAGCATGGAATTGGGCTATTTGAGGGGCATCGCTTGTCTGAAAGGGTGGGTGGTTCTGGGGACGAAACTGCTTCTGTGGCTTTGGAGTGGAATAATTGGTCAGCTTTGCTTGTACCCCATAGAATACCTTTGCTTAGAAGGAGAGCTATTCCCAGGGGGAATGGTGCAACGAGATAAACAATTGCATCAGGAGCAATGATGGGTTGTGTACAAAACAGAGGAAAGGTATTTTTGCTACTGGAGCAGAACAGATGCTCATGGGGCCTACAGAACAACCCTGGTTCGACTTCAATCCCCAGATCTTCACAGTGTCCCTGTTTTCCAGGGACAGTCCTGGATTTCCAGAAGCCATCTTGGTTTCTGATTTGATTCCGGAATGTCCTGCTTTTCCTTCTTGTTGTTGTTGTTTAGTCATTTAGTTGTGTCCGACTCTTCGTGACCCCCTGGACCAGAGCACGCCAGGCCCTCCTGTCTTCCACTGCCTCCTGCAGTTTGGTCAAACTCATGCTGGTAGCTTCGAGAACACTGTCCCACCATCTCGTCCTCTGTCGTCCCCTTCTCCTTGTGCCCTCCATCTTTTCCAGGGAGTCTTCTCTTCTCATGAGGTGGCCCAAAGTACAGTATTGGAGCCTCAGCTTCAGGATCTGTCCTTCCAGTGAGCACTCAGGGCTGATTTCCTTCAGAATGGAGAGGTTTGATCTTCTTGCAGTCCATGGGACTCTCAAGAGTCTCCTCCAGCACCAGAATTCAAAAGCATCCATTCTTCGGCGATCAGCCTTCTTTATGGTCCAGCTCTCACTTCCACATCACTACTGGGAAAACCATAGCTTTAAGTATACGGACCTTTGTTGGCAAGGTGATGTCTCTGCTTTTTAAGATGCTTAAGTTTGTCATTGCTTTTCTCCCAAGAAGCAGGCGTCTTTTAATTTCATGACTGCTGTCACCATCTGCAGTGATCATGGAGCCCAAGAAAGTAAAATCTCTCACGCCTTTTCCTTAGGATGCCCCTATCTTCATTAGAGAAATGTTGGAGGGTATGCAATCCTTGGTAGCTTCAGTTGGAAGGATTAGAGAATGACCTCCATGAGACCCCGGGGAATTGCTGCCAGTCCGAGTAGACAAGATTGGATCCAGTAGGGACTGGTGCCCATTGCAACTGGTGGGCAAGGAGACCAACAGAAGTTGAAGCCAGACCCATTGGCGGGCAGAGACACCCCTTGCCTGGCGTCACACAGGTGAGGGCGGACTGAGGTTCCTGGGGCAGCAAGCAGTTCAGCCTAATGGACCAGCCTCCATGGATAGGATTAGAATCAGGAGTGGGGAACCTTTAGCCCTCCAGATGTTGAACTACAGCTCCCATGCACCCTGGGTGCCTGGCTTGCTGGGGCTGAGATGAGCAAATAATCTGACCAGCCATAGTGGTAGTTTTCTGTGTTTCTAAATCCACCATCGTTTACCATCTCAGGGATAGCTCAGAGCTCAGCAGCAGAGGCACACGCTCTCATAAAATCCCAGGTTCAAACCCAAGCCTCCCCCGGTTGAGCAAAAAAAGAACCCAAGAAGCAGGATATTTGCAAGAGACTTTGGCTGGCGAGATTTCTCGCAGGGCTGGGCTGGAACTGCCAGGCTGTTAAGGCAGTTTTGCATTTATGCAAATAGATGTGTACGGCACCGATATTCAAGAGATTGTGCCGCACTCCTTGGCTTTCATTTGCAAAATTCTGCCCGAAGCCTGATTTGCATGGTAAAATAAGGACATGAATGCCGACTTGCTCAGTTTGCATAACAGGTTCAGGTTGCAGGCTGTGATTTTAATAATAATAATAATAATAGTTGCTGGGTTTATTTATCTTTCTTTTACACCCTGAAAATGCAGAAATCTCTGAAGAAAATAACCAGGTAAAAAGGTAAAGGGACCCCTGACTGTTAGGTCCAGTCGTGGCCGACTCTGGGGTTGCGGCGCTCATCTCACTTTATTGGCCGAGGGAGCCGGCGTACAGCTTCCGGGTCATGACTAAGCCGCTTCTGGGGAACCAGAGCAGCGCACGGAAACGTCCTTTACCTTCCCACCGGAGTGGTACCTATTTATCTACTTGTGCTTTTGAACTGCTAGGTTGGCAGGAGCAGGGACTGAGCAACGGGAGCTCACCCCGTCGCAGGGATTCGAACCGCCAGCCTTCTGATCGGCAAGTCCTAGGCTCTGTGGTTTAACCCACAGCGCCACCCGCATCCCTATAAGTTATCAAGGCCCATGCTCGTCAATGTTGGCACCCGTCTGTCTCGAGAAACAATGGAGTGTGCCTCAAGGGGTGAAGCCAAACCAGAGAAGCTTTGGGGACTGATGGGAATTATAGTCCAAAAGAAGCTGGAGGGCAGCAGCTGAGCGAAGGCTGCCTTAAAAATCATGGCTTTCAAACTGGTTTCAAGGCCTGACATTTGCAGTTTCTGGCTGAATCCCCACCAATGAATAACTAGTGTTTTCGGACCCTCCCACGTCGAATTTCTTTTGCCAGTAGCATACCAGGAGGTGAGAGGTGCAACGCTGCGTTTCAGCTTCTTTATGCCAAGTTAATAGCAAATCCGTAATGCGTTCGCCGTCCAGGGTCGCTGGGGCTACTGTGGGGAGATTTGACCTTCTTACATTAGGTATGATTTGCAAATAAACTGCTCCGTCCTGCAAGACCCTGGGCGTTCGGGTGTGGGTATTCCCCTCGCCCTTTGTTTTTTAAGCAGGTGCAATCAGATTGTGTTCCGAAGAGCTATTTGTGTTCTTATATATTTGGCCGTCCCCCAGAAGCACAAGGGGGGAGCAAATCTCGACAAGGAAATTGGCGTTTGCCGTGGAGGCAGGTATGTGTGACGAATGAAAGTGGAACGGGTGCCAGGCTCACCTACCAGGTACCAAAGTTGAAAAATACGAATCTGTCTTTTGAGGAACACTCTGTATTCCTCCTCTGTTTACAGCCCTTCTGGAGGGAAAGATACGCTTGGAAACGCATGGGCAACATCAGCTGGAATATTGGAATCCAGCCAGTTGAATACAATTTCCACCCAGGAAGGACTTTGTTGTTGTCCTGCACAGTTTCCTGTCGCTTCTTGGGACTAGGAAAACCGGAGTAAATTTTACAAACTAGTTATAAGGCCCACCACAAAATATTCCACCTGACCACCCAATATTCTTTGGCTATTGAGCATGTTAAGATTACCCTGGACTTTTTTGGAGGGCGGCGTGAATTACCCTCATAAATTCTTTTTCAATTGCACTTAGCAAACTTGGGTATTCCCCTTATACTAATAATTTCCTTTCATTTCTGACTAACCCTGTTCTGCCTTCATATCTGCTGACCCGTCAGTACCTGCGTTCGAAGGATTCACCGCAGAATAAACGATGAGGAATTGTGCAGATCAGTTTATGATACTGGCCGCTTTTGTTTCCAATGTTCAAATTCGGTTTGTGGCTTGGGAAACGGCTTCGACTAGTCAGTTAAACCAGGTGAGGGTAGCCAATGGGTCTCAAACCCCCGGTGAGTTAGGGACTTCTCTTGCAAGCAAAGACAGAAGAAAAGTTTGGATTTGATATCCCGTTTTATCACTACCCGAAGGAGTCTCAAAGCGGCTAGCAATCTCCTTTCCCTTCCTCCCCCACAACAAACACTCTGTGAGGTGAGTGGGGCTGAGAGACTTCAGAGAAGTGTGACTAGCCCAAGATCACCCAGCAGCTGCATGTGGAAGAGCGGGGAAGCGAACCCGATTCACCAGATTACGAGTCTACCGCTCTTAACCACTACACCACACTGGCTCTCCAGTGGGCCCAACGGTCACAAAGATGGTTTCTGGACATGATGTGGAGGGGGCAGAGGGGGCTTGTGAGCCTGGGGAGGGAAATCTTGTTCTGCTTTCCTTTGGACCCCAATCAGCGAGGCCGAGAGGGGGGTCTTGTCATCTGGGCAGCCCAGGACCTCACTTCGGTGTTGCTAACGCAGCGGTTTGACTTCACCCCCAGATGCACACTCCATTGTCTCTTGACAATGTACAGTGGTACCTCGGGTTACAGACGCTTCAGGTTACAGACTCCGCTAACCCAGAAATAGTACCTTGGGTTAAGAACTTTGCTTCAGGATGAGAACAGAAATCGCGTGGCGGCGGCGGGAGGCCCCATTAGCTAAAGTGGTACCTCGGGTTAAGAACAGTTTCAGGTTAAGAACGGCCCTCCAGAACAAATTAAGTTCTTAACCGAGGTACCACTGTACAGTGGAGCCTTGGTTCTCGAACCGCCTGAGAAACAGTTTCTATCCAAATGCGATTTTGGTTCTAAACGCAGTGTAAGGTAGTCTCTGTGGGAGTATATTGTATTTAATTATGGGGTATCAGAGTTTTTAGGGGGTTAACCAGGCTGGGATAGCTGGGATAGCAGGCTTGTTGGTTTTTGAATGTCTGATGTAGATTTTTTCAATTTCATTGTTGGACGTTCGGCTTCCGAAAAATGTTCACAAATCAGAACACACACTTCCAGGTTTTTGGCGTTTGGGAGCCGATTTGTTCGTCAACTAAGCCGTTCGAGAACCAAGGAATGACTGCAGTTTAAAACTGTTTTTACTATTGTCTTGTAATGCTGTAACCGCCCTGTTACCTTACGGTGAAGGTCAAGTAATAATGGTGATGATAATAATAATAATACCGTAATACTAAATAATGCCTGATGGATGGACCTTGGGATGATGGAAGGATGTCCCTCTTGTTTGTGTGCGATGTGTCTTTGTCGTTCGTCCCCTTTCTGTTGCTGCGCCAGTCCCCTTTCCATCTTGCCTGTCCTTTGTCTTGTGATTACTTATGCAAATGGGCGACGCAGCCCCTATAATGGGCATGTTGTCTTCCAGAACAGAAAAGCCTACAATTATCTTATTATTGGGATGAAAGGGAGAAAAAGAAGCCTGTGCGTTGTGTTCACAACCGTTTGTTTGTTTGCATTTCCCCACGCCCATAGGAGACGCCACTTTGCCTCAGCTGCTGCCTTTCCAAAATGGATTTTGCATTGTTTTTTTTAAATATATTTTTATTGAGTTTGACATTGCTGATTTAAATTCAAACATTAAACATCAAAATCATCCCTGAATCCTTCGACTCCCCTCCACTCTTCCAGGGTTACCACTATCAATCTTTCCCCCCACAAACTGCTTCTCTTAGTTTCTCAATCAATTTTTACCATAGTTTTTCACATGTTACAAGCATTGTTCAAATCCTGCCATAGTTTTTAGTTGTTTATAATGCTCTCTTCCCTGTTTAGGGAAGCTTTTAATGTTTAATAGACTATTGTATTTTAATGTTCTGTTGAAAGCCGCCCAAGTGGCTGGGGAAACCCAGCCAGATGGGCAGGGTATAAATTATTATTATTATTATTATTATTATTATTATTATTATTTATCATATAATACATTATATTTTTCCCATTCCTTCTTAAAGTTCCTCTCTTCCTGGTTTCTGATTTACCCGGTCAATTTTGCCATTTCAGCGTAGTCTTATTCAGCCATTCATCTCTGGTTGGGACTTTACAGTGGTGCCTCGCAAGACGAAATTAATTCGTTCCGCGAGTTTTGTCATCTTGCGATTTTTTTCGTCTTGCGAAGCACGGTGTCAGGAAAGTTTTGGAAAAGCTTCAAAAATCACCAAAGTCTTAAAAAACCTCAAAAAAGGCTACCACACCGCGTTCTATGAGTTGCTCCTCGAAGTCAAGTCGCAACTGTATTAACGGTGTTAAGAAAAAGGAAACCAACTTGCAAGACGTTTCCGCCTTGCGAAGCAAGCCCATAGTGAAAATCATCTTGCGAAGCAGCTCAAAAAACAAAAAACCCTTTCGTCTAGCAAGTTTTTTGTCTTGCGAGGCATTCGTCTTGCGAGGTACCACTGTATCTTCTTTCCATCTCTGGGCCAGTAGTCATCGTGTACATAAATACAGTCATACCTTGGGTTAAATATGCTTCAGGTTGAACGTTTTTGGGTTGCGCTCCGTGGCGACCTGGAAGTAACGGAACACGTTACTTCCGGGTTTCGCCGCTCGTGCATGCGCACATGCTCAAAATGACGTCACACGCATGCGCAGAAGTGGCGAATAGCGACCCGCACAGACGCGGGTTGCGTTCGCATCTAGAGGTACCGCTGTAGTCATTTCTGCTCCTTGGATTTCACATTTTATAGGTGGGGGAATCCCGCTTGAAATCTGGGCTTTCAGACACAGCACTTCTCCGGGGGCGGGGGTCACGCTGTTTCTGCAGACAAGCATTCCCACTTGGAGAGAATCTTGCTCACCCCTGGCAGTTTGCAATTCTGAGGACGAGGCGGTTTTCCCACGGGTGTTTAGAGTTGGTGGCAGAGCAGGTGACAGTCTTCAGGAGGAGGACGAGGACTCCAGTGGTGCAAAGGTTAAATTTCGAAGTGCAAGAGCTCATCATATTGGCCCCATAGCCCTGCTCCGAAGGACACTCCAAAAACGGGCACAGCTGTGTCGATCCATTATTACAGTGGTGGCAAACCTCTGGGCAATGCCCCTAACTGAGCCCGGTCCCAATTCGGCACGTGAAGTCATTTCCCCGAAGCCAAACCCTTCTACCCCCTGCCCTTTGGGGCCTTGATTTTTAGTGCCACCCTGTGTGACGCCCAAATTGGCACCCTTCCGCCTCTTGGACTCCATCGTAAATCTTAGTTGTGGCATCGCCAGTGGCGATCCTGAGGCTCCGCGCACAGTGCGACCTAACCAGGTGCGCTCCCCTAAATCTGCCTCTGCATAGGCAAAGTCAGCCAGTGCCCAATCAGAAGCCTGGAAGTGTTCTCCCAAGGATTCATTGGTAAGGGAGGCTTTGCATCACTGCCAATCAGCTGAGAGGTGGAGAGTGTGAGCCCATCAGGATTGGCCGCGCTGTGGAAGTCACTGCCGATCAGCTGATGGGCAGCGACTTCAAGTCTCTCTTGCCTTGTCTTTTCGTTGTGTTGTGCAGCCAACGGAAAAATGGGTTGCCTGACCTGTGGAAGAGACCACCGGGGATTGGAGCGTCCAGGATCTGGCCTCCTGGGCGGAGCTAATTCCACAGTCCCTGCATTATTTACACACACCAAAATGTAGCAGCAAATAGCATGGTGCCAGATTTATTTAGGTCAGCATCACTTGCAACCTTGTGCGTAGTTTTGCGGCAGTAGGTGGCATTGAATTCAGTGGTATTTCTGACTTAGAGATGGATGAATCTGTCAATTCTGGTTTCTCACACTTTCTCATTTTCTTGGTCTTCCAGTTGAGTTCTCCACATTTCTGCATCAATTTGTGACTACTTCTTTTTAGGTGCTCACGAAAATTCATCAGCGTTTTAGCGCAGATTCTATCCCAAGATACACATTTTTCTATGGAATATTGCCCAGTATACGCATTTTTGCAGATCAGTTTCCCGTAATATAGTGCATTTTGTATGTTACCTTCGTAACACTTGCATTTTAATGCACCTTTTACCCTAGAATGTGCTTTTTTGTGCACATTACTCAGCCGGAGAATTGCACTGCGAAATTTTGAATTTTTTTTTAAAGCATGGCTGTGTTTTGGTTTGTGTATTTTTCCCGAAAGCAGGAATTAGGTAGGTTTGCAATTAAATGTGAGCTGAATTGAATTTCTACTGGATCTCTGCTCCTGACTGCAGAGGTTAAACTTGTAAAACCTGTCGATCTTTGACAAAAGATCTTCATAATTAATGATGTAAATGTCGCAGAGCGTGACGGTCAGTAAATCACATAGTTCAGAGTTGGAGGTAACTCTTTATTAGCAAAAACATAATCCCCACAGACTTGGCTGAGTGTCAGGCTTAATGAGCACAATAGCTCATTCCCTGTGTGTCTTACTCCATGAAATCAGTTGCCGAGACTAAAGGTCCCTGTCTCCCCACAGCCGTCTTAAGCCCCCTCCTCTCTCCAGTTTTTTACAAGCAATCAGAGACTGTGCCTGTGCGAAGCCAACCTCTCCTCCACCCTTTTCATGCCTCTCCTGGTTTTGGGAGACAACAGTAGTAGGGGAGCTTGTTGCGGGGAGCTTGTTGTCATAGGGAGACATCCATGACTCTCCACCAGCCAGACTCATCGCTTCCTCTCGGTCTCCCCTCTCTCCGGCTTCAGCTTCTGCGTCTGATTCTGCACTTCTCTCTTCCACAGACTCTCCCCGCTCACTAAGCCCTGTTACCTCTTCAGCTTTGACACCTCCTCTTCCCATCCATCTCCCTCTTCTCCCTCTGGCCACTCATCGTTCTCTCTCCACCAGTCCCCTGGCTCTCAGCCTCCTTTGGGGTCCCCCAGCTGGTTCCTCCCACCATTCCTCTGCATCCAACTAGTCCGTGACAGTAAACTATATCAGTTAACGTGATTTCACCACTGTGGAATGCAAGGCGAATAGCATGGTTTCTGGTGGAAGCGTAACTGCAGCAGAACGGAAACAGTGGTGCGTGTGATGAATGCAGCAGGGCAGCATGTGAAACGATATCTTCTTTACACACCTGTCTGTCTCTGACGCAGGAGACAGAGCTCAGTCTACGTGGCTACAGACTTATCCGCTTTTGTGACCCTCTGTGCCTGAGAACGGAAGCTTCCCCCAAAATGTCCACATTCCCAAATGTCCACGCTTCCAGTGGCCATGAATGAAGGGTAAACAAGAACACACTGGGCTCCTTTGCTGTCGGTAACTACAAGTTTCTCCCAAGAATAGCACTGATTAAGTCCCCCTGGTGTGTTTTGGGACTGGAAAGATGCCCAGGGATTTCTCACACAGCTGCTTGCTAGCACAACATTAATGATTAACCTACCAGGCCCAAAATGGGCTTATTTCGTGTTCTTATCTCAATGGAATTCTATTTTCAAATAGTTGGCAGCTTTAGCCAACTGAGGGCTGGCTCTCATGACCCTCTCCCCCCCGTTCCATGAGATTTCATTAAAGCTTTTTCATAAAGCAATACAATAAAAAAAAACAACCAGACTAATCTAAATGAAAACAAAACCTGAAAGAGATGATGATGACGATGATGATGCAGAGTCCTCTTTTAAGGGTAGTTCTGAACCCTTGCTTCACACAGAAATTGGTGGGCCCAAAAGCTCTTAAGGGACGCAGGTGGTGCTGTGGGTTAAACCACAGAGCCTAGGACTTGCTGATCAGAAGGTCTGCGGTTCGAATCCCCGCGACGGGATGAGCTCCCGTTGCTCGGTCCCTGCTCCTGCCCACCTAGCAGTTCGAAAGCACATCAAAGTGCAAGTAGATAAATAGGTACCACTCCGGCGGGAAGGTAAACGGCGTTTCCATGCGCTGCTCTGGTTCGCCAGAAGCGGCTTAGTCATGCTGGCCACATGACCCGGAAGCTGTACGCCGGCTCCCTCGGCCAGTAAAGTGAGATGAGTGCCGCAACCCCAGAGTCGGTCACGACTGGACCTAATGGTCAGGGGTCCCTTTAGCTTTACAAGCTCTCACCCATTAGCTTCTCCACCCCAGAAAGTTTGGGGAAAACTGCCCTAAATGGAAGTACATCCCAATTGAGGGGAAGTTGAAGGATGGGCTTGCTAAAGGTTGTGACCTGGGAGAGAAATGAGAGTTGAAACCAGATGGAGGAGAGAGGCCAAAAGCGAGTCCCTTTGTTTCGTGGCACACGGCCAAGCCTCTCACCCCACCCTGAGAGTTCAGTCTTAGCTTGAGAATTTCTTCTGGGGCAAGGACATCCCTTTTATTACAGCATTAACCAGTTCAATGAGTGTACGTAGACCTCTCTTTTTTTTTGAAAAAGAGGATTTGCAAAGGACGTCTCCGTTTACCACAGTCCAACCCAAACAAAGAGATTCTTTTCAGCCTCGCTTGAACATGGGGAGAAAAAGGAATTAGGCTAAACAAAGACCTCGGATTCAGCTCCCCGGAAATAGAAAACTCGATCAGCGTCGATGATGGAGAAGTTCTCTTTTGTCTCCCCTTTTGTAGTTGCACGAAATCTCCCTTAATGCATGTTTTCAGCTGAGGAAACCAAAACCCTTTTGGAGCCGTGAGGGAGGGGCTGGTTAAATATTGACTGTTGGCTTAGTCAAGTTTTGTAGACTAAATCCTGCTCATGTTCAGCCAAACATAACAAACACATACCAGAACGGGGCGGTAATAAAGATGGGAAAGTTCTGTCTCTCTTGCACAAATGATGCAGAAGCAAGGCTTCCAGTCTCTGCCCCGGGAGCCTGAAATGTTATCTTTTAACTCAGCCTTTAGTATTGTGCTGCAGGTTCCAAATAATCTTCATGGTTCCTTTAAGAATTTTTTTCTTTTTTAAAAAAACAAGCAAGGTGATAGTCCTCATGATGCAAGGGAAGAATATATGATGGTTCTGCTGTTCATATAGCATTCTTCAAAAGTCAGGGTGGGTCTTCCAGTAGTAAGAAAATAGTGGTGACAGCGCTAGGAGTGAATTGGGGACCTTCTAGTTTCGTTGCAATAGTGAGAATGGAAGTTTCCGCTTGTGAAATTTTAAGTTCATTAGCACAGAATTTCCCATGATAGTAATGTTAATGGGGGGGGGGGGAATAGGGATGAGGGAGAAAATTGGTTTCATTGAATTTTAATGAAAAACTAGCTAATTTGCGCTTCCCATACCAGTGCATGAACCTATTCTTCAAAATTTGCACACCTCTGAATTTCACAATGTAATTCTCCAAATGCTGTGTACAGAAATGCATATGCAAGGATAAAGTGTGCATTAAAATGCAGGTATTAGTGAAAAAATAACATACAGAAATGCATTATAATGGGGCAATGTTTTGCAGAAATATGTGTCTTAAACAAAACTGAATGCAGAGATTTGCTTATTAGGAGAAAATTGCACTAAATGCACTAGGTGCATTTTCGTGAGGAAAGAATTTGCGGTTTTCTGAGGAAATACGGAGACCTGAATTCAAGATGGGAAGAATGGGAAATGGGGAGAACCCGAAACTGATATATTTGCCTGTTCCCTAGAAAGAAATGGGAGCCTTCTCCCTTGCCCTGTCTCAGTCTGTAGGTGAGTACCCTTCTTTTAAACCACCCATAATCATCCCCCCTTTGCCCGTCTCTTTTAAAAGCATGGCTTTATCATAAGTAGAATCTGACAATTCAACTCCCAGTGCCCGGTGGGCATGCCAGACTATTGTTAGCTAATGAAACAGACTTTGTTCAGCAGCCTAAGTGGGTGCCAAGCATTTTATTTTCCTTTGCGGGTTCTCAAAAAGTTTTTCCTCCTTACCCAAGCTGCATGGAGAATGACAGGACAGTGTCGGGAGAGTTGCTATATTTCAAAAATCTATACTACCAACGTGGGCTGCCAGGCATCCAGCGATTTCTGCCGGACGCTGTTCACAAGGACTGAATACCAGCTGTGTCCGAGAAATTCCAGGCAAGCCAAGATTCTATATTCACCATATTTTTCACTCCATAAGACACACCTGACCATAAGAAGCTGGGTGCAGGGCAGGGAGTCGGGTGAGGTCAGGAGCTCCAGCAGAAGAGCAGGACAGGGTTCAGGCAGGAACAGGCTACCAACAACTTTGCTCCCACAACTTAGGACTGGGACTGGCTGGCTTTTATCTGCCCCGAGGCATAGGGTGGCCCCAGTCCACAGGTGACTCGCTTCTCCTGGCCTGGAGGCGAGCACTCCTCCTGCGGGAACTTAGTTCCCTTCGCCTCTCTGCCCTGACCCTCTGCAGCTCAAGAGAGGCTGGAGGGTTACCGGACCCAGAGGCAACCTCAGCTTCCTCTGACAGGGCTGAGAGTGGACCACCTGCAGGCAATGAGTCCTCAGTCACCTCCGGAGCCAGAGCAGACTCAGCTGGTGCCTGCACCTGAGGATCCAGCACAGGTGAGGACCCTTCAGGCTCAGGCCCCAGCCCCGGCTCAGCTGGTTCTGGAGGCAGGGAATCCTGTGCAGGCTGGGATTCCTCAGGTTCAGCCTCCGAGTCCGAATCCCAGGCCATCACACTGTCCCTCCTCCCACTTCGCTGTGAAGCCAGCAGAGCAAGAGCGATAGCTGTGCAGCGCCTCTTGTTCTGCTGGCTTCCCAGCGAAGCGGGAGGAGGAACGGAAGGGAGGAGGAACGGCTCTTTAAAGGGAGCGCCGATCAGAGCCTGCCGCCTGCATTTGCTCCATAAGACGCACACACATTTCCCCTTACTTTTTAGGAAGAAAAGTCTTATGGAGCGAAAAATACGGTAGGTTTTATTTTGGAGAGCAAGCAAGGACTGGTGCTCTTTGGTACAGAAAAACAAGCCAGAGAAATGGCTCCGTCCATGACTATTCGCCATGGTGATATGGGACCATTGCTTTCTATCCTGTTCATCGGTCAGCTGGAGTTTCGTAGAATCATAGCTTTGGAAGGGACCCCAAGAGTCATCTAGTCTAACCCCCTGCATTGCAGGGATTTCAGCTAAAGCATCCATGACAGGTGGTTTCTGGTGAGCCAAGTGAGGCAGCCAAGTTGGCTGATGACACCCAATTGTTTGGGGTGGCAAAAAGGAAAAGGGATTGTGAGGAGCTCCAAAAGGATCTCTCCAAACTGGGTGAATCCGAGCAATAAAATGGCAGATAATAATAATAATAAAATAATAATAAATTTTTATTTGTACCCCGCCCTCCCCGGCCAGAGCCGGGCTCAGGGCGGCTAACACCAGTAAAATCACAATAAAAACATAATAGGGGAGGGGGGGGAAACCAACTTAAAATACGGGTTAAAATACAATTTAAAATGCAGCCTCATTTTAATAGTAGCCCATAGTTCAAAACCATAAGGGGAGGGAAACATCAGGGTCAGACTGAGTCCAAACCAAAGGCCAGGTGGAACAGCTCTGTCTTGCAGGCCCTGCGGAAAGATGTCAACCCCCCCGCAGGGCCCTAGTCTCTTGTGACAGAGCCTTCCACCAAGTCGGGGCCAGTGCTGAAAAGGCCCTGGCTCTAGTTGAGACCAATCTAACCACCTTGCAACTTGGTACCTCCAAAGTGTTGTCATTTGTGGACCTTAAGGTCCTCCGCGGGGCATACCAGGAGAGGCGGTCCCGTAGGTACGTGGGTCCTAGGCCGCATAGGGCTTTAAAGGTCAAAACCAGCACCTTAAACCTGACCCTGTACTCCACTGGGAGCCAGTGCATTTGGTAAAGCACTGGATGAATGCGATGCGATGCAATTGTTTTAGCTGGTCTAAAATGATGCTCATCTGGGCAAAAAAACTCCCACAATTTCTGCATATACCCTCATGGGGCCTGAACTGGCAGTGACTGAACTGGTGCAAGACCTTTGGGTCGTAAAGGATGCCTCAGTAGAGCTGTTGACCCTGTATTTGATGGCTGTGAAAAAGAATGGCACGCTGCATGTGGATCATTAGGAGAGGGAATGAAAACAGCCTTTCCAATATTATGACGCTGTCGAACAAATTGATGGTGCGGCTGCATTTGGAATTCTGTGTGCAGTCCTTGGCACCTCGCCTCGAAAAAGATATTGCGGAGCTGGAAAAGGTTAAGAAAGGGACAATCCAAACCCATCAAGGAGATGGATCGACTCTCCTGTGAAGGAAGCATTTGGAGCTTTTTAGTTTAGGGAAAAGGTGAGTAGAGGTCTATAACAAATATCAGGAGATATCCAATGAATCTGAGGACTGGGAAATTCGGAAAAAGGAGGAACTTCTTCACACCAAAACATATTTGATGCTAAGGAGTCTCGGCAGCTGCTTAAATTTTCTTGATTAGTTGGTCGTTTCAATGATTAATTTGTATTTGTGGTGTTTAAATATTGTATATGCCTAGGGACGCGGGTGGCACTGTGGTCTAAACCACAGAGCCTAGGACTTGCCGATCAGAAGGTCAGCAGTTCGAATCCCCGCAACGGGGTGAGCTCCCATTGCTCGGTCCCTGCTCCTGCCAACCTAGCAGTTCGAAAGCACGTCAAAGTGCAAGTAGATAAATAGGCACCACTCTGGTGGGAAGGTAAACGGGTTTTCCATGTGCTGCTCTGGTTTGCCAGAAGTGGCTTAGTCCTGCTGGCCACATGACCCGGAAGCTGTACGCCGGCTCCCTCGGCCAATAAAGTGAGATGAGCGCCGCAACCCCAGAGTCGGCCACGACTGGACCTAATGGTCACGGGTCCCTTTACCTTTATGTCTATACATTTTAGACTGCCTTGCTATTTAATTTGTATTTGTGGTGCTTTATGTTTAAACACTTTATATGTGCATATATTGTAGGCAGTGGTACCTTGGTTCTCGAACTTAATCCATTCCAGAAGTCCGTTCGACTCCCGGAACTGTTCGAAAACCAAGACACGGCTTCCAATTGGCTGCAGGAGCTTCCTGCACTCAATTGGAAGCCGTGTCGAACACTCGCTTTTGCGGCATTTGGGAGCCGGTTTGTTTGACAACTAAGCCGTTTGAGAACCAAGGTACCACTGTATTTTACATGGAACAGCGAAACATAAATACTTTAATAAATACATACGAACCCGCTCAGACCCTGAGATCCGTATCTGATCCCCTTCTCTGTGTGCCCCCTTCTGGGGGCATTCTGGAGGCTGGAGGCGAGAGAGTGGGGCCTTTTCTGTAACCGAAGGCTGCTTGAGTTGGAACAGAGCAGGATTTTGCTTCCCGAAGAACGTAACTCAGGATCTGTTACGGCGGAGGAAGGAGAGCAGCTTTTGCAGGTTGTCGGTTTTTCTTTATTACAAGGGCTGAACAAACCATGCACCGGCCATCAACGGGCAGCGAACAGATTTATAGCTGGTCTTTGCCACACTGAGAGCTCTGCTGTGCCGCCAGGCAGGGAAGGCAAAATTTAAGGCGCGCTCTGGCCTTGATCCGAGAAAGTCCTTGGCTGCGTCGTCACTCCCTTGCTTTATGGTCTCTTCTCTTGCAGGTGCAAGGAGCAAATTATGGGTCTGTTAGGACCATATTTTTTAAAGTCTGTAGGTCCAGTGGTTCAAAACTGACCATAAGGGAATCTTCGTGTATGATGCTAAGTTCTCTTTTGGGCGGGGAGTGTTGACAATCAGACATGTCCTGATTATTATAAGGGTGACAAAAATGAAACTGCTTAGATCAGGGCTGTCCAACAGGTCAATCGCAATCTACTGGTGGATCACAGGATGTCCCCGGTTGATCCTGGTTCATCGCGGGAACTCGCCCCCTCCACCCCAAAAAACAAGAAACTCAATAACTTTGCCTCATCCTCCCCCCCAAAAGCTCAACAACTCTGGACAATCAATAATAATAATAATAACAACAATAATAATAATAATTTATTATTGATAACCTGCCCATATGGCTGGGCTTCCCCAGCCACTCTGGGCGGCTTCCAAAAAAATATTAAAATACTGTAATACATCAAACATTAAAAGCTTCCCTAATCCAATGGGAAAATCACTGCCAGTTTTTTTATAGTGGGAATAGATCGCAGTCTCTTGGAAGTTGGACATGCCTGGCTTAGATTAATCGATAAAAGCATTTTGAATGACTAAAAGGGTGCATTTTTAAAAAAAGAAAACACAACACCCAATCTGTATACCTATAAGAAACTGCAGATGACGGATTCGAAACCAGGAGGAATCAAAATTCCAAAGAGATTGGAGCAAATTTACTGATTATCTAAATAATAACTGTAGAAGTTTGAAGACACTAGCAGGATTAAAATAAATCTTATGACATGGACTTGAATAAAGAGGAAACTGTGAGATATAGATTGGAAATAGAAAACTGTTGGCGGGAGGGAGCGAGGGAAGTCATTGCTCGGCAGAGCGGGGGGAAAGGAGTTCTACAAATGGATGTTGAAATTTATTGTTTTTTTGTTTAAAGTGAAAATTCAATTAAAAAGTATTTTTTTTAAAAAAAAGAAAGAAACTGCAGATGACCATTCTAAATGAGGTATTTTTTCTTGTGTGTGACAGAAGGGGTGTGTGTGGGGTGTCCTTTTGAAGATGCAGTATATATGTGTGTGTGTGTGTATATATATACACACACACACACACACACTTTTTCTGGTGTATCTTTACTGCCCTAAGGGCTGGAAAGTTTGTCTTAACTTAAATAAAATTTAAGCCTGTTTTGAGTTGTTGAATTGGGCACTTTTTGACAATGTCTGCATTTGCCGTTTGGCTCCTAGATGAAGCCACTGCCCACGAAGGTTCTAGCAGTTTATGCCACTGGAGTTTCACCGTGGGGTGGTAAAAACAGGTGCAGTTTGGTAATTCTACGGAGGGGGTGCCATTTTGTCCTTACACCATGAGTACTGATGGGTGAACTCCCAGGCTCAGCTTAGACGGTAATTGCTGGTCCCAAACAAAAGTGTTTCGTTCTCACAGAGAACGTCTCTCCTCTCAACCCCAAATTCTCAATAGATTCCTAACTGTTGACCGACCTCCAGCTGCTTAACAGGGAGATGGTGGCTTCTGCTCAGTGACTGAAGAAGGTCATTCTCAACTCTCCTTTTTTCTTCCTTTCTCCCACCATCCTTGGTGCCTGGAATTCCATTTATAGTTACATTTCAGAGCCCTGGGAAATATAATTTCCCCAAGGCAATGGTAGCCATACTGATACCAGGTACCTCCCAGGGCTCCCAGCACTTAGGACATTGACAACAGTCAGGTCAGTGGGTGGTTGGGAATAAGGAGGAGTTCTTCTGCGGCTCAGATTAAATCCAAGTCGGGGCATTACTCAGGATTCTTAATGCTCACCTTGTACAGTGGTACCTTGGCTTACAGACGCTTCAGGTTACGCGATTTCAGGTTGCGCACTGTGCCAAACCCAGAAGTACTGGAACGGGTTACTTCCAGGTTTCGGTGCATGCGCGGACGCGCCGAATCGCGACCTGCGCATGCGCAGACGCAACGCTGCGGGTTGCAGACGGTGCAGGTTGTGCCTCCCGCACGGATCACGTTTGCAATACGAGGTTCCACCGTATTGAAAGTAGCATTATGAATAAGTGAGATTTGTATTCGGAGCCAATGAATTATGGACTTCAGTGAAATCTGACATCAGGAATCGCAAGACAGAGAAACCAATAGGAGAGCACTTCAATCTCCCAGGACATCCAATACAAGATCTCAAAGTCGCTGTCTTGTTACAAAAGAATTTCAGAAATAGACTGGAAAGAGAAGTTGCTGAGTTGCAACTTATTACCAAACTTAAAACCATGGAGAGACCTGGTCTGAATAGAGACATTGGATTCTTATCTCATTATATACGATAAAGCTATTTTTAGCCATCTCACCCCTTGCTTTTTCCTGTAAGACAAATTGCAGTCGTTAACAGGTTTACCACACCTATCAGCCAATCACCCATTCCCACCACCCTTCTGAATAATACCCCTCCCCACCCTCCCACTATATATAAGGGTCTGGTGACTTCTGTTTCAGTGTATCTGAAGAAGTGTGCATGCACACGAAGGCTCATACCCAGAACAAACTTAGTTGGTCTCTAAGGTGCCACTGGAAGGAATTTGTTTATTTTGTTTCAGTGAACCAGTCATTTATGAGTGTGGAAGGGAACAGACACATCCTGTGTTCAGGTGGTGAAGGGTTACCTGGGCAAATGCCATTTTTTTTGCTTGTATGCAATATCTGAGGTGGCTTTTGTGGTTCCCGTTTCTCCAGAGGCGCTTCTTGGGTGACGCTTCTGAAGCGAACACGTCAGGGTAAGAGGGGCAGAATGAAAATTGTATTGTTTTCAAGACTTTCCGGGCCTTATTTTAATCTGTTTTATCTTCTTCCATTCCATTTTTTTAGCACCTATAACCAGGCCTGTGAATGAGCGGGGATCGTGTGGGAACCTAGGAGGTGCTGTGTCGCAGCCGGAGATTTAGACCTGAGCCGGCTCATTCAAGTAAATAAAATCACTGTTCTGTCTTGTGTGAGGGAGGGATAAGGACAGGATGACCTCGAGGCCAACCCACGAGAGCACCGCATCCTAAGCTAATTCCTTTTCTTCCTCACTGCCCCCGCAGTCAACCCAATTCGTCCCTTTTGCTGATTGACATTTCCCTGGTCAGAATCTGCATACCCCGTGGTTGGTCAGTGAGTTTGCATGGGGGTTATAATAGCTATCTCTCCCTGCTAGGTGAGTAAACTTGTCATTCCACGGTGGCCATTGGTTCTTTTGAATGTGCCACAACTTAGTGAAAGAGGATGGGTTCAGGTATATGGGAATAAGGCATCTTGAATTTTTCACCTTTCAAATTCCAAAAACTAGGGATGCTAAAAAAAAGAAAGAAATATATTAACCTGACTTGGGAATTTGAAAGATATGTCAGTTAAATTAATACAATTTCGTTTTGTTTGGTAAGTAAAGTGTGCATAAAATTGCATAGAAATCATTAAAAATGATTGCCAAGTACTTGCAGTCATTTCTTGTTGCTGTTATTTATTTAGCATTACGTGTTTACAGAAGGTGAAATTCTTTGGTTTTCCTAAAGCGGTATATGTGCTTCTTCATGAAGCACAGACTTGCCGAGCTAAATGTTCTCCAGTCACAAAAATAACAGCAGATTTAGAGACTCACCCCCCATTGAAGAAATTGGCAAAAATTAAGTTTCACCCCCAAAATGACACGCCCTGGTATGGAAAGGTGCCTGAGTTGGTCACATGGAACCTGTGACTCCATGCTACCTTGAAGAAATGTCTTACACACACACACCCATAAACACAAACACACATTGTCTCTCCCCACTTCATGCATATGCATACAGCTAAATGGTTAAGTCTTCAACTTCCCCGGTTTTCAAATGGCAGCAGCGAGGAGCTGCAGGCTATCACATTTGTGGATCTCGACCTGTTTGGTAGAACATGTCTCTCCTCTCGCTCCTCCAGTTTCATCACCTGCTTGTAGGCACCTGTTTAACTACTGTGAGAAGGGGATAAGAGACCAAACGAGTCTGTGGCCTCATCCAGCAGCCAAGGCTCTCCTTAGATTATGATGCAATTAACTACCAGCCTCCCTGACATTTAGCACCTGATATTGGAACAGCATTCATAGGATCATAGAATCGGCGAGTTGGAAGGGACCCCCGAAGATGTTCTAGTCCAGCATTTCCCAAACTCGGGTCTTCAGCTGTTTTTGGACTACAACTCCCATCTGCCCTAGTGGTCAGGGAAGATGGAAATTGTAGTCCAAAAACAGCTGGAGATTGGCCCAATCCAACAGCTCTTTTCTCACGGCACTGGGGACTAGACATGTTGTTTTGTGGCTCTCTCTGTGTGTTTGTGTGTAGCTGTTGTGGTTTTCCGAACGCCAGTGCACTTAACATCCTTGCTGCAGGATGCTATTGGTGTGTGCGTGTGTGTGTGTTGGAAAGGGAGCATGGGGGCGTTGGTAGCTGTGGTTTCGCTCTACATGCAGCAATCGTAATTACGTCCGGTTTGCTGTTGTCCTACTCCCTGCTGTCTCAGTGTGAGGGTTGCCGCACTTTGCTAGCTTGCTGCCCACCCAAACTGCCCCTTCGCTGATGCCCCCTTTGCAAGGAGTCAGGTGTACACAGCTGGCGTCCTGGAATCTCCTTCAGGTGCTGCCATTAAGCCCTGGGATGAGCAAAGAGGAGAATCTCACAGAACATCTACAGCAGCAGATTCCTATGTTCCTAAGATGGAATGGGGGAGGAGATGGCAGGCAGATAATTCAGGTGAGGCTGCTAAGGTGCTTAGCCGGTATCAGACCTCGGGGTGGGGGGAGAGACAGATTGCAATGGTTGGGGCCCCCAATGGCTCTCTCCCAGTTGTTTTGATGACCTTGGCAGGCTGGAGGGCGATTTCAGCTTCGCTCTGTTTTATAAAATTGCACCCATGTAAGGGCCAGAAGGAGGGACGCGGGTGGCGCTGTGGGTTAAACCACAGAGCCTAGGACTTGCCGACCAGAAGGTCGGCGGTTCGAATCCCTGCGACGGGGTGAGCTCCCATTGCTCGGTCCCTTCTCCTGCCCACCTAGCAGTTCGAAAGCACGTCAAGAGTGCAAGTAGATAAATAGGTACTGCTCCGGCGGGAGGGTAAATGGCATTTCCGTGCGCTGCTCTGGTTTGCCAGAAGCGGCTTAGTCATGCTGGCCACATGACCCGGAAGCTGTCTGCGGACAAAGGCCGGCTCCCTCGGCCTATAGAGCGAGATGAGCGCCGCAACCCCAGAGTCGGCCATGACTGGACCTAATGGTCAGGAGTCCCTTTACCTTTACTTAAGGGTCAGAAGGCTATATTATTAGCCCTGGACTGTGGCCAGCTGAGCTCAGGGGCCTGGCCTGGTTAGATCCTGTACCGGACTGCAGTAGGTCTACATGAGGGTCAGTGTGCAGGGCAGTGGTAAGAAACCCACCCAAAGTGAGTCTGGGATGAGGTGTGGCCAGTATCCCATCACCGGAATCCAGGATCTAAGTTGTCATCTACTGTGCCCTTCCCCGGGGGCACTTGGGTGGGCGGCTCCCCCCATTCTTCCTCATCTAGCCAGTCCCTAACAGGTAGGCAAGTGGGTGAGCAGGCTAACAGGTCAGGAAGGGGACAGGACGAGAGGGGGATGGCAGGCAGTAGCGTCTAGTGGTCACAGTAGGTCTCCATTGCTCTCCCAGCTTCCCAGCACCAGGGGTTGCTGCCAAGAGGGGCAAGCAGGGGTGCCAGCTTGAATAAAACATTGGAGGGGGGCCAGGTAAGCCCCGCCCCATATAATCAGTCACCAGATGTGGCACCCACCCACGGTTTGAATGGCAATGCCCATCAACTCTGGGGGGCTGGCCCCCTCAAATGTTTTATTGAGAGCAGCAGGGACCTCGGCTCCTAAGAATTGGCTCCTGTTATGGGGGCGAGGCACAGGGAGACTGTAGTCTGGAACACCCTCCTCTCTCTGACCAATAAAGTCTGGATTTTTACACCTCTGCTGTTGTGATGTGTACTGTTTTTATACCATTCTTCCGTTTTCCTTTTGTTTTTCGCTGCATTTTGTTTCATACTGCTTATGTATATTTTAAATGTTCGGCAGCTCAGAAACACTGCGAAAGAGGTGAGCGGGAGTTGCGGTGCGCCAGCTCCTGGCCCTTGCCCTGGCCCAGAAACGAGAATTGTAAGGATGCAAGTAGAGCCCTGCAGGATCAGGCCCATGGCCCATCTAGCTCTCAGCATCCTTTTTCCCACAGTGGCCAACCCTGAAACAAAAGCTTGCAAGCAAGACATGAGTGCCCACAGCCCTCTCTCCATCAGCAGTTTGGGATTCCAAGGTTTACTGCCTCCCTGGTGGAGATGGAGACAAGCCATTGTGGCTAGTAGCCACCGATAGCATGCCATTCGGTTGAATTGGCTCCCGCAGGACGTAATGATGGCTACCAACCTTGATGGCTTTAAAGGGGGAGGCGGGAAAACCATGGAGGACATCTGTGGATGTGGGCCACAATGGCCGTGTTCTGTCCCCCAGGGTCAGAGACAATATGCCTTCTGAATCCCAGCTGCTAGGGGACTCAAGTAGGAGTCAAGGACACTAATTATAATAATAATAATAATTCATTATTTATACCCTGCCCATCTGGCTGGGCTTCCCCAGCCACTATGGGCGGCTTCCAACAAAATATTAACATTAAAAGCTTCCCTAAACAGGGCTGCCTTCAGATGTCTTCTAAAAGTCTGGTAGTAGTTGTTCTCTATGACATCTGATGGGAGGGCATTCCACAGGGTGGGTGCCACCACCGAGAAGACCCTCCGCCTGGTTCCCTGTAACTTGGCTTCTCGCAGGGAGGGAACCGCCAGAAGGCCCTTGGCACTGGACCTCAGTTTCTGGGTAGAACGATGGGGGTGGAGACGCTCCTTCAGATATACTGGACCGAGGCCGTTTAGAGCTTTAAAGGTCAGCACCAACTTGCACCCAGGTCCTGCTTGGATGCTTCCTGTTGTGGCCATCTCTTTGGCTACTTGGAATACAGGATGCTAGGCTGGCTAGATGGGCCTTTGGTGAGGTCTTCCCACGTTTATTCGTCTTGTGCCTTCATAGCTGGGCTTTTCTTGTGTTCAATGGCTGCTCCAAGCAACCTCTTTTTGTGACGTCCTGTTCTTTCCCCTTTCTCTCTCCCAGTGCCACTGACATCTTGTGCCTCCACTACCATACCTTGCCATGGCCAAATTAGAGACCCTCTCCGTCCTTAGTGACGCCAGCTACCACAACAAAGAAGCCTTCCACCCTTTCGACCCCAGGCTCACCGAACCCGCCTCCCAGGGCACGATGGGAAGTGTCGGCAGCGGCGTCGCCGGCGAGCAAGAGTTCGCCATGAAGAGCGTAGGTACCAGGACGCAGAGCGGCGGCCGCCAGGTCGATGGGTCCCGGAACAGCTACTCCACGCGGGAGATCTCGAACCGCTACTCCGGGGAGGAGAAGACCTACAAGACGGAGAAGATCTCCCACTCCATCTTCATCAACGGGGACCTGCGCAAGAGCGAGAAAGGCAAGGCGGACCTCTGTGGGAACGTCGCAGCCAACAACGAGAAGAACATCCCACCTCCTCCCCAGTACAGAGAACCCAGTAACCCACCAAAGATATTGCCAGTCTCTGGTAAACTAGACCAGGTGAGACTCAATTTACATGGAGTTGCCTTGGGCAAGGTAGTAGTAGTAGTAATAATAATAATAATAATTAATAATTTAATATTTATACCCCACCCATCTGGTTGGGTTTCCCCAGCCACTCTGGGCGGCTTCCAACAGAACACTAAAATACAGTAACCTATTAAACATTAAAAGCTTCCCTTCAGATGTCTTCTAAATGTCTGGTAGTTGTTTTTCTCTTTGACATCTGGTGGGAGGGTGTTCCACAGGGCGGGTGCCACTACTGAGAAGGCCCTCTGCCTGGTTCCCTGTAATTTGGCTTCTCGCAGCGAGTGAACTGCCAGAAGGCCCTCAGAGCTGGACCTCAATGTCCGGGCAGAACGATGGAGGTGGAGATGCTCCTTCAGTGACACGAACAAATTTAATAAATCACCATCATCCTCATTAAGTGGTCCGCCAAGACCCCCACAATTTTCAAGTGGGGCATGGCCGGGGGTTGGAATTTGAGACCTGATGTCCTAGGAACATAGGAAGCTGCCAAGTCAAACAATTGGTGGAGAAATTCCAGACCCTTGACCATCTTGGTTGCCCTAAACCAGGCATAGGCAAACTCGGCCCTCCAGATGTTTTGGGACTACAACTCGCATCATCCCTGACCACTGGTCCTGTTCGCTAGGGATGATGGGAGTTGTAGTCCCAAAACATCCGGAGGGCCGAGTTTGCCTATGCCTGCCCTAAACTGTACACCTTCCAGCTTGTCAACATTCTTAAATTGTGGTGCCCAGAACTGGTCACAGGACTCCAGGTGTGGTCTGACCAAGGCAGAATAGAGTGGTCCTATGACTTCCCTTGACCAAGACACTAGACTTCTGTTGATGCAGCCTAGAATAGCATGAGCTTTTTTTGTTGCTGCATCACACTGTGGACTCATGTTCAGCTTGTGGTCCACTAAGATCCCCTAGATCCTTTTCACATGTACTACTAGTAAGCCAGGTGTCTCCCATCTTATATTTGTGTATCTAGTTCTCCTTGCCTAAGTGCAGAACCTGACATTTGTCCCTATTGAAATCCATTCACCTGGCTTGGGCCCAGTTCTCCAATCTCTTGCGGTCGTATTGACTCTCAATTCTGTCTTCCGTGGCATTACTTACCCCTCCCAACTTGGCGTCATTTGCAGGTCTGATGAGCTAGAAGCAAGTTTCTCATTTCCCAGGGCTTTTGGCCCTTAATGTGAAGGTGTGTTACGTATTTGCGGCCTCTTTTGGCGTGGCAGGATCTGCTAAAACCTGTGTCTGATTTGTACACATCTTCGGGTTGGGGTTTTTAAAAAAGTTTTTATGTAGTAATAATAACAATAATAATTTTATTATTTATACTCCGCTCATCTGGCTGAGTTGCCATAGCCACTCTGAGCGGCTTCCAGCAAAATAAAAAATATATTTTAAAAAACCTCCCTATACAGGGCTGCCTTCTGTCTTCTAAAAATCATACAGTTGTTTATCTGTTTTACATCTGATGGAAGGGCGTTCCACAGGGTGGACACCACCACCAAGAAGGCCCTCTGCCTGGTTCCTTGTAGTTTCACTTCTTGCATTGAGGGAACCGCCAGAAGGCCCTCGGAGCTGGAGAAGAAAAATGAGAAACACACATAGCGCAGGAATCACATGCTGACATTGTCCTTTCCTGCCTCATTCTCCCTGTCCCCATAAAGCTGGGTGACTGTCGAGGAGGAGGGCGGTTGCCTGGGGGGAGAGGTGGAGAAGAAGGAGGGGAGGGATGTTGGGGGTAGAAGGAGAAAGAAACGCAGAAGACACTCCTCACTTTCAGGGTTATATTTATATCCCTCCTTATAGAGCACACACACCATCAAGCTACCGTATTGTTCGCTCTATAAGACGCACCAGACCATAAGACGCATCTAGTTTTTGGAGGAGGAAAACAAGAAAAAAAATATTCTGAATCCCAGAAGCCAGAACAGAAAGAGTGATCGCTGCGCAGCAATCCCTCTTGCTGTTCTGGCTTCTGGGATAGCTGTGCAGCCTGCCTTCGCTCCATAAGACGCACACACATTCCCCCTTACTTTTTAGGAGGGAAAAAGTGAGTCTTATAGAGCAAAAAATACGGTACTTTGCCATTTCCTTGCGTTTCTCAAGGTCTCTGTATAAAACCAAGGAACTATTAGTTACTGAAGCTGGGGAGGATTTTTGTTGTTGGGGGAGATTTTAAGAAGAGAAACAGTCATGCAAAAGTGTTTTCGCACTTTTTTGCCATTGCTTTATTTTGGCCTGCAAGTTAAAGCTGCCGGTTCCTCAGAGAGAAATAGAGATAACACAGGAAATTATGGGCTGCAAGTTAATGAAAAGATGTGCCCCCCCAAGCTCCTCTGAACATTCCTCAAGTCACCCCACAGTGCTATGGCACACCGGTTGAACACCAGTGCTCAGGATTGGATTATCACTTGTAGTTTAAGGTTGAATTATGGACATAGTGGAAGAGGTAAAGGATTTGGATTATCATAAAAGGAGGAAATGATAAATAATAGGACCCACTAAGGCAGCCTTTCTCAACCTGTGGGTCCCCAGATGTTGTTGAACTACAACTCCCATCACCCCTAGCTAGCAAGGCCAGAGCTCAGGGATGATGGGAGTTGTAGTCCAACAACATGTGGGGACCCACAAGTTGAGAACCACTGCACTAAGGGGACGATGGAAGTCCAGAAGATTTCTTGGAATCTTGTGTTTATGATTTATGCTTGATATATCTCTGTGAAATTTTAATTTGAGAAACAAAATAAATATTATTATTTTTAAAGAAAACCAATGCTCTAGCCAACCGAGCTATCCAGGTATGTGTCAATCCTCTCGTGTTTAATTTGCTGTCCTGTTTTTTTCTTTCCCTCCTCCTTGCAGAGCAATGAGCCCTTAGTTAGACCTTCAGCCTTTAAGCCCGTAGTCCCTAAAAACTTCCATTCCATGCAGAACCTGTGCCCGCCGCAGAACAACGGCATCTCGGAGACCCGGAAGACCTTGAACCACACCAACAGCAATAGCCCTTCCACGGTCAAAAGTGGGATGGAGAAGGCCAGCCATAACAGGACTACCAACCAGACGGGCGGCCTCTCTGATTCCGGGCGGAACTCTTTGACCAGCCTGCCCACCTACGGCACAGGCTACAGCCAGCACATCGGGCCCATGAGCGCCTCAACCAGCCACATAAACCGCATCGGGACCACCTACGTGGACAAGAACATTGTGGGCTACAATGGGATATCTACCTCAGACAGCGGCCGGTCTTCCAGCAAGAGCACGTCTTCGTTCAGCCGGCTCAACCACCTCAACGAGACGATGCCCTTCCACTCGCCCTCAACGGACGACATCATCCAGGACTTGGAGGACCGGCTGTGGGAGAAGGAGCAGGAGGTCCTTCAGATGAGGAGGAACCTCGACAAGAGCGAAGCAGCCATCTACCAGGTCTTTGAGGAGAAGCAGAAGATCTGGGAGCGCGAGATGGAGGACCTGCGGCAGAATTACGCCAACAAGCTGCAGCAGGTGTCCAAGAAGGCTCAGAGGGCGCAGCAGGCTCTGCAGCTGCAGATCTTCAAGCTCCAGCAGGAGAAGAAGAAGCTCCAGGACGACGTGGGGCAGCTCCTCCAGCAGCGGGAAGAGCTGGAGAAGAAATTCGTGGCTTTCAAGAAGGAGCAGGCCGAGTTCCTTCCCAAGATCGAGGAGACCAAGTGGGAGGTGAGAGGCAGGTGTGGTCTCTGTCACGGTCAGCCAACATGGGGGCCTTCAAGATGATGATGATGATGATGATAATAATAATAATAATAATAATAATTTATTATTTGTACCCTTCCCATCTGGCTGGGTTTCCCCAGCCACTCTGGGCGGCTTCCAACAAAGATTAAAAATACATCAAAATGTCACACATTAAAAAAATTCCTGAACAGGGCTGCCTTCAGATGTCTTCTAAATGTCAGGTAGTTGTTGTTCTCTTTGACATCTGGTGGGAGGGCGTTCCACAAGGCGGGTGCCACCACCGAGAAGGCCCTCTGCCTGGTTCCCTGTAGCTTTGCTTTTCCCAGTGAGGGAACCGCCAGAAGGCCCTCAACACTGGACCTCAGTGTCCGGGTTGAACGATGGAGATGGAGACGCTCCTTCAGGTCTACTGGGCCAAGGCCATTTAGGGCTTTAAAGGTCAACACCAACAAGTTGAATTGTGCTCGGAAATGTACTGGGAGCCATGTAGGTCTTTCAAGAGGTTGTTGGTCTGAGGAGGGGGTGTAATCTAGAAACGTCCTGAAGGCCCACATTATGTGTGAGCGACCTTTGACCCTTCAGATGTTGCAGAGCTACAACTCCGATGGGATTTGTTGGTCAGCAATATTTGGAGTGCCAGAGGTTGTGGTGGTGGTGGTTTTACTTTTATTTATATTTATTCATTTGTATTTTACTATAGTGGTACCTTGGTTCTCGAACTTAATCCATTCCGGGAGTCCGTTCGACTCCCAAAACCATTTGAAAACCAAGGCACGGCTTCCGATTGGCTGCAGGTGCTTCCTTCACTCAGTCAGAAGCCACGTCAGATGTTCGGCTTCCGAAAAACGTTTGCAAACTGGAACACTTACTTCCAAGTTTGGGGCGTTCGGGAGCCGATTTACAGTGGTGCCCCGCAAGACGAATGCCTCGCAAGACGGAAAACCCGCTAGACGAAAGGGTTTTCCGTTTTGGAGGTGCTTCGCAAAACGAATTTCCTATGGGCTTGCTTCGCAAGACGAAAATGTCTTGCGAGTTCCTGCGGGGTCCCCCCCCCCTTTTCCCAAGCCGCTAAGCCGCTTATCAGCTGATCCTAAGCCGCTAAGCCGCTTAACAGCTGATCCGCTAAGCCGCTTATCAGCTGATCTGCTAAGCCGCTTAACAGCTGATCCGCTAAGCCGCTTATCAGCTGATCCGCTAAGCCGCTTAACAGCTGATCCGCTAAGCCGCTTATCAGCTGATTCTCTAAGCCGCTAAGCCGCTTATCAGCTGATTCTCTAAGCCGCTAAGCCGCTTATCAGCTGATCCGCTAAGCCCGCTAAGCCGCTAATAGCGCTAATCCGCTAAGCTGCTAATGGGCTTGCTTCGCAAGATGAAAAAACCGCAAGACAAAGAGACTCGCGGAACGGATTCTTTTCGTCTTGCGAGGCACCGCTGTATTCGGGAGCCAAGCTGTTCGAGTACCAAACAGTACTGTATTAGTATATAAAGCCCCTAAGTGCTGGCAACCAATTTACTTATGGGATTGACTTGCCTCTTTCCATGCCTGTTAGATCATTTCACTCTGCCAAACTAGCATTCCTACAAGTGCCACATTACGTCCACTACACATTTGCAAGGAGCTTTTCCTTCACGTGTGCTGTGGAACTCCCTGCCCCTTGATGTTAGGTAGGTGCCCTTCTGGATTGTTTTAGATGCCTCCTGAAAACATTTCTGTTCCAGCAAGTCTGTCCAGTCCCCTGATTTAGTTACTTATATTTGTTGTAAAGACTTGCTAGTTTTATCTTTTCATAGTGGTGAGGTTGGTGATGATTCTATGCCTATTTGTTTCTACGTGGTTCATGGGTTTTAGCTATGTTTTCAACATTCTATTGGATAATTTCTTTCAATCCTGCGGTTTATTATCTAAAGAAACAAATTAAACTCAGGCACCCAAATCTTAGGGCACTTCGACTTTCATCAGTGTTTTGGGGTTGGATTCCATTACATACTGGTAAATTCAGGTTGTAAAATTATAGTGGATTGGGAGGTCTTGTGCAGCAATCTGGACTTTTCGTGATAAGGAAGGGGGGTGAGGCACAGGAAAGTGTGAGATAATAACACTTGCTTTGATGCAATCTCATCTAACCTCCCTGCAAGCAAATTGGAATGAATGCACGTTAAATAGCCAATGGTGTCTAATCTCCCTGCAAGCAAATCTGGGTGCAGCCTCATTAAACTGGTCATCTGGAAGCACCCCTTAACATTACAAGGTTCTTACAAAAACACTGTTGTGCTGCCACCAAAACGCAACTTGCAGAATTGACTCTCTGCAGACAGCAGGCTTGGTTAAAAAGTCTGCAAGCTGCTGTTTGAGATCAACTCAGGGTGATCACAGAATGCAGATTCCTTCAGGTTTTGTGCTTCAGGAGACAGTGGGGAGGAGTATCAAGCAGCTTGAAAAGGTAAAGGGACCCCTGAGCATTAGGTCCAGTCGTGGCCGACTCAGGGGTTGCTGCGCTCATCTTGCTTTATTGGCCGAGGCAGCCGGCGTACAGCTTCCGGGTCATGTGGCCAGCATGACTAAGCCGCTTCTGGCGAACCAGAGCAGCGCACGGAAATGCCTTTTATCTTCCTGCCAGAGCGGTACCTATTTATCTACTTGCACTTTGACGTGCTTTTGAACTGCTAGGTTGACAGGAGCAGGGACCGAGCAACGGGAGCTCAACCCATCGTGGGGATTCGAACCGCCGACCTTCTGATTGGCAAGTCCTAGGCTCTGTGGTTTAACCCACAGTGCCACCCGCATCCATCAAGCAGCTTAGTCTTGGTCTATAATGTTGTCTCTTTTGAGTTGTGCCCTGTCTGGACTAGCAGGAAACCAGCACAATGAACCATGCTCTTTTGTCGGCCGGGTTGTGGCTTAGGTGTTCCATACACCCTTTGGAGAGAAATGAGATGGAAGAGCTTGTGAGTCTCCACGGGCCTTTTAAAAGCATCAGAGTGCGCCTGAGCAAACATGCCTGACCCCCCAAAAAGACTCCCTCTGAAAAGCACTTAAGAGAGACTGTGTTAACTGTACCCTTTTATGTTGGCCCAACTTAACTGGAAATACTGTTCTTCCTCAGACTCATAGCTGTCAACCTTCCCTTTTTTGGCGGGAAATTCCCTTATTCCAGCGCCGTTTCCCACTGCTTCCTGCTGCTATCCCGGATTGTTAGATATCCCATAGACTGTCCCTGGGACACGTGAGGCTGCTGATCCCTTATTTTCAAATCTGAAAGTTGACAGCTATGCTCAGACTTAGGTGCTCACCTCTGCAAAAAAGGCCTCCATTCTGTAACAAGTAGGCCAACGTTAACCCCGGTGTCCCAAGAGCAACCTTCCCTAATTTGGAGTCTTCCAAATGTTTTGGATTACAACTCCCATGAGTGCCTGCCAACATGGCAGGGCTGATGTGAGTTCTAGTTCAAGGTCTCTGGAAGGTAGCAGACTGGTGAAGGCTGTTCTGGACGCTTCAGTCAAAGCTATTGCCTTAGTATGGAACCTTGAGGAGGTGCCAATGGCAAACCAAGAGTCCTCAAGGTTGTGGCTACACCACAGGTGGGTATCAGTGACCAGGAACTCAATCACCAGCCAAGAGACACATCCTTCTCTTTGATGGCATGAGCACAGGTGAGTTGCATGTGCCATCTGCCAGGGATTCTTTAATAATAATAATAATAATAATAATAATAATAATAATTTATTATTTATACCCCACCCATCTGCCTGGATTTCCCCAGCCATTCTGGGCGGCTCAACAGAATATTAAAAACACGATAAAACATCAAACATTAAAAAAATTCCCAATACAGGGCTGCTTTCGGATGTCTTCTAAAAAGTCAGATAGTTGACATCTGATGGGAGGGCGTTCTACAGGGCGGGCGCCACCACCGAGAAGGCCCTCTGTCTGGTTCCCTGTAACTTGGCTTCTCGGAGTGAGGGAACTGCCAGAAGGCCCTCGGCGCTGGACCTCAGTGTCTGGGCTGAATGATGGGGGTGGAGACGCTCCTTCAGGTCTACTGGGCCGAGGCCGTTGAGGGCTTTAAAGGTCAGCACCAACACCTTGAATTGTGCTCAGAAACATACTGGGGACCAATGAAGGTTTTTCAGGACTGGTGTTATGTGGTCTCGGCAGCTGCTCCCAGTCACCAGTCTAGCTGCCGCATTCTGGATTCTGGATTAGTTGTAGTTTCCGAGTCACCTTCAAAGGTAGCCCCACGTTCAGCGCATTGCAGTAGTCCAGGCGGGAGATAACCAGAGCATGCACCACTCTGGCAAGACAGTGGTTTCTGCATTGCAGGAGGTTGGATTACTGCTAGGGCCCAAACTCTTCATTTCTGTAAGTCTGTAAATTTCCAGCAGGGGTACCATTAGGCTACCTTGCTGTCAAGACATAGACGGGAGTTTGCCATTTAGGCTGTGTTTCCCCATTCTCTCATTATTCCCTCACTGTGCTATTTTATCCTACCCTGATGCTGTCCTCCCACTTCTTGAAGCCAATGGAAGCTTGAAGGAGTGGCAGAGTGGAGTTTTGGTGGAAATCAAGGTCAGTCGAGACTCTTAGCTAATAATAATAATAATAATAATAATAATAATAATAATAATTTTTTTATATCCCACCCTGCCCAGCCGAAGCCAGGCTCAGAGCTGCTAACAACAGTAAAAGTAACACAGTTTACATAAAATCACAATCAATTAATTAAAATAACATTCTAAAATCAATTCATTCTAAAATCAATTCAGAATCAAATTAAAGGCAACCATTGGGCTAGAGTGCTATGAGGATTACAGAAGGAGAGAGTGGGTCAGACTGCGCCTTGGCCAAAGGCCTGGTGGTCTTGCAAGCCCTGCGGAAAGATGTCAAGTCCTGCAGGGCCCTAGTCTCTTGTGACAGAGCGTTCCACCAGATCGGAGCCACGGCCGAAAAAGCCCTGGCTCTGGTTGAGGCCAGCCTAACCTCCCTGTGGCCCGGGATCTCCAAGATGTTTTTGTTTGAAGATCGTAAGGTCCTCTGTGGGACATACCAGGAGAGGCGGTCCCGTAGGTACGAGGGTCCTAGGCCGTATACTTCACATATAACTTTCACAATGAGGGCGTGTGCATTGGAGCCCCTCTCTGCTTATTGGAACAGTCCTTGTTTATCGCCCTGGGGATCATGCATAGAGGTTCAAGCTACATTTTCTGCTGCAAACTCTCAGCCGTTCTGTCTCTCAGAGCTGGCTCATAATCTTCCCATCCTAATGAGGATGCCTCTATTTGAACAACTATTGGTTTGTGTTGGAAGGCTGGAGGAAGGCAACCAGTTTCGTCTACCAACAGCCACTACAGGTAGACGGGTGCAGAATACTCCAGGGACGGGCTTGCAGGGAGAGCAGCTTCATCCTTGGCAAAAACAGGAGCAGTCCTTAAAATTGCTATACATCATTTAGTCTGACACCCTTAGGGCAAAGAAAGGTCTCTCCTCCCCTTCTTTCCTCTGAGAGTTCTGTGAGCTCCTCCAGCCTGACTGCCTGTGGTAGCTGTTACTAGATGAGAATTCAAAGCTCCAACACAAAGAGAGCTGGATGTTTAACTAGGCCTGGGAGGTGAGAGTTGTTGGTTTCTGCAGCAATAGGTGTGGTTAGCATTTAGCAAAGGGGCGGGGGAGGGAATTTGATTTAGTTCAGATTTAAAGGTGAACCAACCTTATCTGCATTTTCCAAAACAATGCACATTTTTAAAAAAAGGCTCTCGTATGAAATGTGCATTCATTTGAATTTTGCAATGCGTTTCCCCAGCTTAGTAATGTTCAAGTAAGCTAGCATAAAACATGTGTTATGCAATCTCCTTTGCAAAAATGTGCATATTAGTGAAAACGGCATGCCTTAGAAGAAATCTGCATTAGGGAGCTGATGAATTTTCACGAGGACTTAAAAATAAATAGGTCACTAGCTGAAATGAAAATGTGGGAAACGGAAGTTACCAGTGGAAAAAATGAGAAACTGAGCAATCGCAAGATTGATAGATGTGTCCGTCTCTAACGGCATTTCTGCGTGTGGAGGGCCTGGGTAAAGTACATTGGGCAGGAGCGCTGTGGCGCCTTGTGCTTTTCATTCTGTGGGGCTGGTGCAGCCGCTTAAAGTAGACCTTAACATTTAAAGCAGTGCTATACCACTTTCACAAATCAATGGCTTCCCCCAGAGAATCCTGGGAACTGTAGTTTGTTGGGGGTGCTGTTAGGAGATCCCTATTCCCTTCCCAGAGCTACAATTCCCGGAGTGTTTTAACAATCAGTCCCTCTTCCCAGGAAACTCTGGCAACTGTAGCTCTGAAGGGGAATAGGGCGTCTTCTAACAATTCCCAGCACCCTTAACAGATGACAGTTCCCAGAATCCTTTGGGGGGAGCCATGACTGTTCAGAGTGGTATGATATTGCTTGAAGCATAGCATGCGCTAGAGCAAACCCTGTTTGAGTTGTCTCATGACAAGGCCTCTCTTCCAGGTGTGCCAAAAGGCTGGTGAGATCTCTCTGCTGAAGCAGCAGCTGAAGGACTCCCAGTCCGACGTCTCCCAGAAGCTCAACGAGATCGTCGGGTTGCGGACCCAGCTGAAGGAAGGCAAGAGCTTCCTCAGGGAGAAGGAGGAGCAGATCCTGACCTTGAAAGACTCCTACAGCACCAAGAGCGTCAGCCTGGAGATCTCCGAGGGCGAACTGCAGCGGAAGATGGGCGAGGTGCAGATGTTGAGGGAGAAACTTGACCAGTGTGAGCTGGAGGTCTCCAACCTGAAGCAGACCCTCACCAGCCTAGGCAGTGCCCATGGCCACTTTGGTGCCGAGCTCGCGGAGAAGCTGGCGAGGGACCCTTTGGCTTGCCAGAGCGACGAGGCCAAGATGAAGCGGCAGAGCGAGGAGAACGTCAACGCGCTGAAGAAGGAGGTGGAGCGGCTGCAGGCGGAGCTGAAGGCCGAGAGGCAGCAGCGGGAGCAGCAGGTCCTGGACTTTGAGGAGGAGCGGCGCACCTGGCAGGAGGAGAAGGAGAAGGTCATCAAGTACCAGAAGCAGCTGCAGCTGAATTACGTGGAGATGTACCAGAAGAACCAAATCCTCGAGCACAAAGTCAGCGAAATGACCAGCAAGGTCACCAGCCCGCCACACACCGACGAGAAGAAAACATGGACTCCTTCCAGGTTGGAGAGGATAGAGTCCACAGAGATCTGAGGAAAGGACTTGAGGCGTTCAAAGTACGTTGTCCCCCCCCCAACCCCACCTCCCCAAATTACTGTGCATGTACTTCAGCCGGTGATCTTCCCGAGGAGAAATAATATGCTATATAACCAGCAGTGTAAGTTCGTCTGCCCTGGGCATCTCCCACAATGCTCTGGTGCTTTGCAGGTGATAAAGGAAAAATAGAGACAGGTGTATCTTCTGTGTTTCTAGGGATGAACTGACATCAGGAGTATTGTGGGGTGGATTGAGTGTGCGTATGTGGGGAGGGGTCAGGGGTGCAGTCTTGCACCCAAGATTGGGGGGCCAGCGTGCGTCGCATTGTGTGATGTCATGCTTGGGACGCGCGTCGCATGCGTGACATCGTACGTGTGTCACTTGCATGTGATGTCATCGCACATTGGCGGGAGGAAGTCGAGTGGGGAGCCCGGCATGGTGTGGTTCAATGGCCGAATTTGAGAGAGGAAGCCGCACCGTACTGGGCTCCCTGCTCGGCTTCCTCTCGACGTGACGTGGATGACATCACATGTATGACATCACATGTGTGCGACGTGCATTTTCAGGAAGAGGCCGACTGGGCGGCCTAGTGCGGCCTCCTCTCTCGCACTCAGGAGGAGCCAGCCATTGAGCCACGCCGCACTCGGCCTTCTCTGCCCCCACAACATCAAGGGGCCCCGGTCCCCTGCCAGCAAATATTGAGGCGGGCCGAAGAGCCCTCTGCCCCTAGGAGTTGGCGTGCCTGTTGTGGGTTTTTATTTTATTTTCCCTTAGCCCCATTGACAAAGACACCGCAGAGTTTTCTGTGTCTGCCATTACTGCAGCACCTCTCTTAATGGTCTTCTGGCCCACCTTCTTTTCCCAGGGCATTTTTTAGCCATATTGGCTAGTAGAAGTTCATGCCACGCTTAGGCTTGCCTCATCTTTGCCATAACCCAGGGCGGAATCCCTCCGACATTCCTCAGGGGAAAAGGGACGTTCTCTTCCACATCAGCAGAACGTCTCTATTTTCTGAGGAAGCCTTCCAGATATCAGACTCCCAACTGCCATCAGCCTCAGTCAACGTGGCCGAGAGTCAGGGGGTGATGGCAGCTGCGGTCCAGAACATTTGGAGGCCCCCCCAGGTTGGGGAAGGCTTTCCTGAAGCATTTCTGTGTCACAACCGGACATAAATCATAATTTCTGCTCCTGAGATAACTCTGGATACTGTCATTCTGAGAGGAGAAAGGGATGCAGATCACTTGCAGGCAATTCTCAGCACCTAGAAAACCTACAGTTCCCAGGATCCTTTGAGAGGAGCCATGACCAGTATAACAGTGATACGAATTTGTAGTGTTGCTGTCTGCCGCCCCCTTTTGAAGGAGTTCCCTATGAAAGCCAGTTCTGAGTTCTCAATTACGGGCTTCATGTGTGCCACCTTCGGTCCCAGGCTAAGCCGATTATAAATTGGAAGCAAGGCGTGTTTATTTACTTCCTGGTTCACACTCCATCTTCGTTTGTGGTGGCGTTGTGGATGGGAGCAGTTTGCAGGTTATTTGATTCTTGCAAGGTTATGCCCTCAGGCATCTACACACACAAGCTGTGAGAGAGGCTGCACAGACAGTAGGAGAGGGCAAGACTCCCTTGATGGCATGTACAATCTATGCTCTGCACCGTGGACTGAATCAAAACAACTCTCTCAAAGGCAGTGCTCCAGATATCCCAATGAGAGGGCCATGAACTGAGGTGGCATCAATAGGCCTGCATTAGTGAAACCGCCCCTCCCCAAACATTTATAGCATTATTTAATATTGACTACCATTTTAGATATGTAAAGGGACCCCTGACCATTAGGTCCAGTCGCGGACGACTCTGGGGTTGCGGCACGCATCTCGCTTTACTGGCCGAGGGAGCCGGCATACAGCTTTTGGGTCGTGTGACCGGCGTGACTAAGCCGCTTCTGGCGAGCCAGAGCAGCGCATGGAAACGCCATTTACCTTCCCGCCGGAGTGGTACCTATTTATCTACTTGCACTTTGATGGGCTTTCAAACTGCTAGGTTGGCAGGAGCAGGGACCGAGCAATGGGAGCTCACCCCGTCGCGGGGATTCGAACCGCCGACCTTCTGATCGGCAAGTCCTAGGCTCTGTGGTTTAGACCACAGCGCCACCCACATCCCTTTTACCATTTTAGATAGTTGGCACTTAACACCTCGTTCCTTTAATGCAGCCAGGAGGGCAAGAACTAAGCTACCACATGTAGTTGGCATTGGGGGAGAAGGCAGAAGAACGGGATGGAAAGGAATTTATGTGGGGCATCTAGTCCGGCTCCAAATGCTAACGCACACACAGTTGGTCATCTGCCTTGTCCAGCATGAAAGCAGGAGCACAGGCGTTCTCCTAGGTCAATAGTTCCTAAACATTTCCAAGCCACACACACCCTGGGCTCCTTAAATTCATCCCTGGTGCCCCCCTACCCTATAAAAAACCAGTATTCCAGGACAGCGATTTGCACAACCCACCAAGGAAGATAAGAGCACAATAAAATTCAAAACATTTATTTTTATAAAGGAAAATCTAATTAAAATTATTACATTAAATTAATTCAACAATATGGATGATCCAGTGACCCTTGCTTTTCAAAGGCTAATCATCATTTGCACCTCCAGAGCCTTCCCCCCACCCTGGCCGCCCCCTTGCCTCTTAGCAGCCCCTTAGGCAATCCCACTCACCCATTCTGGGAAATGCTGTTCTAGATCATTGCACTGCTCTTTGTTCAGCCAAAAACTAGAGTGGGTTTGTATTTTTTTAATGGGAAGATGGTTTGGCCAAACATACAGTGGACGCTTGGGTTGCGAACGTGATCCGTGCGGGATGCACGTTTGCAACCCGCGTCTGCGCACGCGCGGGTTGCGATTCGGCGCTTCTGTGCATGTGCAAACCCGGAAGTAACCCATTCTGGTACTTCCGGGTTTCGGTGGTCCGTAACCCAAAAAAAGCAACCTGAAGCGTCTGTAACCCGAGGTATGACTGTATTTAGAATTAGAGATGATCTCAATCGAGAGATGGGTGGTTTTTCTCTCCCCTTGGGCCCTTCCCCCAGAACATTGCTTTTGTTGAGTAGCAGAAACACACACGCGTGGAGGTTGCCTTATACTGAGACAGCCCATTGGTCCATCTGGCTCAGTATCGTCTACACTGATTGGCAGCAACCCTCTGGGATTTTAGGCAGGAGGCATCCCCAGCCCTGCATGGCGGTTCTGGGCGTTGACCCAGGGGATTTCTGCATGGGAAGCAGGTGCTCTACCCAGGGGCGTAGGAAGGGGGGTGCGGTCCGCCCCGGGTGCCACCCTGACGGGGGGTGACAAAAGAGCGGGTGGCACGGGCCACACTTCTCTGCGCCCGCAGGCTCCACGCTGTCCGCCCACTGCCTCCCCCCCAGCTGCAGGGTGGCTGAGGCCCTGCTGAGTGCCCCATCTCTATGGGAGCCGCGCATCATGTCTCGTCCCTATGGGTCTGCCCCAGGTGCCTGAGATGTTTCCTCTGCCGCTGACTCTACCATCCAGTCCTTTTGCATGAAAAATAATAATAATAAATTTTATTTATGCCCCGCCCTCCCCGGCCAGAGCCAGGCTCAGGGCGGCTAACACCAGTAAAATTACAATAAAAACATAATAGGAAAAAAACCAATTAAAAATCCAGGTTAAAATGCAATTTAAAATGCAGCCTCGTTTTAAAGGTAGCCCATAGATCAAAACCATAAGGGAAGGGAAACATAAGGGTCAGACTGAGTCCAAACCAAAGGCCAGGCGGAACAGCTCTGTCTTGCAGGCCCTGCGGAAAAATGTCAAGTCCCGCAGGGCCCTAGTCTCTTGTGGCACAGCGTTCCACCAAGTTGGGGCCAGTACTGAAAAGGCCCTAGTTGAGACCAATCTGACCACCTTGCGACTTGGGACCTCCAAAGTGTTGTCATTTGTGGACCTTCAGGTCCTCCGCGCGGCATACCAGGAGAGGTGGTCCCGTAGGTATGTGGGTCCTAGGCCGCATAGGTCAAAACCAGCACCTTAAACCTAACCCTGTACTCTAGCCAGTGCAGTTGGTAACCTTCCTCTTCCCTTGCAATGGAGTTCCTGCCATCAAGTCCCTGTTGATTCAGCTGCATGCAATTGGATTTATTTAGCAAGTGCTGATTAGGTCCCAGGAATATGAGTTGGGCTCCCATATTTGCGGCAGAGCTTCTGAGCGAATGGATCTGCTCAAAAGCGGTATTTTGCTAGTCTGTACCAACTTAGCCAGTTCCTCCCAGCTTTTCCACACCCTCTAATGGACCTTCTTATCTGCCCTAGGTTAGGAAAGGAATGAATGCTATGCAAGGCCGATAAAAGAACCAATCATTCTTGGAAGCGATTGGGAGCTCAGAATTCCTTACTTGAAGGAGGGGGCCACCTGAAGGAGTTCGTGGCTACCATTGTGCTGTTGGACTTGCATTTAAAGTGATTTAAAAAAAATTAAAAGCCAAGGCTGCTTGCTAGCTGGGACAGGAAAGGGCGGTGGCATTTTTCCAATACCAAAACGTCGCCAATTTAAGTGTGTGGGGGAACGTGGCATCCTTGCGATAGGAGGTGCTGCCTGGAAGCAGGAAATCTGGAGCCTGTCTGCACTGCAAAGCTAATCCCATTTCAAGCTCAGGTAGCTGATTTGGCACCCAACCAAACAAGGAACCCATAAAAACACAAGAAGAGCCTTTCAAGGTCAAGTCAGCCAGGAGTCTCTCTCTAGTCCAGCCACCTGCATCTCGCATTGGCCAACCAAGTGCTCTCAGGAAGCCCAAAAGCAGCCCTATTGCTCCCCTGCCATGGGAACTAAGGCCTACATCCGCATGATGCATTTAAAGCCGTGCCGTGCCACTTTAAACAATCACAGCTTCCTCCAATGAATCCTGGGAAGTTCAGTTTGTTAAGGCTGCCGAGAGTTGTTGCGGGACCCTTATTTCCCTTGCAAATCTACAGTTTTCAAGAGTTCTTTGGGAAGGGGGGGTAGACTGTTAAACCACTCTGAAAATTGTAGCTTGGTTAGTGGAATTGGGGTCTCCCTCAGCACCGTCCCAGGATTCTTTGGGGGGAAGCGATGCCACTGTTTGAAGTGGCATCATAGTGCTTTAAATGTCAGGCCCATTTAGCTGGCGTCCCTAATTGGCCTGTGTCTCGCCAATTTGTGAAATTCCCCTGTCAAGCCCACATCTGTTATTGCCACATCTTCTGACCATGAAATATGTAAGCTAGAGTCTACATTCTGTGGTTAAAGGTTTTTGGCTCTGGAATCTTTAGCCCCGTTTTATTACCTAATACTAAATCCTGAGCACTCGTATTAACGAGAGGAGACAAAACATTTCTCTTTGGGGCTTTGACTACCCTTCCCGTGATTTACGGGGAAACCACGATAGTTAAACCCAGTTTTAAGATGGTTTATATTTGGGGTGCAGACGTGCCCTTGCATCTTCCACAGCGAATCAGTAACAGCAGCAAAAACTTTGTTCTGTAAGTTGATTTGGCTGCATAAAAGATTTTGGGTCTTCTTCCTTTTTTTGCGCAATCCATGGTTTAGCTTGCCTCCAGAATGCCTAGTGGTCAATGCCTTCTTCAGAGGGTTTTTTATGGTGCTTTTTTGGGTGGGGAGAGCCTTGATAGATATCAGAGAAGAACCCACCAATTTCCCCAATCTACACCAATTTTCCCAATCACCCACCACAGCAAGACGCAGGGTCAGGCCTTCTCAGACATTCTGGTGCCTAAGAAACAACACTCACACAAACGTGCGCAGAGTCACCCTCTCTAAATATATATAAATAGGTTTTGGAACGAAATGGTTTGCCGCTCTACAATGGTGCCCAGATTCTACCACCTGAGACAGAGGCCTTCTGCCTAGTGGTGGCGGCGTCGGGCAAACCCTACTGTTGCTAGCATCTGCAGGAAAATCACTGCCGGGTTGTCTGTATGTGAAAGTGCTTATTAACTGAACTAGGAAGCAAATCATTTACTTATATGCTGCTAAGTTATACAGAGACAAGTGTACTTGGATGTAAATAACTGTTCTGTATATGTATATATGATTATTAAAGCAAAACACGTGTACAAAAAAGAGAGAGCAAACTCTTGTGAGTAACTGGGCTTTGCGGAAAGAGCAGACTTTGCTGTCGAGAACGGAATTTCTGGCAAGAAGACAACATCTTGGAGGGTTTTCCAAAGCCCCACTGATTTCATGCACTCTAGAGATTACACTATACCTTCCTGGGGGTTACAAATCACATGGCAGTCTTGTTTTGGTGTATGTCTTCTGTCTACCCATCAATAATCTTGTAGGTAGGTGGGGGGAACCTGAGGATTTTAAGCTATTTTGAAGTGTCTGTGTGCTGTTGCTTCTAACTTGTGGTTTGAAACCAAGCTCACTTGAACAAGACCATTTAGATTTCCCCCACCCCTGCTCCTGAGGCACCTCCGCCTGGAAGAAATTCCTGAGAGACACCGCTGCCTGCAGGTTCATTGTGGACGGAAGCAGCCCAGGGGGCAAAAAACCCAAGAGGACCCACCCGTTGCCCCGTTGAAACAGCACTTTATAATATTTGCTTCTGATACCTGGCCATTGTGACCAAAGACCTGCTTGGATGAGCCTTCAGGATGCTACCGGAACCATATTTCTATGGGGTTTCTAGGCCTTGGCGACTGACAGAATCCCTGCTGGGTTTTGCGTGTTGTGGGTTCCCTTGTGAGGAGGTGGCAGCCAGCACATTTTCCAGTTGCTACTCTTTGCATCCATGAGGGCTAAACGCTTGCTGTTCTCCGAAGCGAAAAGCTGAGATTCTCAGGTAGTCGGATGCTGCGCAGGATTTCGGTTTAGCGCAATCGTTTGTCGCAACCGTTAAGCCACTGCTTAGCACGCTAGGCGTTGCAATACCGAATGGCGAGTTGGCTTTATGGCAAAGGCCTCATCTTTGTGGTACCTCGCAAGACGAATGCCTCACAAGACGGAAAACTTGCAAAACAAAAGGGTTTTTGGTTTTTTGAGTTGCTTCGCAAGACGATTTTCCCTATGGGCTTGCTTCGCAAGACGGAAACGTCTTGCAAGTTTGTTTCCCTTTTCTTAAAACCGTTAATACAGTTGCGACTTGACTTCGAGGAGCAACTCATAGCACGCGGTGTGGTAGCCTTTTTTGAGGTTTTTGAAGACTTTGGTGATTTTTGAAGCTTTTCCAAAACTTTTCTGACACCGTGCTTCGCAAGACGGAAAAAACCGCAAGATGAAAAAACTCGCGGAACGAATTAATTTCGTCTTGGGAGGCACCACTGTAGGCAGCTGTGCACAGATGCCATGAGAAATGGTCCTTAATAGATGTTTCCTAAACGCCAGGGGGAAACTGAAAGGCTGGGTGCTGAAACAAAGGCACTGTTTTAAAATACCAGTTTCTGGGAAATAACCACTGTGATTTGGATGAAAGGGGTAGCGAGCCTTTTGTTGCTGTGGATGTCTGAGAGATTTGGGTGTTGGTGGGGAGGCAAGAATGGAACAAGATACCCTTTCCCACCCTATTCCTCTTGTAAATCTTGCTGCTCCCCCTCAGAGGAATTTATTTTTAATTCAACCTTTTTTCATTTTTGCAGAAGTGACCGAAACTTGGCTTTTTTCTAGAGGCTGATGTTCTTTGTGTTCAGAGAGATGTTTTTTTAAAAACTGTTCCCTGTCACTAACCTGAAGGACATTAACCAGCAAAAGTTGGTAAGAATAAATGAGACAAAACTGGAAATAAGAATAGAAAGAGCCTACAGCTCCCCCACCCTAACAGTTGGGAATAAAATCAGCAGCTGTCATCTCTGAACTAAAATGCAGTCCTCTTAAAGGCACACTCTCTAGTGCCTTAGCTGCCAACGAGAGAAACCTATATTGACCATTCTGCGTGGTTATGATTTTTTCCCAGTAGCCCACTTTTGGGGGCTGAGTTACAATCCTTCATCTCCACCCAGAATCCCTGCTTCAAAATGCTTCTCTCTGCTTTCTGGTCAGCAGGAAAACTACTGACCAGAAGGAATTGGTTCTGTACTTTTCAGTTTACAATAGCTAGCTTCCAACTGGAGATTCCTCAAAAGACTGGTTGTGTGTGTGTTTGCACAGTGTGGCAGATAACAAAACAAAATCGTAATCGGGCATATTACAAGGACATTTTTATTGAAATCACAAGGAGATTTTGACTGAACATTAAGAAGAACTTTCTGGTGGTAGGAGCTGCTCAACAGTGGAATGGGCTCTCTCAGAAGGAGGTAGGCTCTCCTTTGGAGGTTTTTAAACATCTGCCAGGAAATACAGTGGTACCTCTGGTTACATACTTAATTCGTTCCAGAGGTCCGTTCTTAACCTGAAACTGTTCTTAACCTGAAGCACCACTTTAGCTAATGGGGCCTCCTGCTGCTGCTGCGCCGCCGGAGCACGATTTCTGTTCTCATCCTGAAGCAAAGTTCTTAACCTGAGGTAATATTTCTGGGTTAGTGGAGTCTGTAACGTGAAGCGTATGTAACCTGAAGTGTATTTGATTCCTGCATGGCAGAGGGTTAGCCCAGATGACTCTTTGGGTCCTGTCCAATTCTATGGTTTCATCATTCTGTATTCAGAGCTAGGTAATACAGAGACATCTGCAAAAGCCCAGTGTGTGTGCACTTTGCTGCCCATAGCAAAAAACACTCTGCAGATATCACACATGGAAAAGGACAGAGCAGAAAGGGCAAGAGGGCTCACAGCTTTGTGTTAAACCAGGGAACTGGGGGAGTTCTCTGTTTCCCAATTTGCTGTGTGTTTAAGTCCTGCAAGGCTGTATGCACACAATAATTTTTGCACCTACAGTACTGTCGCCCAACGCATGGTCACAGTTCAAAACAAGCAACGCATGGGGGAATTCCATTCTACGGCTCATTTTAAGTATGTTACCAAACAAAAGTCTTGAAAGGCTGCGTCCAGTAATGACTCATTTCTTGCCGGACTTGTGGAATTCTGGGCTGTGGAGTTCTTTTGCACGGGAAGCCTTTGCTGGCTGGAACACGAGAAGTGAGGAAATTTAGATGTCAAAAGTTGGCAAGACTCCATATAAGTTGTGCTGGAGCTGAAGTTTATTGGGAATGAAATCAATGAAAGGATGCCTCCCCCCGGCTAATTTCTGGTGTGTGTTGCATCAATTTTGGAGAGACTGAATGGAGCTGAGACTTCACTTGCTAGGCTGAGTGACACCAGAGTTCCCACCCACCAGTCAAAAACAATGACAAAAATAGTTTTGCTTCCTACAGTTCAGGCCAGATCTAGCATCATCTGAGGGAGAAAAGTCAGATGGCACCCCCTTGAGGTAAAAAGCCTAATAAAATTAAATGTAGTCATTAAATAACTGGCAATTTCTTTAATACCTGCCTCCTGAGACCACTGTGCCAATTGTGGTGGCCCTGGCTGGCTGCAAATGGGAGAATCTTTGCTAGATCCTGCAGGTGGGGAAAGGTGTTCAGACACAAAAGAAGCATCATTATTCAGACGACCCAAATAATGACTAGTCATTATTCAGACTAGTCTTTCCCAGAGAGATGACAGTCTGGAATAACCTTCTCCAACAGACAGTCCCTGACTACTGGCTGCGTCGGCAGGGGCTGATGGGAGTTGCAGGACAGCAAAAAGCTTTGGTGGGGGGCACCAAGTTGGGGACGTCTGCTCTAGGAAAACATGGAATAACACAAGTGAAGCTGCAGGATTTTTAATTAGTTGACAGGATAACCCAGTGCGATTTCACCAGCAATAAGAACTCTGCTCGTTTGCATGTTTTTAGATTTTGCTGATGGCTAGTATCTTTTAAAACACAAAATCTAGACTGGCCCTGGGTCAGCACGTTGGAAGCAAAATGGCCTAGATGTTATTTTTCTCCTCTTTAAAAAGTAAACAACAAACCATAAGCCTCAATCTGTTTCTGTATATCTGCTCTTACTGTGAATTTAAGCCAGAAGTGTACTGAATCAAAACGGTTGATCTTTTTGTCACATGTTGACTGTTGATGGTTCTTTGAACTATGTCTACCTGAGATTTGCAAACTAAAACCACAAAACCCACAAGAAGGGGGGCGGAAGGGACTGAAACACAATTTTTATTTTTTTAAAGAATCTTTTCAGAACTAACACTCTAAAGTTTGAGGTGTGTATCCTTTCCAACCCTTGCATTCAGACATTGACCCACCAACTTTGCCTTGCTGGTCATTGTGTTTAAAATATTGAAGCAACCTTCCTCAACCTGATGCCCTCCAGAGGTTTTGGACCAGACAGCCCAGCTGTGCAGCTGGGGTTGATGGGAACTGTCGTCCAAAACAACTGGATGGGGAAGGCTACAACAAAAAGTCCTTTTCTTTATGTGCAGCAGAGACATAATAGTTTTAAAAATAATAATAAACTTGTTTCACCATCTCCTCTTTTCTTGTACGTCTTCATTGGTTTTTAAAGACAAGAACAGCTGTTGCCATGGGATAGTGGTTTTTAAAATAATGTAAATATATAGAGAGAGAGAGGTATGTGTATATGTTGGTGTGTACATATGCACACACACACACAATACACACATCTGTCTGTCTATATCTCCATATGACAAGGTGTTTTATCTGAGCAAAAATTAAAAATGGAGAAAGACCCCCTTTAAACATTTGAAAGCTGTTGCAGTGTTTTTGTTGATGGGAATATGAATGAATCCGCCCCTATTTCTATGACTGGGAAAAGTGGCTGCAGTTACAAAAACAGGCACTTACGCACGTGTAGAGGGAGGGAGGGGAAATTTGTGTATTGCAGGGAACCTTGGGGCAGGAGCAAGATCCACATGTTCCACTGTTTGTCGAATTTGTTGTTCAGCGGCTGTATCATATGACAGTCACCCTGCCCAGAGTCTGGCAGGTTGGGCCAGTTGCCTCTAAATTCAGTCCAGTTTAGAAATGCATTAAGCCCATGAACAATTATAAAGAGGCCCGACCGAAGTCTCGCCAACGTATCTTACAAAGATGCTAAGGTTGTGCACACTTTCTTGGGAGCTGATCGAGATCAAGGGGGCGGGTAACCTTTCGCCCAAGGGCTGCATTCTCTTCTGGTCAACCTTCCAAGGGCCACTTGTCGGTGCTGGATGCAGCCAGAGACAAAAGTGGGCAAAGCAATTCATATAAATTTTAAGTGCACAGTAGGGACGCGGGTGGCGCTGTGGGTTAAACCACAGAGCCTAGGACTTGCCGATCGGAAGGTCGGTGGTTCGAATCCCCACAGCGGGGTGAACTCCCGTTGCTCGGTCCCTGCTACTGCCAACCTAGCAGTTCGAAAGCACTTCAAAAGTGCAAGTAGATAAATAGGTACCGCTCCGGCGGGAAGGTAAATGGTGTTTCCGTGCGCTGCTCTGGTTCGCCAAAAGCGGCTTAGTCATGCTGGCCACATGATCCGGAAGCTGTATGCTGGCTCCCTCGGCCAGTAAAGCTAGATGAGCGCCGCAACCCCAGAGTCATCCACGACTGGACCTAATGCTCAGGGGTCCCTTTACCTTTAGGCTAGATTTTGTGCACCCACCTGCGCAGCCTCTTCCTTATCCCCCATCTAGAGAAGAAAGAGGCATCTCGGGTTCAAGGGCACATCCCAGCCAGTCAGAAACACTCAAGGAGGGTGTAAAACAAGGCCAGTGAAGGGTGCAGCCTGGGAAGATGGGAGCGTGGCATGGAGAGACTTCTGAGGGCCAGACAGGACTGCATTTGGCCCCTGGGCATGAGATTACCTATCCCTGATCTAGATTAACCCTTGGCCTAATTTCTCAGAGCTCTTCTTAGGTTCCTGGGAGGCGATGAACCTCATACAGATACGCAGTTTTCCAGCGTAAGGGGCCTGTCGTTGCAGAGGAAGTGGCAGTTAATAAGAACAACAGACAAGGAATAAACTCTCGTCACAATTGTTCCGGGAGCTTGTCACAGCCCAATTAAGGCCTTTGCTGAACAGCTGATTTAATTAATGGATCTGCCTGGGCATTTGCATGGCATTTAGTTGTGGTCATGTGCGAATGCTTTCATGAAGCTGAGCTAGCTGGGATTATAACCGTGAGCAACCGTTTTATTTTTTTACATAAGCAGCAGCTCTGGGAGCTCTGAAACTGCCTGAAGCAGAAAGGTGGGGTGCCTCTTTTATTTTTTTAAGGGTAGGAAATGAACAAATGATTGACCCAGAGGCACAGAGCAACATCCCTCAGCCACAGGGATGCTATATGGCTTGTAAAAGGCCACAAAGGTAGCGGAAAAAAGATACTTGGTCCTAAAATTCGGTCTGGTGCCCGGGTGTTGAGCTAGGTGGGTCTCTTGGAAAGTTTTCAGTACAGTGGAAAACACTAATAATTCATTTCAATTCATATCCGTACCCTTTGCCCTTCCCCTGAAGTTTAAAAGAACAGCAAGTGTAAAATTATGTAAATTTAGGAAGTTTTGATGCTTGCATTTCCTAGGTGAAGGCATACTACTTAACTAACTGACCAACTGCATTGCAGATAACTCGGTTCTGCCCCCTCTAACATAATGCCTGCCTCCCCTCAAAAAAAACGCTCATGTTTGCAGCCATGAGGGCTAGTAGCTTAGGATTCAAAAACAGCCCTTAAACCAAACTTGTGGGCAAGACCAAATTATTCCAAGACAGGAAAATCCCATACAGAGTGTAAATGCCCTGCCCCACTCCCCAGCCAAAGACATCTCCAAGCTGGGTGAAAGGAAAACAAAAGGTCGCACTGAAGGTAGTAGAATGGTTGTATGGAACCCTGGAGGAGAGGAGGGGGAAGTTGCAGTGGAAAGCGTGGGGCGGGGGCCATGGACAGTGTGATAGGAATTTTGAGGTCTTAGATACCGGTATATGGTAATGTTCATAAGCGTACCAACCAAGCACGTACACAGATCAGCACAGGAAGACCAACCTGGAACCTTTTTGATTCCTAAACTGAGCAAATGTTTTCTCTGCAAGGTCAAAGTGGGAAACCTCCCATTGTCTCTTTCCTCACAAATCCTGTCTTAAGGGCACATTTAAGATATGAATAGGGTGTGATCCTGTGACCTGGCCCAGGAACTAAGTATTTATCACTACAAAAGAATGGCCAGGCTCCCCAGGCAATCCAATCAAGTAACCTGCCAGACAGGAGATAAACAACAGGAGAAAAACAACATTCAAATTTCTGTTTTAGACCGCCTTTTCTGTGATGTAGGTATGATGTATCTAAGGGTGGTCTTAGGTTACACCCCTTCTGTGATGTATGTATGATGTTTCTGGGGGTGGTCTTGATCTATAGGGTGGCAATTTCAAGTCTTTATAAGGCCTTGCGCGCCATTGTTCTGGGTTCCTCCTCCTCTCCTGCGGGTGAGGGGAGCACCCTGTTGCAACAGATCAATAAAAGATCAAGCTTACTAGCTGCTTTGCTTCTCAATATTCTCTGGTTGGCCTCTTTCATTTTCTCCTACCAATAGGGGACCTATGTAAGGACTCTATATGGGCTCTTGGATACCCCAGAAGGGGAAAGGGCAATTTATGTTTACAACAACAGTTAGGAGTCTTCCGTCACTGTTTCTCAGCTGCAAAATCACCCCTACGCAGAACTGCAATTTAGCAAAGAACTATCACGCCTTTCTCACATTTGGCATGTGGATTAGCTCCAAATGTAAAGTGATGTCTATTGGAGCAAAAAATATTCACATCTAGTATACACTCATGGGGTCTGAGCTGCCTCCAGGAAAGAGATATTGGGAGCATAATGGTGAGCTTCTTGAAAACATTGGTGTGCGGTAGGAACAAATTCTATGTTAGGTATTACCAGCTGTCTTGATTTCAGTCTTCCAAATATCATAGCAACTTCATTCAAATAGATGGTGGGGGCACATTTGGAATACAGCTGTGGTCAACCCCCTCCCTCCAGAATATAAACTGCAGAAAAGGAGAAAAAAACCCAACACAGCTAAGGGAGGATATATTGCCCATAAATTGCCATAATGGCATAGCTATCACGAGTTTCAGAATTATTCCTGGCCTGTCTAAACGTCCATCTGTTTCCCAGTTCATTCTTTTTATAGTTGCTGCTCTTCATAGTTATTGCCTTGGTCAGCAAGCGTGAAGTACAGATGGATGTGAACAACCGCTCTCAAATATATATATGCTACATATCCTCCTCTGTTGCTAAGGACACTGTTAAGAGTTTAATGGCTAGCACAGAAATACTCAGCCTGATTCTAATCTGCATTAAAAGTCGTGGTGATACTTCAAAGGGTAACAGATATACTGTGGCATAAACTTTCACATGCCCAAAAGTGCATGGTACAGTTTATCATAAAACATTTTTATATGGCCTGTTGACAAGCTCAAAAGCAGTTTACACAAAAATTACACAAAACAATAATAAAAGCACACAATGCAAGGTGGCCTCAGAATCTGTAAAAATGAAATGAAATACTTTATTGTCACTTGTACAACTTGTATACAGTGAGATTACACGAGCACCCCCCACTCAGCTCTCTGTCTTAATTCCCCTCATTTACTGACACACACACACCAAACCCAAAAGTCAGTTGCCCTGTTGTTATCTTTTCATTCAGCAGCCTAACAGCCCACGGATAGAAGCTGTTCTTTACCCTGTTGGTGTGACTAATCATGCTTCTATATCTTCTGCCTGAGGGCAGGAGAGCAAGAAAGTGCCAGCCAGGGTGTGAATCATCCCTGAGAATTTTCCTTGCTGGTTTGATGTCAAACCAGCGTACCACACCATGATGCAGTATGAAAGGACACTTTCTATTGTGGACCGGTAGAAGATCATCAAATGTTGATTGACATCGTTCTTTCGCAATACACTGACGAGATGGAGTCTCTGTTGGGCTTTCTTAACCACCTGGGTTGTATTGATTTTCCAAGTAAGGTCTTCACTGAGATAAACTCCTAGGAATTTAAAGGAAGAGACTCTCTCTACAAAGCCCTCCCCGATGTACAGCGGGGCTAGTTCTCTCTTCCTCCGAAAGTCCAACACCATCTCCTTTGTCTTGCTGATATTAAGGTGCAAGTTGTTCCCTAGGCACCATGTAGATATTTTTTGGACCTCCCCTCTATACGCTGATTCGTCTCCACCTGTTATTAAACCTATTATGGTAGTGTTATCTGCAAACTTAATAATTGCAGTAGACGCGTCAGATGATACACAATCGTATGTATACAATGAATACAGGTAGGGACTTAGCACACATCCCTGTGGTGTGCCAGTGCTGATTTTTAAGGAATTAGATGTTACATGTCCAATCCTCACTGTTTGTGTCCGATCTATCAGAAAGTCTTTAATCCAGTCACAGATGGTAGAAGAAAGGTTCATGTCAACTTTTTAATGAGGCTGTCCGGAAGGATGGTATTAAAAGTCAAGCTATAATTATATATAAATTATATATATATATATATATATATATATATATATATATATATATATATATATTTTATATATATATATATAAAATATTATATATAAACAACATCCTGACATAGTTCTCCGGTTTCTCTAAGATGACTTGCTGCAAGATGAAAGGCGGTGGCTATCGCATCGTCTGTGGACCTACTTCTTCTATAGGCAAACTGATGTTTATCAAAGTCCTGTGGAAAGCAGGTTCTAAGGTGTTGAAGGACCAGTCTTTCAAAGCATTCCATCACTACAGATGTTAATACAATAGGTCTGTAGTCATACAACATCTAGCACATGGCATTGCAAATGCAACAAAAGGCATTATTTTTAATAATAATTTTACTATTTATATTCCACCCATCTTGCTGGGTTGCCCCTGCCATTCAGGGCAAAATCATTAAGTGGTCCCCCATGTGGCCCGTGGGGGGGGGGAGTTTGAGAACCATTGGTCTAGAGCAGTGGTTTTCAACCAGTGTGCCATGGCGCCCTGGGGTGACTTGAATGATGGTCAGGGGTGCCGTGGGCAACACTGGCCTTTGTCTCTCTTTCCTTTCCTCCCTCCCCTGATGCCTTCTTGCATCTCTGCCTCCCCAAGGCTTGCACAGCTGTTTATTGCAGCAGCCCTGGCCATAAGCTCTGTAGGCAAATGGGAGGGGGGGCAGCTCAGAGACCAGGGGCAGCAGCAGTGGCTCCCAAGGAGAGGGGGGAAGAGGGAACATCCCACAAGGGAGGGTATTCAAAAAAGGGTGAGAGGCTGCCAGCTCTGCAGGCAAGAGCTGACATAACTGGGCTCCTGAGCCCCACAGGGGTTCAGCAAAAAGAATGCTGTTGGCCAAAGGAGCCGTGGACTCAAAAAAGGTTGAAAACATCTGGTTAGAAGAGTCAAGAAAACACACTGGAAAGCATGGGCTGTTTGTTTGATGCAACAGCATCTAACCTCCCTGCAAACAAATCAGAATGAATGCTCAATAAATAGCAAATTCGGGTACACACTCAATAAACAGGTCACCCAGAGCGCTTTTGTCCTGTTTAATTGCACAAGGCTAAACTCCAGGTCCTGGCGAAACTTTAATCCCAATTAGGCACTTAATTTTGCATGTTAACACACTGGAGACTTTGTGTGGTTAGACAGTGTCAGACTAAAGGTCTGGGAGTGTCCAGGGTTCAAATTTCCACTAGGCCATGAAAGGTGACCTTGGGGGTCCAGTAGGTTTTGCCACCTGCACCGTATAATACAAGATTCTCCTGTATCCCAATGTAAAATGCTACATCCTTTATTGATAGTTTTGTCCTGTATTTCAGGTCTTCTCTCTCTCTCTGCCAAGTTAAGGATCCTCTCCGAATGCATGTGATTGAAAGGATACGTTAAAGGTCATGTACTTACGCTCTGGGTGGCCAAGCACAGATTTACAAATTCACGTGTGTGAGACAAATTCCAGAGGGGGCATCCTATGAGGCTGCAATAGATTGTAACGGATTGCTCTGAAGTTGCTTCAGCACTAGATGAAGCCCCCCCAACCACACCATTTTTTTTTGTCAGAACAAAGGTGCAACCCTAGTCACTGCCTCTCCCCCCCCCCCAAATTGTTTTTTATTAGTTTTCCACATTTTTAGACAAAGAAGAAGAAGAGTTTGGATCTGATATCCTGCTTTATCACTACCCTAAGGAATCTCAAAGCAGCTAACAATCTCCTTTCCCTTCCTCCCCCACAACAAACACTCTGTGAGGTGAGTGGGGCTGAGAGACTTCAGAGAAGTGTGACTAGCTCAAGGTCACCCAGCAGCTGCATGTGGAGGAGCAGGGAAGCGAAGCCGGTTCACCAGATTACGAGTCAGCCGCTCTTAACCACTACACCACACTGGCTCTCAAACACAAACACAAATCATAACTGAACTTGACCCAATATTAATATCATAGTTAAATGACTTCCTCAAATTCCCTTGACTGAATTTCATTATGTATCATTGTAACGGTTTTCCAAAATAATATCTCATAAAATTTACTTAATCCTCTTAACATCTTTATCTCTTTTCATCTTAACTTTAAACATATTGTTTTATAATTTCACATATTCAGATCCTTAGCCTATTATTTTGCAAGTATTTCTATTTATCTTAGCATATTTAGATAAATAGCCTTTGAATTTCTTCCATTCTTCCTGATGCTCCTCCTCCTTCTGGTCACGGATTCTTCCAGTCAGGTCGGCTAGCTCCGAAAAGTCCACCATCTTCATCTGCCATTCCTCCACTGTTGGTATTTCTTGTTTAATCCAATTGGGCAAGAGATGTGGGACATAACATAATGTTTGAAGATTGGGAAAGGTTGTGGAGGAAAGGGGTCAAGTTTACTGCATGTACAATGTTAAAGGAAAATATGACAATGATATATAGATGGTACTTGACCCCTGTAAAGTTAGCAAAGATTTATCACAAGAGTGATAATCTATGCTGGAAATGTAAAGAAAAGGAGGGTACCTTTCACCATATGTGGTGGACCTGCCCTAAGGTGAAAGCCTTCTGGGACAGGATTTAGAATGAGCTGAAAAAAATGCTGAAATACACATTTGTTAAGAAACCAGAGGCCTTTCTTCATCGAATAATAGGTCTGGAATTGCCCCCCAAAAGATGTTAGATTGTTCTTGTATGCCACAACTGCAGCTCGAATTTTATTAGCCAAAAACTAGTCACTGCCTCTTAGCCTGGCCTACCTCACAGGGTTGTTGTGGGGATTAATGGAAGGGGAGAGAACCACGTGTGGTGACTTGAGCTCCTGGGAGGAAAAAGACGGGGTAGGAAATAAGCTGTCGAAGAATTGATGCTTTTGAATTATCGTGTTGGAGGAGACTTGAGAGTCCCATGGACTGCAAGAAGATCAAACCTCTCCATTCTGAAGGAAATCAGCCCTGAGTGCTCACTGGAAGGACAGATCCTGAAGCTGAGGCTCCAAGACTTTGGCCACCTCATGAGAAGAGAAGACTCCCTGGAAAAGACCCTGATGTTGGGAAAGATGGAGGGCACAAGGAGAAAGGGATGACAGAGGACGAGATGATGGGACAGTGTTATAATAATTTATATAATAATTTATAATAATAATAATAATAATAATAATAATAATTTATTATTTATACCCCGCCCATCTGGCTGGGCTTCCCCGGCCACTCTGGGCGGCTTCCAAAAGAATATTAAAATACTATAATACATCAAACATTAAAAGCTTCCCGAAACAGGGCTGCCTTCAGATGTCTTCTAAAAGCCTGGTAGTTGTTGTTCTCTTTGACATCTGGTGGGAGGGTGTTCCACAGGGAAGGCGCCACTACCGAGAAGGCCCTCTGCCTGGTTCCCTGTAACTTGGCTTCTCGCAGTGAGGGAACCGCCAGAAGGCTCTCGGTGCTGGACCTCAGTGTCTGGGTAGAACGATGGGGGTGGAGACGCTCCTTCAGATATACTGGACCAAGGCCGTTTAGGGCTTTAAAGGTCAGCACCAACACTTTGAATTGTGCTCGGAAACGTACTGGGAGCCAATGTAGGTCTTTCAAGACCGGTGTTATGTGGTCTCTGCGGCCGCTCCCAGTCACCAGTCTAGCTGCCGCGTTCTGGATTAGTTGTAGTTTCCGGGTCACCTTCAAAGGTAGCCCCACGTAGAGCGCATTGCAGTAATCCAAGCGGGAGATAACCAGAGCATGCACCACTCTGGCGAGGCAGTCCGCAGGCAGATAGGGTCTCTGCCTGCGGACCAGATGGAGCTGGTAAACAGCTGCCCTGGACACAGATTTGACCTGTGCCTCCATGGACAGCTGTGAGTCCAAAATGACTCCCAGGCTGCGCACCTGGTCCTTCAGGGGCACAGTTACCCCATTCAGGACCAGGGAATCCTCCACACCTGCCCGCCTCCTGTCCCCCAAAAACAGTACTTCTGTCTTGTCAGGATTCAACCTCAATCTGTTAGCCGCCATCCAACCTCCAACCGCCTCCAGGCACTCACACAGGACCTTCACTGCCTTCACTGGTTCTGATTTGAAAGAGAGGTAGAGCTGGGTATCATCCGCATACTGATGAACACCCAGCCCAAATCCCCTGATGATCTCTCCCAGCGGCTTCATGTAGATGTTGAAAAGCATGGGGAGAGGACAGAACCCTGAGGCACCCCACAAGTGAGGGCCCAGGGGTCTGAACACTCATCCCCCACCACCACTTTCTGAACACGGCCCAGGAGGAAGGAGCGGAACCACTGTATAACAGTGCCCCCAGCTCCTCAAGACGGTCTCGAAGCTACCAGCAAGAGTCTGACCAAACTGCGGGAGGCAGTGGAAGACAGGAGTGCCTGGCGTGCTCTGGTCCAGGGGGTCACGAAGAGTCGGACACGACTAAATGACTAAACAACAACAGGAAATAAATAACCCCCCTCCCCCCCCGCGACGACCAATGGCCTCCATAGACTTCAGTGAGACTCCCTCTACTGTAAGCGGCCTCAATTCGGCTTTGGCCTGTACAGAAATGGAGGGGAGGGGAGGAAGTCACGCAACCCAAAAAAGTAACGGGAAGGCCCGCCGCTGGGTAACAGGCAGTCTGAACCGGCCCCATGGCGGAAGCGCCCCTTGACGACGCCGACCGCGCTCTCCCCTAGCAACAGCCGGGGTGACGGCGCCCTCTTGCGCCTGCGCGGCGGCGGCGGCAGTTTTCCCCACGCCCCTTTCCCCGTGCTGGAGCATGCGCCCAGCTGAGAGGCACCCGGGCGCCTGCGCAGAACAGAACTTTTCTCTCGGCGCGCCTGCGCGGATGCTGACTCCCCCCCCCTTCCCTCAGCTCCAGCCCTTAACGTCAAGCACGCGAAGGCAGCTGAGCCCACCCGCTTTCCGTAGGGCCTCTCCCGGAAGTGCGCGGCCGAAGCGGGAGGCACCGGAAGCGTTCCTGAGGAGAGAGGTCGCGCAGGGCGGGGAAAGAGGAGGCTTGCCTGACAGGGGCCAGACCCGGCGGCAGCGGAGGAAGGAGGAGGAGGACGGAGGCAGCGCCGTTCCCGGTGAGTGAAGGGCAGGCCGAGGAAGAGGAGGAGGCGCTGTCGGTGTCCTGAGGGGGGGCGGCCCTCTCGAAAATAAATACACCCCCCACCATACAAAGCGGGGGGAGGGTGACGCGTTCGAGGGGGGAGGGGCGTTGCTTGGAGCCCCTGCGCGGCACGTCACAGTCGCCTCTCCTCAGCCCCCGCCCACGGCTCTACGTTATAGGACCCTGGGGAACACGTCATCATCTGGGTGTGACGTAATCTGGCCGGTGCTCTCCCCCCCGCTTACCACGCCCCCCGTGTTTGCCTCATAGATCCCAGGTGCTTCCCCCCCCCCCCCAATGCCATCTCTCTGCTGGCACCTCCAGACTTTCATTGATACCAATTTACCCTTCAAGGGAGGGGCCAAAGGCTGCTTTTTCTTAAAATAATAACAATTCAGGGTAAATTGGTAGCAAATTCGTGTCTGTGGAAACACCTGCAGGGAGCACCAGGGACTATGAATGGCTCCTAGCCACGATGGCTATGCCCTGCCCTCTGCGGTCGGAAGCCGTGATGCTTCTGAATGCCGGCTGCCAGAGGCCACAGGAGAGGAGAGTGTTTCTCTCGTGCTCAGGTCCCGCTTGCAGGTTTCCCAGAAGAGGCACCTGGTTGGCCACCGTGAGGACAGGATGCTGGCCTAGATGGGCCATTGGCCTGATCCTGCGGGGCTTTTCTTACGTTCTCAGCGGAGTGAGTCGCATGCAGATTGCACAGCAGGCACTTTCCTTAATGCTACCGTTATGGATTAGGGTGTGAAGCCAACCATCGTCTAGCGGCCCAGGATTGTCTGCTCAGCAGCCATCTCTTAGGTCTCAGGCAGAGCAGGGCCAACCAAGGAGGTCTTGATATTCCGCCATGTGTATTCTGCCCTTTTCGGGGGTGACATTTGCAGAGCAGCACTGCAGTGGCAGCTATCACATGTCCAGACACCAGGCACCTGCAGATTTCTTGTGCATGGTGTAATATGATTATAAAGAATGCCTAACATTCCCTGTGGGGCCTGTGCATATGTTTTTCCTCCGTTATAATAATAAATTAGTAGTAATCACATTTCCAATGGTTTTCTGTAAATGAGGCACTATACATAAAATACACAGGCCAAACTTTTATAAGCTAAATAAGACAAGGCACACAAGGTGAAGTGAATTATTTTGGGTATAGATCATCTGTTAATACATCACCGGCAAGGACAAACAAACTGAATGCATACAGAAGGTGATAAATTCCTCTTTCTTGGAAATCATATAATTGTAGAGTTGGAAGGGATCCCAAGGATTATCTAGTCCAACCACCTATACTGCTAGAATCTCAACTAAATCATACGTGACAGATGGTAATCCAACCTCTGCTTAAAAACCTCTAAGGAAGGAGAGTCACCTCTACTGGGAGTCCGTTCCACTGTCAAACAGCTCTTACTGTCAGAAAGTTCTTCCTGATGTTGAGTTGGAATCTCCTTTTTTGTAACTTGAAGCCATTGATTGGTACGGGTACTACCCTCCTGAGTGGGAGGAAACAAGTTTGCTCCATCTTCTATGTGTCAATCTTTTGCATATTTAAAGATGGCTGTCATATCTCTTCTCAGTCTCCATTTTTACAGGCTATACATACCCAGCTCTCTCAACTGTTCCTCATAAGGCTTGGTTTCCAGACCCTTGATAATATTGGTTGCCATTCTCTACACACGTTCCAGCTTATCAATATCCTCTTTAAATTGTGATGTTCAGAACTGGACACAGTTTTGTGTCATCTGCAAATTTGATGAGCATCCCCTGAATACCTTCATCCAAATAGTTTATAAAGATGTTGAACAACAGTGAACCTCTGACAGAACCCTGTGGCACCCCACTTGTCACTTTTTCCCAGGATGGTGAGGAACTGTTAGTGAGCACTCAGTTGGTCAACCAGCTACAAATCCACCTAACAGTAAACTTGTGTTCCAGCAGATATCGGAATAGTTGAAATCTCCCATGACTCCTTTTTGAATGTTTTGTAATCTCTGTATGAGGGCATCACCCAAGTCTGTCATGGAAGTCTATAGCAGACACCTTCAGTAAGGTCACTGTTGTTTCCCTCTCCTACAGTTTTTACCCATATACTCTCAAACTGTCTGTCATGCTCCAAGTCATGCATCTCTTCACAAGTGTAAACATCCTTTACTTATAATGCTGCCACTTCTCCATTTCTGTTTGATGTATTCCTTTTGAACAGATTTTGCAATTTCAGTCACGAGTCTCATCCCACCAGGTTTTAGTAAAGCCTACATGGTCATATTTGCCATCCTGTTTTAAAAGCTCCAATTCATCTTACTTGTTTTCTATACTCTGTGCATTCGTGTAGATACAACTGAAACCATGAGTCATTTCACTGCACAGTGGTCCTTCTATAGAAACTACATGGGGCCCTCTTAACACAGAATATGGGCAGGTGTCTTTTAACCCATTTCCACTGCAGGCTGCAGTCTTTTCTGCATCTTTTGCACGTTGATTCAACTTGCCTAGATGTGCATGAGCCACCCTAAAAAGGCACTAGAAGCCCCGTTTTCTCTCTACTGTCTTAACAAATATGGCCTCCCTACTCTCAATTCACTTATTTCCTCCCCACCAGCCCAGCAACTTCTTGTAGCAATGCAGGAAAAAGAAACCAATCAATTAGTCCTGCCTGCGTATTATAGGCATACTGTTCTGACATTTTTTGCTTTTGCCCACTGCATGATGGGCTAGAAATATGAGCGGTTTTCCAAAAAAATAAAATAAAATGTAAGCTCTGGGCCTTTCTTTTTTCTGGTTCTGTGGTGGCTCCACTTTCTCAACACCAGGTGGCAGCAACAGACTCTTTTCTTCTCGCCTATGATCAATTACTACTGACAGAACAGCATATTGTGTGGTTCTGCTAGTTTTTGAAACAGAATTTATTTTACTTGCTTTACAGAAAATCTGTATGTATTCCTTTCCTCAGAGAAAGAGCTGCATTGAGAGCTTAATTTTGATGAGGAAATGGGCTGGAGAGCAAGGGTTTAAAGAACCTCTCTTCTCTTCATCAGCCTTCAGATTGGCGTCTCAGGCTATCTATATTTTGTAAAACAAGAGTGTAAAGAGAATTTCAGGCCAATGCAAAAATACAAAAATGCAATTCATCAGGGTTTTGTTTGCTTGGGGAGGAGCTTAACACAGTGGTAGATCATAGGGTTTTCATGGTTGCTGTGATCTCAATTTAAAAGGATCAGGTAGTAAGTCAGGCTTCCTCAAGCTTGGCCCTCCAGATGTTTTTGGCCTACAACTCCCATGATCCCTAGCTAGCAGGACCAGTGGTCAGGGATGATGGGAATTGTAGTCTCAAAACATCTGAAGGTCCGAGGTTGAGGAAGCCTGTAGTAAGTGTTGAGAACCATCTTCTGTATCCCACCCTGGGGAACTGCTGGTCGTTTAAGATGGGCAGTACTGGGCTAGGTGTACCAGTAGTCTCTCTCCTGATATGTCCGCTAAATAAGCTGCCTCTATCCTCATGTGGATCATTTGGTTCCTAGCCTAATTTGTCCTGAGGTGGGTGGGCAGCTGTAATAGCTCCACCAAGGGTTCTTGAATTCAGTTGTGACCAGCCCTGCTACTACTTAACTCAGACCACAAGCTTAATCCTAGTCAACAGTGTGATGCAGCAGCTAATGCTATTCTAGGCTGCATCAACAGAAGTTTAGTGTCCAGATCAATGGAAGTAATAGTACCTCTCTACTCTTCCTTGGCCAGACCACACCTGGAGTACTGTCTCCAGAAGAGATTGAGAGGAGATATGATAGCTATCTTCAAATATGTAAAGGGTTGACACATGGAAGATGGAGCAAACTTGTTTTCTCCTGCACTGGAAGGTAGGACGCATACCAGTGGCTTCAAGTTACAAGAAAGGAGATTCCGACTCAACATGAGGAAGAAATTTCTGACAGTAAGACCTGTTCGACCGTGGGGTGGAAGGTGGTGGCCTCTCCTTCCTTAAGGCTTTTTAAGCAGAGGTTGGATTGCCATCTGTCATGTATACTTTAGCTGAGATTCCTGAATGGCCAGGGGTTCGACTCGATGACCCTCGGGATCCCTTCCAACTCTACAATTATATGATTCTATAGCTATTATTTCCCCACTCTGACACATCGTTCACATTTTGAGGAAGCAAATTCAGCAGATTAGCTAAACACTGTACAGTTAAAATACTACTTTGTTGTCCTGAATCTCCCACCATTCATCTTCATTGGATAACCTCGTTGGGTTTTAGTATTATATCAGAGTGGGGAGGAAAAAAAAATATCTCTCTACTCCACATGTTTTCCACGCTCCCTCTTTTCACATTTCTTCTACGCCAGGGGTGCCCAAACTTTTTTCAAAGAGGGCCAGATTTGATGAAGTGAACATGTGTGAGGGCCAACCAATGTTGTTGACCTTTCTTTTTAGGATTGGGCTTGTTGAGCTTTTTTTAGGATTTTACCCCAGGAGATAGACTGCCATAGGGGCCAGATATTAAACCAACTGGCAGGCTGGATTACACCCCCGAAATGGACTTTCCATATGCCTGTTCTACACTAAATAGTCTCAAATGTTTGTAATATTTCCTCAAAGGAGAGTTGTGCCAGGCCAGTGAAAATTTTGGTTACTGTTTTTTCCAGGCCTCCACTATGCTTTTTGAGATGTGGTAAACAGTATTCCAGGTATGGTCACACCATAAATTTAGTTATAGTACTACATCTAGACTTTGGCGTCTGTTAAGTTATTTCACCATGCTTTTGATTCTAAGTAACCCTCTGTGTAAGCATATTAGACACAGAAGAGAGTTAATGGCGGTTTTGCTGGCTGGGGGTGGGGGTCTTTTTCACTGACTTGACTTTGAAAAAACTGCCTTCTGGGAAGTGGTGGCAGTTCCTGGAGTGCTAACTGAAAACCTTTTTAACACCAAATCCATTTTTTTGGCTCACTTTCCTTACCATCAGTTACACTGCATCAACTCTGTGGTTTAGCATTTGAAATCAACGTTGCAGTAGTAGTTTTAAGTTGTGCTTAACGCTAAGCAAAATCCTTTGGACTTAACTCGGACATCATGTTTCCACCTCCCTATTCTTCCTCTTTCTACATATAGATTTCCTGGCTTGCGTGAATCATAGTTTGAACCAGATTATGTCTGAACCAAACCACTGACATCTCACGCTGTCATTGTGTAGCAGACATACAAATGTGCTGAAAGCCTCTGGTCTTTGCTGCATCCAGAGCAATATGAATTCATTGGAAATACAGTCATACCTCCGTGAACATCCACCCCCTTGATCGTACATTTTGGCGGACGTCCATGGCAAACCCAGAAGTACCGGAACGGGTTACTTCTGGGTTTGCCACTTTGCACATGTGCTGAAGCGCAAAACCGCTCGACGCACACAGTGACGCTCTGTCAAGCGTCTCTTTCGTCAAGCGTCCAGGGCTCCAGAACGGATCCTGGATGCTCAACGAGGTACCACTGTACATTCAAAATGGAACTGCCATTTTGTTTGAAAGCTGGATGTTGTTGAATGTAAGGTGGTTCTTCGGGCATGAATCCAAAGACATCTTCTCTTGCCAAAGCCATATGGACTGTTACTGAATCAGCAGGCCCATTGTGCGTGGGGAATTCAGGTAGCCCTCAGCCATGGTAGAGCGTTCAAGAACTTCCTTCTTCCATTTTTTTACATCTTGTGTTGAGCATCTGTGCCTAAAGAACAGCCAGATAAGGCTTCACAGCTTCTAGATACCTGAGTGATCCTGTTAAAAAAAAAGGCATTTTAAACTATCATTTATTTCTCATTTTCTGGGGCCAGCATGTCTCCAGTACCTTTGTCTTCCAAAGACCTGAAACATTTCAAAAGAATAAAAACAATAGTCCTGCAAGGGAGTGAGAATGCTTTTGATAGTGCTTTTTCTAAGGACTTCCGCTTGAAAACAATTAACCAGGGCATTTGATTAGTCAGTCAGAAGTCTGAACATCACAGCCCTGCTTCTTGCACTTTTTAAGACTTTGGATTGGATCCATTTCCACTTCAGCCAGCAACAGCTTCAGCCGCTGATAGTGGATGTGGGAGGTTTGATCACACTAGTCATTCAAGCTTGCAAAGGCAGGATAAAGGCAGCACAAAGAGTTGTTACTTTATGGTCAGGAATGGACCCCAACTGGTGTGTCCTAAATCTTTGTTTAAATGCTATTTGTGAATTTCTTCTGTAAAATGTTTGAGAACCACTGTAGGCCGCATACTGCTAAGGGGGGTTGCTGCTTCTTTCATACTAAAGATTTGCACAAACCTTAAATATTCGAAGTTAACATACGATATTATCTGCATAGACATGCACTAATGTATGGATTCATAGCGTATTCTAGTCCTGAAAGAGATTCCTGTAGTAACGGAGCACCTAATCTCTTAAAATAAGGGACCTGCCCTTCACTTTTGCAGAATACCTTGGTTGCGTGAGAGGATGGAGCAGGATTATTGGCTGCTGAGTATAGTCAACTTTCTGGTGGATATCCATGTGCTGAGATTGTTTGAAGTGCTGGGTAAATGCTGCCTTTCAGGGCATGTCTTACTATAGTGTTAAACGGTTAAGTCTTTTTAAAAAAGAAAAAGAGAAGCCATCATGACGGATGAAAGCCACTCATTCTTCATCTACCCTTTTTTCAGTACCTGGGACCATTTCTGACCTGGTAATTGTGACCATGGCTACGAGGATAATATGCCGAAGATTTGCAGGGCAGCCTTGCAGGGCAGCTGCGTTTTCTACTACAAGCAAGGCTGGGGGCAAGACAGTATTCTTCCGAAAGGCAGAAGAAGGCGGCCAGCCCACCAAAGAGGCGGGAGAGAGCTCTAAACCCGCCACCATGCTCAAACTCTGGAAGCCTGCAGAATACCGGGTGTCTTTTAATCCATCCGCCTACCCAGGAACCAAAGCCATATCTCGTGAGGAAGCCTCGAGAAGTTTGGAGGAGGGTTCGCTAGAAAGTGACTGTCCCAGGATTAGTGCCAAACCGTTACAGAATGCCTGCAACGTTACCTGCTCACGGAAGCTTTCGAGCACGCAGAACACACTGCTGGATTTGGAAGGCAATCACACTCGGCCCATCCAACCTTCTTTGGAGCAGCCAACTAAACTGGACCCCGTGAAAGACAACGGGGAAGCAGCTGACGTGGAGGCTTATGACCCTAAGGAAGATATCAGGCTGTTCCAGAAGCAAAGGCCCGAATACAGATCTCTGTGCTACAACCGAGACGAGTTCCCTCAGCCCATTTCCATGGAAGAACGTGACCGGATATTGCAGAAAATCTCTGTGTTGAAAAGTAGCCTGAAACCAAGAGCAATCGCAGAGTATTTCTTCAAGCTGAGCTGCTTGCCAGCTGAACAACAAGTAAGCATGAAGTCTAACCCAAGGTTTGCTGTGCTGTGCCGCTATGGAATTGAGAAGGTCCAGCTCTTTGATATTTCTGAGCTCATGATGGTTTTAGAAGCATTTGTCTGCCTGGCCATCCCACCCTCCCACTCTATGTTGAATGTGTACGAAGCGGAGTGCTGCCGCCGGGTCTGGGGCATGACGCTAGACCAGCAGCTGATGGTGGCTGACCTGTGGCGCTGCTTAGGCCGCAGCGTCCCCCAGTACTTGGAGAGCATGCTGAGCTGTGTCAACGTGCGTTGGAAGGAACTCTCTTTGCCCCACGTGGTCCAGCTGGTCTACATCATAGGCGAAGGCCGTAAAGCCCCTGAAGAGTTAATGAAGAAATTAGACTTCTTGGTGTTAAAACAGTTGGACTCTCTCAATCTAGAGGAAGTGGGTGCCATTTGCTTAGGGTTCTTCAAGTCACACAATGGTCTTTCAGAACATACCATGCGGAAAATTGGAGATAAAGTCTCTGCCCGTATGTCAGACATGAGCTCTTTTGCCTTGGTGAATGTCCTCAAGATGTACCGTTACACTCATGTTATTCATCTTGACTTTATGAATCAGCTTGGGAATGTTGTTCCTCCCATGATACCAACTATAGGCATTCAAGGTGTCATGCACATCACCCTTGCCTGTTCGGCTTTGCATTATCTGGATGAAAGGATTATGAACGCTGTTGCTGCCTCTTTGCCTTCCAGAGTTTCTTATTGCCGGAGCAAAGATATTGCCAAATTCTTGTGGTCATTTGGATGCTTGAACTATGAGCCCCCCAATGCAGAGGAGCTTTATGCCAGCCTCGAGGAAGAGATGCGCGCAAAGATGCATGAAATCCAGAAATTCCCGGAGCATTTCCTCACCTTTTTGTTAGCTCTGGCATTTGCAGAGCGATTCCCAAACGACTTGATAGACTACGCTTTGGGTCCTGAGTTTGCAGAATTAATCAGCAAGAGTGAATTTGACCTTAGCAAGGACTTGTTCACTCTGGATGGCACGGTGGAGATTGAATGCCCCAGTTACACAGGCCATCGCCTTGAGCCGCGGCTTAGGCAAGAGGTAGCAGAGATGCTGTGGAACGTTGCCAAGAAGGATATTTTAACGAAGCCGGAATCGACTGAAGCTCTGTCTCTACTGGGGGAGATGTTGGGTGGGCCCCAGTATGTCAAAAGTCACATGCTCTTGCCTCATACCAGATCTGTTGATTTGGAGATTCGTTTCGACTCTGACCGAAAGCCGCTGCCGTTTAACTCTCAGGCAGTTGTAAAATTGGAGCTGAAAGAAAGTGGAGTTTCCCTTACAGATGACTTGATGAGTCAGCTTTTAAACAGTAGATCTAGTAGCCAATCGCCCATGAATAATACTGAAAGCAAGATAGAAACGTCTACCCCATTGCCACAGGATCCACCCCCACCCACTTGGGATCATTTTACGTTTTCGAACGGAGTTCCACTGACGAGCGCCATCTTGAATGCTTTAACCAAACCCAAGGCCTCTTCGTGCGAAGCTCCAGCCCCTTGGTTGAATGAGTTGCAAGGCCAGGATGTGATACTAGCCGTCCAGGTGTCTAGCAAGAACCACTACTGCTACAGCACCAAACGCCTTCTGGGGTTCCACAGTTTGAAAAGGAGGCAACTCCGTCAAATGGGATACGTAGTGGTAGAACTGCCCTTCTGGGAGTGGCTGCCTTTGCTCAGACGTAGCCGGTCGGAAAAGCTGAGCTATTTACACCACAAAGTGTTTGGCGCTTTAGATGACATAGGTAGTCAGTGACCCGTCTGCAGGTTTTCAGAACCAAAATTCTGAAAAGTTTCCTCACACACTGATGCTCTTGGTCTCGGGCAATGTAGCTAGGTAGTTTAGCATTGCTGTATAATGTACCTTTTCGAAGCTGCTTGGTTGCCAGCATCTCTTTGCAGGGTCTGTGCTTCAGTATTCTTAGGAATGGCAACATACCCCTGAAATGGTCCCTAGCTTGCGAATGTCTCGCAGTGATTATCCTGTAAATAAAATGTTTATTTGAATAGAATTTTAAATGTGCTCTTTTTCCTCCCTGGAGTGACAGCTAGCTTATTTGAAAGTGAACAGGGAGCAGGGAAAGCTCTTCAAGCGTTAATGGTACCAATGCAGTCCAGTGGTAATGTCTAGATGTAATCCCCAGTTCACTTATCACTCTAAATGAGTCTTATTCTCCATCGGCAAAATGAGAATTACCTTTGCCTACATAACCGGGTGGGCTAGGAGAAATGTGAGCGAGAGTGATGCTGTAAAGTGCTTGGCATTTTAAACTGTGTATTTTGTTTTTTACAATCTCTTCTAGAAGAGGCTCTCCTTTGTTGGAAATTTTTGAACCGAGCTTGGGTGGCCATCTGCCAGAGATTCTTTAGCTGTGACTAGATGGCACTTGGGGTCCCATCCAGCTCTACAATTCTATGATTCTAGGAAAGGCATTGTGGGTAATATGGAGTGTTCACATAAACTTAATAGGTTTCCACCATCCTTTATTACACTTTAATCACCTTCTTGTTTAGAATCCCTGGGTGGAGCTTATGGGTGGATTTTTCTGCTGTTCCAAATGAATGACTGGAACACACTTTGAATGGATTAATCCACATTTATTGATCTTGAGTGCACAAAACAGTGATTAATAAGGAATTATCCTTCATCAATTCCTTAATTAATAAGGAATTGCCCACTTAAGATTCCCAATTGCAGAAATATAGGCAAATAATGTTAAGAGCCACTGCTATTCATACACAGTTTTTCTGTGGCATGGGATTTATTGCCTTGCCTTTGCTTTACAGGTGGCATATAGTTTTTGAAAGGGGTTTTTCATGATTTTTTTTGTCAACATCCCTATAGCATTGCATGCTTCCCTCTGTCAAGGCTTGTAGGGTTTAGAAAGTCTCAGATTATTATTTTTTTTGGCAGGGGCACAGGCAGCAGCATTCTACTTTAAAGCTAAAATTGGGCTGTGACCTATAGCTGTTTCCAAGTTTCATACATATTTTCATCTGGCTCCATAAGCTGAATGCTTTCCTGGCAAAGGGGCATAATTCTCAAATGCAGAAATGTGGTAGTGATGTCTTTTAGCTTCCTGGACAGCCCGGGGCAGTGTTGTCAATAGCTACTCCCCTCTGGCAAGTATGAATCTCATTCAAGCAAGGAAGCTTTTGTAAAATGGAAGCCCCTGACCCTTAAACAGCTTTTGATGTGCCACAAATGGCAATGCAGGTATGTTTGCTCACACGGGCTTGTTTAAAAAAAGAATATTCTGTTGGCTAGTTTGCAAGGCTTATGTAGTCTGTTACAACATAGGCTTGGCTGAAAGCAAAATGTTTCTTGCATTTCGCTTGACTTTTGTGGCTAAGCTCCTAAGATAAACTAGGTTTTGGGGGAGAGGGGTGGGATGTAGAGCTGGGTAACAAGCAAGGATTTGGTAGAACACCACACAAGGAATTTTCACTCAAAGGAGAAAATGGGCATCAGCAGACATATGACGAATTTGGGACAGCAAGGGTCCTTTTAGGCAGCCTCATAATGGAGAGGAAAGGCTTGTTGCACCACCCTGTTCCCCTCAAAGCATCTCATCTGTGGGCTAGTGGAATGAATGCCTTTCCATCTCTATACTTGCTTCTGCACTCCCACCTTAGGGACCTTTCCTCACCCATCATCGCTCCTGCAATAGGAAGGTACAAGCAACACCTGCTGCATGACCTCAAGTTGTTAGATTTCTGGGATACCTTCCTTGGAAAACCTTTAGGAGACGCTCCTTGCTGCAGCACTCGGAGTCAAAGTAGACATCATTCTTAACTGTGTGGCTAGGAAACTGCCTGCTGGCTTCCTACAGGCATCTGGCTGGCCGCTGTGAGAACAGGATGCTGGACTAGATGGGTCTTTGGTCAGCTCTTCAATACGCACAGGTTTTAGTTCTTTTTAATAAGTGAAGGAGCATTGTTCACCGGGAGTGCAGTGCCCAGGGGGGCAAGGTCACTCTAACCTTTTCCTTCCCATATGAGATCCCCATGAAAATTCCACCACTTTGAGGCCAGGGGAGATGCTCCCATTGGCTAAGTGAGGGGTGGGATCTTATGACAGCACAAGTAGAATAAAATCTAGTTTTGGCCTTCCATGACAACATGAAGCTGAGCGTAGCACCCCTTGCATCCTGCTAGACCAGTGGTTCTCAAAACATTTTTCTCTGGGACATACCTTTAGAATAAAAATTTCCTTGCGCCACACCATTTTTAAAATTATGATAAATACATTGGAAGACAAAAAAAGAAACAACTACCAGTGCCTGATTCATAACATAGAACACAACTACTTTATAATATGATCATGGGACATCCAGAAAGTATAAAACAGTCCAGCTAAATAAGAATGTGATTTCCAAAATATAATTATAAATGAGCCTCTTACATACAGGTATGTACATTAAGCAGGTATACAAACTCAATGAGGGGTGTGAGATTGCTTTTGCCAGGTAATCTCATTCATATTAGGTCTAATTTGAGGCAAACTCTTATCTCATCAACACAAAGAAGCCTTTCTCTTTTCCAATCTTTCTTTACTTGTCATATCCCTGTTCACAACAATATGTCATGGAGAACTGCAGAACAATAGCCCATGCTCTTGAAGAGAGGTATGGATATGGTTTCTGGCTGTATATCCGAAAAGAGTCCAGTAGCATACTCCTGTGTTTCATTTTCAAGGTACAAACACTTAAAACGCAGGCCATTTCCTCCTCATTCAATGTCAGTCCTGAACAGCTGCAATTTGCAAAGGTGTCTCTAACCCAGTCTAAATTTTCTGCAGATGATGGGAAGTAATGGTCAATCTTTTCTACCAGTGTTGCAAGCTGTTCCTGTACGAGGCCATGTAATTCATTGTCTTTTTACCTGCGGGAACATTTTCAGGGTATGTTGCTGAAGCTTTTTTGTTTTTGTTTTTTTAATGCAGCTTGTTTTGTCTGTAGCTGTGAGGATATTGTCATTGTGGGCTTGCATACTGGCATTGAGCTCATTCAGCTGGGTAAAGATATTGACCAAGTACAGTGGTGCCTCGCAAGACGAAATTAATCCGTTCCGCGAGAGTCTTCGTCTAGCGGTTTTTTCGTCTTGCGAAGCAAGCCCATTGACGGATTAGCGCTATTAGCGCTATTAGCGGTTTAGCGGCTATTAAAGGCTTAAAGGCTTAGGGGATTAGCTGCTAAAAGGCTATTAAAGGCTATTAAAGGCTTAGCAGATTAGATAAAGGGGGGGGAAAGCCAAAAAAAGTCTCAAGACTCGCAAGATATTTTCGTCTTGCGAAGCAAGCCCATAGGGGAATTTGTCCTGCGAAGCAACTTCAAAACGGAAAACCCTTTCGTCTAGCGGTTTTTCCGTCTTGCGAGGCATTCGTCTTGCGGGGCACCACTGTATGCCAGCCTTGCACACCAGTCCTTGGCATTCAGTTGGTGCTACTCGTTCCAAAAGCTCTTAATTCGTTCTTCAGTTCCAATACCCAATCTAAAACTTCTGCACGACAGCCAGTGAACCAAACTAAATGTTTCTTTGATTGTCCTTGAATCTTCCCACTGCACTTGCCATCTCCTGCCTCACCCTTTGAGATCTACTGTGCTAGACCTGCTACCTTTCTGTCAGCACTCAGCCTTTGCTGTCCTGGATTCCCCCTTCCCAAACAGATAAGATTCTGCTTGTTGAAGGGAATCGGAAGATGTTGCCAGTAGGCAGGCTTCGTGCTTGAGGAGGGAACTAACCGAGCCTTCTCAGTGTCAACGTAATCATGGATCAGAGATCCGTCTCAAAGACCTTTTCATTTAAATGTATATTGGGAGTTATTGCTGAGCTAAACCAGGGAGGGTGTTGACGAAACTCAAAAGGGGTACCAAGCTGAAAGCAGTGTTCAAAAATAGCCAGGCACATTTTGCATCTGGCTATCGGCCACTTGCAACCAAGGGAAGATGCCTGGCACCAGGAATGGTGCCTGACGTCTCAAACATCTGCAGGTGCATGCCTGGGGACCTTAGATCTTGACTGTTTCCACACACCAGCAACACATCCTGTAGAATTCTGGCTGTGATTGGCCCAAGGTCACCCAGTGATCTTCGGGGCTGACTGGGGATTTGAACCTTGGTCTCCCATGTCTTAGTCCAACACTCCAACCATTACGCCACACTGGCTCTTCTGTTTCCTGAGGAGAGGGATGGTGGTCATCAACCCTGGCCGTGACTGCAGGTTCTGCTCTCACATCCAAGGACCATCTTTTCATCCATCCTGCTTGAGCTGATACGATAGAAGCAGAGCTGTAGTATAGGGTTACCAGACGTCCCTGGTTCCCGGGGACAGTCCCTGGATTTGCAAATCTGTCGCTGGACAAATTCAGTCCCCAGAATGTCCCCAGATTTGCAAATCTGTTCCTGGGAAACGTGGCAGTGGCAGCCTCCGCAGCCTGGAGCAAGCCTGTTAGCGCAGTTGGCTCTGGCTGGCTTGAAGAACTGCTCGCTGCCGTGGCACCCGCCATTTTTCCTGCGCCACGGCAGCGAGCAGCTCCTGAAGCCAGCCAGAGCCAACTGCACTACCAGGATGGCGCCTTCTGGGCAATGGCTCCCAAGCCTCCCCTGATCTGCCAAAACAAAGGGGGAAGGAGATTGGGGAAGGCACGGGAGTCACGGGCAGGCGGTGTGCCGTTGCCCAGTTTTTTTTAAAAAAAAACTCTGCGCATTTATGTTTCACAGGGTGCAAAATAAGGCCTTTGCACCTTTATACAATATGCATGTGTGCTTGGGCCCAGGGTCTTTTGCCTCATCATCCCCACTATTGACTCCCTGTTGCTACTCGGCTTCAAAAAAAAAAAGTGTCCCCGGATTCATTGAAAAAAATCTAGTAACCATACTGTAGTACGGCGGGTCCTAGCTACATCAGTTTTTCATGCACTACATCCAGGGTGGCGGAAACTTATTCCAAGGCCCTTATTCCCTTTCTGGGGGTGGGGGCACATACAGTTGTGGCTGGAGCAATGAACATAAATATTATGGTACAGTTGGCTGGTTTTTATATACACACACAAACGCACACCTCTGTTTTTCATCCAGACAAGCAAGAGGCATTAACAGAGTCCAAGCACACATGCCAACCTGCCCAAACGCTCCAGGGTAGTAAGGGGTGTGCAGTGTTCAAAATTAGCAGGGCACCAGGCACATTTTGCACCTTGCTTTTGACCACTTGAGACCAAATGAAGATGCCTGGGTGCCAGGATGGCGCCTGACAACTCTGTCATCCAGAGGTGGATGCCTGGGGATCACTGGATCTGGACTGTTTTCACACACTAATACCACGTCCTGTAGAATTCTATCTGTTATATTTTGTCTGCACAATTGGAATGAATTTCTGGGACCAAAATGCTTTTTCTGTGCAGCCTGAGCAGGAGCAGCAGCCATTAAGAAAAAGAGGTCGGAATGAGCCTATATATGTGTGTGTGGACTGTCCCTGGATCAAATGACTTTTCTTCTCTTTAAGTTCTCAGAGTTCTTAACCTGGCTCAGGGTTGTCTTCTGAACTAGCCAGATGTTTAATCAATCACAGCCAGTCCATCATTTGAAAAAATAGGACTTTAGAGCCGTCCAAAATGGCAACTAGACATTCCGTTTCGGTGACTGCAACCTTGGCTTGGTGAGTCAATCTACCAAGGCCTGGAAAGCCCTATTTAGACCTGGGCATCGCTTTGTTAAAACACAACATTACTGTGCTGTAATGCAATCTTCAAAACACCAAAACAAATGTTATCATCAAAGCGGCAAGTTCTGTCACATCACTTGTTCACCACAGTTATTTGTTTGTTTGTTTGTTTGTTTAAAAAACTTTTGTGTGCTTTATTTTAGAGCCAAGTTGAAGATTGGGGAGCTGGTTTCCACCTTGAGCCACAAAGATGGTGATAAATGTTTGCCTCCCGCAATTCAAGCCAAGAATTCACTGCAACAAGGTATTCCCCGCCCCCCAACAACCCTCCTTGCTCCAGGTTAAGAAAGCAGAGGGTGGAGACTTGGTTGCAGCATCTCAGGGTCAAAGGAGTTAACATTCTAGAGATCAAGGAGTGCTTTGACTCAGCGGCTGCTTGCAGAACTAAATTGACACTGCTTATGCATGGAGGCTTCCTTCTGCTGCCCCTGCTGCTCATGCATATCCTTTCTGAGAAAATGTGACTTAATGACACCCGGGGTTGTCAACGTCTGCAGCAGATCATTCTGTGCAGTGTAACCCGCCTAATCAAGCAGCAGGTGGTTGGGTTCTGTAATCCTGTCACCGCACCAGCGTCACCCTGCAAACAAAAACTAGATTCTTCCAGCTTGCCACTTTCGGCTTGGACTGGTAGGTCCACCTTGGCCCTACAATCATGATCAGACAGCTGTTCCCCCACCCCTAATAAAATCAGTAGCTCAGCAAAAGCCTGAAGGAGAAATAGACCCAACTATAGCTGGCTCAGATACTGTACTTGTTTCTGGTGGAGCTAAAAAAAAAGCGTGAATTTGGTTGGACCGCCTCCTGTTGCAAGTCACTGGCCAGGGAAGTGACATCATAATGGAAGATCAGAAACTAGAGTACTAGCAAGACAGGTCAGTGGCCTTGCTACTTTACAGCTTGGTCAGCTGCACTCTCTTGTAGGCAGATGTTTTAGTACTGGAGGAAAAACCAAAGCTCCCCTGTGGTGGGACCTTCAGGCTTAGAGAGAGTCTTCCCCTGAACACCACCAGAGGTTGAGGGCTACCTGGAGACATCGGCCACTGTGAGGAGAAGGATGAAGGATGGTGGAGCAGAGAGGCCTTTGATCTGATCCAAGAGAGCTCCTTGCACGCTTTTCCTCCTCCAGTTTTTCAAGAGAAGGTTGTACGAGTGTATCTGCTTGGGATATTTAAGCTGGGCATCCCACTTTTTGAGGAGGGGGACTTGCAGATTTAGAATAAGGTAGCGGGGTGATGAGAGGTTCTTTTGAAACAGATGCCCCCCGCTTTAACTTTTTCTTCTTTCGGTGGGGTGCAAAGTGCGTCTGTGTAACTCGAGCCAATCAGCCACAATAAAAAGGTGGAGAGATTAGGGGCATGCGGTAAAGAAAGTTAAATGTTCCACTCCCAGTTATTTCAATCGGAGAATTTTAAGCATGTGCTTTAACTCTCCTGTTGAAATCCATGGGAGCTTTCATTGAGGGAGAGTCCTTTTTTGTTGCTGCTACAGGATTCCAGTCTCTTTCTGTGTTGTTACGCCAGCATGGCATACAAAGACTGCGGGAAAGATTGTCAGTCCTTTTCTTTGAGAGCCAGTGTGGTGTAGTGGTTAAGAGTGGTAGACTCGTAATCTGGGGAACCGGGTTCACGTCTCCGCTCCTCCACATGCAGCTGCTGGGTGATCTTGGGCTAGTCACACTTCTCTGAAGTCTCTCAGCCCCACTCACCTCACAGAGTGTTTGTTGTGGGGGAGGAAGGGAGAGGAGAATGTTAGCCGCTTTGAGACTCCTTCGGGTAGTGATAAAGCGGGATATCAAATCCAGACTCTTCTTCTCTTCTTCTCTACCCGTAGATCTCCGCTGACGGATACGAAGTAGAAAACCTGGTCTCAGAAGACCTTGCCAAACGAAACCGAGGCTTCCGCTGCGAATACTTCATCAAGCCCCCGGTCCACGTGACTCTCTCTTTCCCCTTCAACGTAGAAATCTTCCGGATTAATATAGACGTCTCCTCCGGCGGCTATCAGAACATCACTGGGCTGGATATTTTCACATCTACCTCACCCAGCAAAGCCTCTTGGAGCAGTTCGGACTCTCCCTTCTCAGGTCTGGATGCTCAGCCCCCGTTGGACAAGGAAGCTTTCACGTTGGTGGGCAAAGCGGTGCTGAAGAATCAAAGCAAAGTGACCTTCAGCCACCGAGGCTTCCGGCCGAGGCTTCCATTCCATCAGCAGATGGACACACTCTTCTCCTTCCCTGGCTCGGCATCTCTGGACCTGTGGAACAAAGGCCCGAGCTCCCTGAGCTGCGTCTCGCACCTGAAGATCTGCATCACCCATGTGGCTGGTGGCGGTCTCCCTTGCCTCAAGAAAGTGGAGGTTTGGGGCCAGCCGGCCAAATCCTGCCCCCACGAGGTGGTGGACGACGTGCTGCGGGCCGTGCAAGGCTTTGGAGGGCAGGCTGCCGGCCTCCCGTCGCCAATGGAGAGCGACCAGGCGCCCTTTGGCAACCCGGACAGCCAGGAGCAGAAGCTGATGGACGCCATCCCGGACATTCCCGAGGAGTTCCTGGACCCGATCACCCTGGAGGTAATGACTCTCCCCATGCTGCTGCCCTCGGGCAAAGTGATCGATCAGAGCACGCTGGAGAAGTGCAACCGGAGCGAGGCGTCCTGGGGGAGAGTGCCCAGTGACCCCTTCACGGGGGTGGCCTTCAGCCAGCACTCGCAGCCCCTGCCCCACCCCTCTCTCAAGGCGAGGATAGACCACTTCCTGCTCCAGCACAGCATTCCCAGCACTCGCCTCCTGGGGAGGGCTCAGGCCACGGGGACGGTGGTAGCTTCCTCCATAGCCATGTCTTCCCTCAAAAGGAAAATGGACCTCGTAGAGCAGAAGCCGGGCGGCCAACGCAGCAGCACGGAGCCCTTCCGTTTCCCCGCGACAAACCTTGTTGCCACGTCTACCTCTGAGTCCCGTGCTAAAAAAATGAAAACCGATTGCGATGCCAACTCTTCCCAGATGGACTGCTCGACAGGTACTCCTCTGTCCTCTTAATATGCAGAAGGAGCCTGTTTGCGAACAACCTGGATTGCTGGCGCTGCTTCATTCAAATCCTCTTTTTTCCTTTTATTTTATTTTTTAAAAAAAGCTTTATTTGACTGTACGGGTTTATAATGTGACTCTTTGAATGGCGAGTGGATGGGGAGCAGAGCTGTGGGAGTGGGGGGGAAATGATTTTCCTATGCAAACTATATTATTGGATAGTTTGCATGGGGCAATTTGCATGGATAAATTTTCAGTTTGCATCAGGAAATTTTCTGGCTCCTTAGAGCAGCCTTTGTCAACCTGCTGCTCTCCAGATGTTTTAAGTCCCATCTGCTCCTGCCAGCACCAAGAACATTCAGGGGGTGGTGTTGTTGTCGTCCCCAGTGTTGTGCAGGCCGGGATGGCTTCAACTAGGGAGTCAGGCATGCAATTCTGCTGGTCTCATATTGCTGTGAGGTTCAGCCAGCATCCTTGCCTTTTGAGTTTCAAACATCTCTTGAGGACATTTTTCTGTCAATGGGCCCATGCAGCTGTTTAAACTGATTAACCAGTCACTTTAATGGTTATTTGCATCGTTTGGGATGGTGTTTTAAGTTGTTAACGTTGTGCACCATTATGATAAGGCAGCACAGAAATGCTTTTATAAATAAACATCTGGAGGGCACCAGGTTGGCAAAGAGTGCCCTGGAGAGCGATCTAATTTAGCAGATAACAGTTAAAAACCTTGAAGCTGTCCAGCTTTCCTAATGTTGCATTTGCAATTGGCATCCATAGATTATTACCAATGAATTCACAAAATGGTAGCATTTTCAGCATTGGAAAATTAAGCACCGCTGCAGCAGGAATAAGCTACGCCTTTGTCGCCGCAGCTGTAAGATGGTTAGAGTGGCATCATGTCCAGGCCATTTGCACAGGGAGCTGTCTTCTGTTTTGGACGCATCCTTCCTCTTGGCTCTGCTGCATTCTTTTGCTGGTTGATTTTATGACCTCCATTACTCTTTGCCTCCTTTACTGTTTTGTTTGAGCCTTGATATTTCCAGGCCTGTTCATTCTGCACGTCTCCATTGGGCAATAGGGAATTCTGATCTTAAAAGTATCTGAGAACCTCTCTAAAAGAGTCTTTAGACCCCATCGTTTCAAATATAAGAAACAAAACTGGGCAGTGTCCACTGAATATTTCAGTATTTTTGTCCCTATAGTGGTCAGGAGGTAAAAATGCCATATTCCACCCCAGGTTTTCTATTGCCCAGCTTTAGCCGTCTGTCAGCTTGTGGATTGCCTCCTGCCTTTCTGCTTACCATCCCACGGCATTCCCAGACAATCGCGTTCGTTGAGCATTCATCCCGATTTGTTTGCCTGGTGGGGAGATGACCTTGCATCAAAATAAATGTCATCTCACACTTTGCAGTTCAATTTCCTTACTGCAAAAAAGTCCAATTTTGGGTGGTTTGTTGCCGAAGAGCACTAATTAGGTACAATTGCACGCCCTAAATTTGCTGGTGTGTGATTGGATGCCACTTGGAAAGAACAACAGTCTTGAAGTGCCCTCATCTTTCCAAAATAATACAGTATCAGACAGTGTGTTTTTTCTAGAAAAATAGGTGCCGGTACATCAAGTTGTTGCAGTAAGTGCTGCACTATTTAATAACAACAAAAAAAGGGTGCCAGTACTGTGCACGCTTGAATAACCCCTGGGGAAAATGCATTTGTTTCAGAGATGAGGTTACAAAATGTGTGTCCTCCTTTTAAAAAAGAAAAAGAAAAAGAAAAAGGATTAGCTTCATTTTCAGAATTTGTTTTCTAAAACATGCATAAGTAACTGTGATTTTGCCACAAAGGTCATTACAGCTTCATGGTCTTCAGGCTTCTTCTTCCTCTTTCAAATCAACAAGACTTGGGTTTGTGCCCCTTGCCACCCTCCAACTTATCTGCAAGGGGGTGTTCGGAAGCTTTCACTTTTCCTTAATGAAAAATTGCTACATTGTCCAGTAAATTGTGGTCAAACAAGCCAGCATCTTGAACTTCTGTTTGAATTTGGCTTGTTTCAAGCTAGCCGTAGTTAAGGTCAAGTTAAGGTTGGGTTTGGATGATACAGCAAGCTGCGGTTACTGTTTTTTATTCAGCTTCTGGCCTCAAGGAAGAGGAGGAAGTCCGTCAACCGAAAACTCACGGCGGCTTGTTAGCTTCGTGATACGCCACAGCCAAAGTTTGTTGCCACATTCGAGCAGTGGCAAGTCAGTTACTTCTGCCAAATCTATTTACTTTTCCTTCTTCCCTCCACTGCTTCTTGTTTACAAGTGATTGCTCTTTGCTTCATAAGGAGTCCATCCCATTTCCCCCTTATCGCTAGGCTGTGCACAACCTCCAGACATAGGTCAGGTCAATGTGTGATTTTCCTTAAGTGGGTCAAGGCAGCCTGTATTGACCTGGGGAGATCCAGGGCTGTCAAAAAGGGGTTTTGGGTATTGGTCGACCACATGCTTAATTAGGATTTAAAACATTAATTGAACATGTGTTTGGAAGGGTGGAAAGGAGGGAATTCAGATCAGAGTCTCTGCCTTGACTCTTCTGCTGTGCAACTCCTTTTATCGACCCCCTGCGCTAGCAGACAGAGAACATTGGATCCTAGCCGCTGGTAGGAAGAAGAGCGCTGGAATCCTTCCATTTTATTTTTTAAACTTGCCTTTTTAATCTTTTATTGCAGCACAGCATGAAAGACTGAATTGCCCGTTGTTTTGCTGCCTGCTCCCTTTGTAAATCCAGAGTGACTATTTCCAGATGATGATGATTTTGATTTTGCAAATCTCTCCGCAGATCTGCTTTCTCACGAACAGAGGCTTTCGGACAGTTTAGATAGCGCCTTGAACTCTGCGCTCAGCTCCATGCCGCTGTTCACAGCTAGCTTGACGAAAGGGCAGCAGCAACCACACACCGGCGGCGGCTGCCCTGGCCCGTGGAACGCGAGCAGTGGACACGGTAAAGAGGCAGCACGACACTGCAAGGTTGCTGGCCTGGGGAACGGCGGTTCTTGCCTTCCTCTTTCGGAAAGGGGTGGTGGGAGGCAAAGTTTGCAAAGCGCTCCTAATGCTTGCTGTGTGAGGAAGAGCCCTCGGCTGCCCAGCAGCCTAGCAAGACGTGGATTGCACAGGTGGGCAACTTGCAGCCCCAGGTCTAACTTCAAATGCTTCCTGAAAGTAATCACTTCATACTGTGCTGGGCCTGGGAGTTAACCCGAGCAACGCAGTCCAGGTCCGGTCCTGAATCCAAGGATTCCACGAGGAGTCAGTCCAACAGGGCCAAGGCAGGAAACCAGGCAAGGTCAGGCACAGGGTAACAGGCAGGTTCCAGCAAGCAGCAATGTTGCTCCCGCAACCTGGGGCAAGGTCCGACAGCCTTTTATCTCTTGACGGGGTAACGGCTGGTCCTGATCCCCCAGCGACTCACCTCCCTGTCTCACCTGAAGGCGAGCACTCCTCCTGCGAGTATTCAGATCTCTCCTTCTCTCAGACCTGAGTCTCTGCAGCTCAGGAGACGTCAGTGTGTTACTAGACCCAGAGGCCGCCTCAGCCTCCCCTGACCCAACCGGTAGTGGAGCAGCTGTAAGTGATGGCCCAGCTGGAGGCAAGGAGGTCATCCCCGCATCTGGAGCCAGGGCAGGCTCAGGCCCCTGACTCGGCCCAGCTGGGGCTTGTTGCAGGGGAACCTGTGCAGACTGGGGCTCTTCAGAATCAGGCGCCAGACTCTGTTCAGATGCCGCCTGAGGCAGAGGATCCGGTGCAGACTGAGACTCCTCCGGTTCCGAGCCCGAGTCCCAGGCCATCACACATAAGAACACAAGGAGAGCCTCCGGGATCAGGCCAGTGGCACCCCTAGTCCCGCATCTGGTCTTCACGGTGGTCACATGGTTGCTTGTGGGAAACCGGCAAGCAGGATTCGAGCACAAGAACAGCCCTCTCGCCTCCTGTAGTTTGCAGCTGCTGATATTCAGAAGGACGGCTGCCTCCAGCCTTGGAAGTAGATTATAGCCATCCTGGCTAGTAGCCATTGGTAGCCCTTCATGAATTTGTCTAATTGTTTAAAGCCTAATAATAATAATAATAATAATAATAATAATTTATTTATACCCCACCCATCTGGCTGGGCTTCCCCAGCCACTCTGGGCGGCTTTCAACAAAATACAATAATGCATCAAACATTAAAAGCTCCCCTAAATAGGGCTGCCTTCAGATGTCTTCTAAAAGTCTGGTAGTTGTTGTTCTCTTTGACATCTGGTGGGAGGGCGTTCCACAGGGTGGGTGCCACCACCGAGAAGGCCCTCCGCCTGGTTCCCTGTAACTTGGCTTCTCGCAGGGAGGGAACCACCAGAAGGCCCTCGGCACTGGACCTCAGTGTCCAGGTAGAACGGTAGGGGTGGAGACGCTCCTTCAGATATACTAGACTGTGACCATGGTTGGTGGCCATCACTCTTGCGGGTGTGAGTTTAACCACATGCTGCAGGAAGAAGAACTTGTTGGGATACTGCCAGGGAGACAAAGGCCATCGTGCCCCCACGTCGTCTCCCGGTCTCCCGTGGAAACAGTATCAGTCAATTAGCAACACGAGCCTCGGAAATAGCTGTCCACATTCCAGGACTCATGCACGCCCTTTTTGCAGAGCTTCCACAACGGAAGATGCACCCAGGAGAGCATATTTACAACTTTATTCAGCGTTGGTCAGAACAAAGGAAAAACATGACTGCCTGCCTTCCTGCCCAGGCAACAGAGAGAAAACAAAAGCTATATACAAAACAGAAACTTCCTGAGAGCAGGAAGTACACAGGCTGTGACTCACAACAGCCTTCCCCTTCTTAAGGTGGAATGGAAATATCCTAACAGAACTTCCTTTTGCCTGTCCTGAACCTTCCAGCATTCTGCTGCACGGGATGTTCTTGAGTTCTAGTATTATGAGAGAAGGGGTGAAACATCTCAAGATTGTGGCCACAGCCACATCTTGTGGCTATGAATTCCACAACGATGTGGTGTTTCTCCTGCCAAGAGAAGCCGCATCAGAGAGCCGTTAGAGGAAGCCCTGGACCTCATCCACCCAGGATATTTGTGCTCTGCAAGATTAGCATGCCTTAAAAGACAGGAAGCAAATTTGGCTTATTCACTTGTGTAGATTTGCTGAGCACTTGCGGTCAAATGGGCGGGACCTCAAGTCATGTTTATATGTTTAAAAGAAGGTAACCAGAAAACGGTGGCCTCAGAAGTGCTCCTCAGTTCGGAGGGCGGGAAAACAATCCTCTGAGTGGTTTTATTGTCTAATATGCATGTTGACATTCTCCTTGATATATACAGATCCTATGTTCTGAGTGCATGTCTCAGGAGAGTCAGGCTGTATTCAGAGATGATAGTTTCCTCCATCCCAGAGGCTGGTGACAATAGCAAAATAGATTGAAAAACAGACTGGTGGTGTAGTGTTTAGAGTGTCAGACTAGGAACCTGGGAGAGACCAGGGTTCAAATCCCCACTCTGTGCTGAAGTTTGCTGGGTCGCCTTGGACCTGTCACTGCCTCTCAGCCTAACCTATCTCACAGGGTTGTTGTGGGGGATTAAGTGAGAAGGGGATGGACGGACCATGTATGCCATCCTTGAGCTCCCTGGAAGAAAAGGGGGAATATAAACGCAGTAACAATAATACATAATATTTTATCAAACTTCCCCACCCTTTCCCGACTCGCATTGACCAGAGTTCCAAAGGCTGGGTCTTGCAAAAGGTGCTTAGGCTTCTACTTGGTGGTGTCTGCAGTGAGTGTTAGTATTTCACACAGTCCGATTCTGCAGATGAGATTGTTATAAATCACAGGCCTGTCTGAGAAGAGCGTGAGAAACGGAAGACACTCTTATTTCTTCCGCTGTACAGTCATACCTCGGGTTACTGCCGCTTCAGGTTGCGTTTTTTCGGGTTACGCACCTTCTGAAACCCGGAAGTACTGGAATGGGTTACTTCCAGGTTTCGGCAGTCACGCATGCGCAGAAGCGCTAAATCACGCTTTGTGCATGTGCAGAAGCACCAAATCGCAACCCGCACATACGCAGATGCGACGCTGCGGGTTGTGAACGCTGCGGGTTGCGAATGTGCATCCCTCACAGATCACGTTCGCGACCCGAGCTTCCACTGTAATGTACTTTCACTTTTACTTCTCCTGTTTGTTCTCTCCGAGCTGGAGAGAACAGACGCCATTATGCCTTTGTCTGTACATAGTGTGTAAATAAATAGCAGATTAGCTCTAGGATGCTTCAAGCTTCTTGCTGTGTAAGCTAGAAGATTGGTGCGCATGATACCAGCTGGTTTATGCTGCTGAGCGCACTGGAGATGAGGGGAGAATGCCTTCTCCAGAGCTGCGCATACTGGAGGATGCTCAGAGTTCTGGGGCCTTGCATGCTCACCCCCAGGGCGTTTTTCCAACAGTGAGTGGGAATTTCCATTATTTGCGTTTGTATCGCTGACCGGGAGACCCCAAGGGCACTCACGTGTGCTTCCTCCTCCTTTGTTTTGCAGAGCACAGTAGGAGTGACTCGGCCCAAGGGTGTTCTTCCTGCTCCCGGACCTTCTCCGTGTACTTCAAAACGGAGCCCGTTTACCAGCTCCCTTGCGGCCACCTGGTGTGCCGCTCTTGCTTGGCTGAGAAGCAGAAGTCCTTATCGATACTGTGCATGAGTTGCAAGAGGCTGGTTGCCACGCACGACATCCTGAGGGTCCACTTCTGACACCGTTCTCACGACGCTTTCTCTGGAATTTGGATGAAAAACAAAACAAAAGTGAGCTGTTTGTGGGGGGAGGGGGAACCAAGGAGCAGAGGAGACCCGTGGCTGTTCCACACGCTTCCCCCCATCTCCTTTGAGTCGTGCCAGGATGGGGGACCTTGCAAAAGGAAACTCTGCGAGGTTCTGAAGAGGACTTTTTGCCTTTGGAGAGAATCTCGATGCAGCTACAGCGTTGCGCGTTGTGCCAGAGCTAAAGCGATCAAAGGATAATAAAGCCATATGCTTCTCTAATTTAAAAAGGTCATTTGTATATAAAAGTGGTGTGTCCATGTAAGTGTGCTCCATTATTTTGCTACTTTCCAGGTGGCTCAGGCCTCTGCGGCGTTTTATTCCTCATTTCCCCTGCCTTCTGGTCAATAGAGGGAGCTTTTTTGGTTATAGAAAGGAAAGTAGGTGGTTAAGGAAAGTCTACCTGATGTGGCACCCGCCACTTAATTTGACATCCGACCTGAGTGGGGGGGAGCTTGCAGAAACCATAGGTTGCCTCTTCCGAAAACCAAGCAACTCTCCATATGAGACGCTTGAACGGTGACTGGCCATTTTCATTAGTTGTGCAATCTGTATAAAAAGCCAGCGTGTTTACACACAAACGCAAGCACACACACATCTGTTGTCACTCTTGATTTCTGTTGTGCAACTGGAGAGGAGGGGTGGCTATAGAAGCAGGGGAAATAATAAGCCTTAATAAAAATGATGGTCAGAAGTTGCTGATCTCCTTTGGGCTTTCAAATCTCGTGGTTTTCTTTACACAAGGGAAAGTGTTTTATTGCTAATTCACAAGCCGCCTTTCAGTGGAACTGCCCTCCCAAGACAGTGTGCAAAATAAATATGCATTTAAAAAGTTAAATTAAAATCTACATCATTCCCCTTCAGTTGAGTGACACAACTTCATTAAAGACAAGCATCACAAGCAGATTGAAAAGAGGATGTCTTTAGCGTTCTTTTAAAAGTCACCGGTGATGGGGGAACCATACTTCCTGGGAGAGGACCTTCCATAAATATAGGGCCAACCACTAAAAAGGTCCTGCTGCTAGAACACACCTGCCCCAATGTAAGTACACGCCTTATTTAAATCCCTCTTCCCCTCAAACCTAGTTAGATTTTATTGAATATTCTGTTCCACTTTTCCAACAACAAACGTAGAGCTCAAAGCGGCTCATGATAATCACAAAAGCACTAAGAAACAAACTTTACAATCACTATTCTGTCAAACACAATAACATATGAACATAAGAAGTTGCCTTTCAGCGGCAGCTAAGGCCACTGATTGGTCTTGCCACCATTGTCCTCTCCCAAGACTGGTAGCTGTTGTCCAAGATCTGACGCCTTGGTCTTTTCTGGCCAGCTGACTTGTTTTTCTTTTTAATTGGTGATGGATATGTTGGTGGAACCTGACACCTTCCATAATCAGAGCAGGTGACTCCCTCTGGAGAGATACACCCCCTTGTAGCCTCCAGACATTGTAGTTAAAGCACATTTGGAGGAGCAGGCTTCCTAGAGTAGAATTCTCCCAAGCAACCTTCAATAAGGACATTTGTGTTGCCTTTTCATTGCTGCCCTCCATGGCATCCATTAGTTGCGAATGTTCAGTGGGAGAGAGTTCAGTGATGCATCCCTGCCTGTGAATAGATGCTCCCTGTTGTCCTATTAGTGTTCCTCCATACCTCATTTGAGGACGTTTGCCAGACAGGCAGGCTTTGCTTGGGCTGAGCATGCTGCCTAGTGTCCACCTTAAAACCCAGCCATTTTTCTGCCTTTTCTGAAATGGTCACTGCTATAGCAAACAGCAAAATCCCATTTGTATGCAAGGCCAGGAGCGTAGTTTATAACATGCATGTACCACGATTCATTTGCATCTCCAAGCCTGGGCTGCTCAACCGCTGAATGTGAACTCTCCTTGAAAAGCAGTGGGTGACATTAGGACTGGGCGATATATCTGGCTTTCAATATAATGATATATCACCAGCTAAACATTGTGATACGCCAATATATCACGATGTCTGAAATAGAGATGGGAAGGCCTGGGGAAAAAGCATAAAAATGGGGGGACCCCGGGTTTTTTTGTTTTTTTCCAAAACTTTTTTTCCTGGAAAATTGGGGGGAAAGTGTGTGGAATATTCAAACTATATCAAACTCACACACACACACCAATTTTTCCAGGAAAAAAAAACAGCTTTGGGGGAAAATACTCCCCCCCCCCAATTTTCCAGGTTTTTTTCAGGCCTCCCCAGCTCTAGTCTGAAATAAGGATGGAGCTATGTAGAGGCACTGGCTGGCTTTCACCCCACACTGATATTTGCATAGCACACACATCATGATTCGCAATATATTGCCAGGTCAATAATTATGAAACCGATATCACAATGTGGACTTCAAACCGGTTTTAGCCCTAGGTGATTTCCACAGGCCTCTGCAACAGGACTTCCAGTTTCTCTTGGCCCCCTTCAGCTGCCTCTGTGTCCGCCCTCCCCCCCCCCCATGTCAAGGGCTCCCCCAACTCACCAGAGCAGATTTTGAGGGTGCCTAGAGGACGTGGGTGGCACTGTGGGTTAAACCACAGAACCTAGGGCTTGCCGATCAGAAGGTTGGTGGTTCGAATCCCCACGACGGGGTGAGCTCCTGTTGCTCAGTCCCTGCTCCTGCCAACCTAACAGTTCAAAAGCATGTCAAAATACAAGTAGATAAATAGGTACCGCTCCGGCTGGAAGGTAAGCGGCGTTCCCATGCGCTGCTCTGGTTCGCCAGAAGCAGCTTGGTCATGCTAGCCACATAACCTGGAAAAACTGCGGACAAACGCTGGCTCCCTCGGCCAGTAAAGCGAGAGGAGCGCCGCAACCCCAGAGTCGGCCACGACTGGACCTAATGGTCAGGGGTCCCTTTACCTTTACCTTAAAGGACAACAGGAGAAGCGAGGAAGGAGAAGCCCAGTTGAGTGAGCCAACAGCCGCACATGCTATGGTGAGTCTCACCTACTATGTTTGAGCTGAGAGGACATACCTTAATTGGGGAAAGTTATTGTTGTTATTAAAAAAAGTGTATACTGCCCTATACCTGTAGATCTCAGGGCACTTCACAACACAAAATTACAGCATAAAAAAACCCACAAAATGCATCATAAAAATAATAACAAAGACAACCCAATAATCCCCAACTTCCTCAACACATTTAAAAGGGCGTTAGCCTGGTTGAAGAAAGACATTTTTAACCTGGAGCCTAAAGTTGTATAATGAAGGTGCCAGCCAAACCTCCCTGGGGAGAGCATACCACAAACAGGGAGCCACTGCAGATAAGGCCCTGTTCTCGTGTTGCCGCCCTCTAGACCTCTCAAGGAGGGGGCACACGAAGAAGGGCCTCAGAGGATGATGTCAGGGTCTGGATTCGTTAATAGGGGGGGGAGATTTTAGTCCTGAGCCGTTTAAGGCTTAATAGGTCAAAACCAGCACTTTGAATTGGGCCCGGAAACTAATTGGTAGCCAATGCAGTTGGACCAGGATAAATGTAAGATGCTCAAACCATCTTGCCCCGGCTGTCGAATTCTGCACCTGCTTTCCAAAGTTTCCAAACCGCCTTCAGAGGCAGCCCTGCGTTATAACATGTAAAAAGGGCATCTCTTCCCCAACCCCCCATGATTAATGTCTCAACGTTCGCCAGGGTAAAGACTCTACCACCTCCCGTCTTTGTTCTTTGGCGGCACCTCTCTAAGCCAAGCTCCGGAGGAAGCTGGCTTGACTTATTTTTTAGTAAAGGTAAAGGGACCCCTGACAATAGGTCCAGTCGTGGCCGACTCTGGGGTTGCAGTGCTCATCTCGCTTTATTGGCCGAGGGAGCCGGCCTACAGCTTCCGGATCATGTGGCCAGCATGACTAAGCCGCTTCTGCAGAACCAGAGCAGCGCACGGAAACGCCGTTTACCTACCCGCCGGAGTGGTACCTATTTATCTATTTGCACTTTGACGTGCTTTCAAACTGCTAGGTTGGCAGGAGCAGGGACCGAGCAACGGGAATTCGAACCGCCAACCATGCTAAATCCCTTGCTCAAATCCCACATTGGTTAATTTCCGAAGTTATGGGGGCAAGCTGGCACCCAGCAATTTTAGGAGCGCTTGCTCCCCGCAAACCCATAACAGTTGTTTTTCACCTTCAGCCTCTGAGCTGATGCATTGGCTGATTTCATTAAGTGATTCCAGGCTGTGTGTGAGAGAGTCTTCCTTAACTTGGAAAACATTTTCATTAACCTCCCTTGGCTTTAAAGAGTGTAATTGCATTTTAATCTTTCATTCCTACATTATCATTCTGGAGACGGAGTCATTTAAGGGTGGATAATTCCTGCTAATGTAATTTTAAGATACAGTAATCTGAAGTCTGGTCTGGTCTCGCAGTGTGTGCATTAAGTCTAGAAGCCACACTTGGGACGGCGGTCAGTTTTAAAAAAAAGAAACAGAGTCCTTCCTTTCCATGTGATAATTCACTGATTCACTTGGAAACTTCTGAGGTGGGTTTCAAAAGTGGCAAAGTTTTGAAGGTGATGGGAGATTATCTATGAAGGTACCACCTTGCGTCAAACTAAGCAGGTCTGGGACTGGGCAATGCCTGGATGGGCACCACAAAATAATAAATCTCCAGTGATGCCAATGGACAGTTCACACACACACACAACACACACACACCATAAGATTCCTAGCCCTGTGGTGATGGTGTGAGAAACTCCATTGCTGTCTTGGAAACTAATCCAGAATGTGGCAACTAGACTTGCCGACTGGGAGTGGCTGCCGTGACCATATAACACCGGTCTTAAATGATCTACATTGGCTCCCAGTATGTTTCCAAGCACAATTCAAAGTGTTGGTAAAGGTAAAGGTAAAGGTAAAGGGACCCCGGACCATTAGGTCCAGTCATGGACGACTCTGGGGTTGCAGCGCTCATCTCGCTTTATTGGCAGGAGTA